GAAGAGGACCCAATGGTTTTGAAAGAGGAAAGGACTGATACTTTATGTCAACTTGTCAAGTGACGGTCAGATGAGCACAAAATTTGAATTCAAACAACGCTTCCTTTCCGTAACCTTCCCCCCCTCCTCAGCCGCCCCTCTCGTAAACTAAAACCCCTGAAAACCCTAGATTTCCTTCTCCACACCATTTCCACATCTCACGATTCCCCGTTAGCAGGCCGTCTCGGAAAACACCATGGCTAAGAAGAAGCTCGTTCGCCGCGCGGAGGAGAAGCCCCATGACGGTCGCCTTCCCGACGACTACGCGCTCGAGAAGCTGGAGATTCTCAAGAACCTCAACGGCAGGCTTATCAAGGAGACCGCCGAGAAGCGGGACCTTGTCGGCTCTCTCCAGCGGGAGAAAATCTCACTCGAATCGGAGCTGGCGCGGGCGGAATCGGAGAAGCTGTTCGTGGGGGCCGAGTTGACTCGCGTGGCTGATAGTTCGGCGCGTTTGGAGCTCGAGAAGACATTGGAGGCCGAGTATCTCCGCGCTCAGATGGGTGAGCGAATGAGTTCCATGGAAGAAAAGATGGAAGGGATGAGGAAAGAGAGGGACGATGTAGGAGAAAGGGCTATGGGCTTCGAGAGATCGATCTGTCTTCTCGTGAAGGAGAAGAGTGCGATCGAGGAGATGCTAGCTGAGATTGAGAGAGAGAAGCAGGTTGCAGTGGAGGAGAAGAATGCTGAAATGAAGAAAAGAATCGAATTGGAAAATGAATTGAATTTCCTCAAAGGGAAGGTGTTGAACTTGCACGAGGTTGAGGTTGTGTTGAGAAAAAATGCGACCGAGTTGGAGAGGATGTTCGAGGAGAGTATAGAGAATGGGAAAGGGATGGAAAGGAAAATAAGTGAGTTGATGGAGGAGAAAACTGAGAGTGAGAGTAAGATCTCAATGCTGTATGGGGAAAAGAGTTTGATCGAGTGCAAATTAGCAAATGCATTTAAGGAAATAGAAGAGAAGAAACTGACTGTTGAGAGGATTGTTCTTGAGAACATGGAAATGAAAGATGCAAACACTAGGGCAGAAGCCGAGGTGATCAAATTGCACAATCAAGTTATTGTACTCATGGATACCATTTCTGGGTTGGAGAAGTCTTGCAAGGTTCAAGAAGAGGGAATCGCTGAGCTCAGGACCCAAGTGGGGAAGTACAAATCTTCATCTGAAAGAGCATTGCTTGAGAGAGACAGTGCACAAAAGGAGCTCGATGAAGAAAAACAGAATGGTTTGGTGATGAAGGGAAAGATTAAGGAACTAGAGAAACGCATTGATGAAGTTGCATCAGAGCTTGGGAAAACCAAGACTGATTATGCTAATATTTTGGGCGAAAAGAAAGAGATGAAAATCCAATCTGAATTGCTCAACAAGGAGATAGTTTCTCTCCAGGCTCAACTCGACGAAGCAAATGCAGACTTGGATAAAGTTCTTGAGATGTTGAAGACCACAGCAGTTTCAGTTGGAGGATCAAATGAAGAGATGGGGCGGGTTCGTGCTAGAAAACTAAAAGAAAGCCAAATCAACCCACACGTGTTGGAATTGGAAGCCATTAAGAAAGGCTTGAAGGATAGAGAGATCAAAGTTGAGGACATGAAGAGAGAAGTCGAGTGTTTGAAGAATTCGGTAGTGCATGCCAACAAAAAGAAGAGTTTCTTGGCCATTGTCTCCTCGGCAACTACTCTCTTTGCTGCAATTTCTCTGGCATACGCTGCCCGCTTTCACTGAGTTGAGTGGTTTGTCATCATTTTACTCGCGTTTCCTAGTTATCCTGTTGCGATTTATATTTTTCGGCTTTAAAATCTTCTCATGTCAAAGTAGTCTCTTGAATATTTGCAGTGTAATGCTATTGTTCTTCTTCTCTTGCCAATTAAGGACATGAAGATTATTATCTTCCCATATCAAATGAAGAAAAATGAGTAGCTTTGTTTCTCTTTGCTTGTGCATTAAGTTCACATGTCACTTTGGTAAATCTTGAATCTTGGAATGTACTGCGTAGTTAATGCTGATCTCCATCCAAATATCCAATGGCCAATAATGGCAGCATTCCTAATATCTTGGAAAGAAATTTCCAATTGAAGAGGATTTTTGTAGTGATGAGTATCATGCTGATTGGTCAAGGTTTAACCACAATTGTCTCCCACCTCCGATATGGTACATTTTAAAGAAATGTTGAAAAAAAAGCGGCTGAAATTGATTTGAAATAAGATGCTAACATTTTACCCAAAAAAAAGGAAATGGATTGTTATTTGGGACAAACCAAAAAAGAAAGTGTGATGTTTATATATGATGAGATGGAGGGGAATTCGTTCTTAAAAGATTATCACAGTTTGATTTTTTGGTCAAATTATGGCATCCTTTGACCATGAATTATGGATAAATGATATTTAGTTATAATATAAGTTTAGTAAAATTGGGTTTATTTTTTAAAATAATTTTGAAATGTCAAATTTTTATAATATTTTAATATTTTTTATTATATTTAATTTGTGGTCAAAGAGTGTCACCGTTTGACTAAAAAATTAAATTGTGTTTATCTTTTAAGGACGAAGGGAGTATCATACCCTCTGTAATAATTCTCCCATCCTCTCATAAAGTTTTTTTTAAATTTTTTTTAAAGCTTACAAAGATAAATAAAAAATACTGAAAATTGAAAGATGAGTAATTAAAATTTGTCTAGAAGAGAAAATATTTTAGATCATATACTCCATATTTTTTGACGGCTGGGTTCTAGAGCCACTCAAAAAGAGTGGCTACAGAAGCTACTCACCCAATTAGGATACCTACGGTACTTAGCCTGCAAAATTGATGATTCTTACCACCTCTAACCCTCCGGTAAACCCTCCACTCGGTTCCGTCCTCAACTCATCCCCTTAACCACTAGGAGAAAAGAATAGTAACTGACTAAAATACAAAGTCTGTCATAATAAATACTATTATAAATAATTGTACAACAGAAAAAATCTTTCAACTTCACTTCTTGAAAGCTTTCTTAATTTCTTTTAATTTAAAATATGATTGTAGCCGAAGATCTCTTTTTAATTTTTTATTTATACTACGGAGTAAAATTATTTCAAACGCATTTTTTAATTTTTGATAAATGATATCGCATGCTTTAAATAACTATTCATTCTTTTTTAGGAAATAGTTTATGATAACTTCTAAAATTTTATATTTGGGAATTTACTAGGCTAAAATATACTCCGTAGTTGTACTAAAAACACGAACAATGAACTCGGTTGAATTTAGTTCAATTAAAATTTCAATAAACTAAAAGTATGTTACATGGGAATAATTTGAGTAAATTTCAATTCTAATAAAATGTTTTTGAAAATTAGTTTTCAAAAAACAATAATTACATACGCCGTCATTTATAATTTAGTACTCATGTTTCCAAAATCGTCCATTTTAAATTTTTAATTAAGAGAAGCAGCAGTAGACAGTTGTCTTAACAGTTGTCTCTGCCAAGTCATGCCACATCATCCCAAGTTTCCATTTGTTTCTTTAATTTGCCATGTTTGGCATGTTTGTTAATTTAAAAATATTAATGTTAGATTTTTAAATCTTTATTTTTAATTTTATTTTTAATTTTTTTGTTTTTAAATCTTTAATTTTAATTTTTTTAAAAATCATAATTTTAATTTTTAAACCTTAAAATTTAAATTTAAAATTGTTTTTTTATTTTAGTTTTCGTTTTTTATTTTTAATTTCTAAATTTTAGTTAATAGTTTTAGTTTTTTTTAAAATTTTTAACTTTAAAGTTTAAACTCCAAATTTTAAATTTTATGGTTTAATTTTTTAAGATCCAACATCTCTAAGACATGTTTCATTATTATGATCCGAAACAGATTTAATTGATTTCATTTTGACTTGTGGAATCTAAATTGGTGATTTCAAATTCTTTTTTCTATGTTTTAGAATTTTAAATCTGGAATTGGTAAGTTTAGAACCATATTTGTTAAGAAAATATTTTCTTCCTACCAAGTACTTCGTACCAAATAACAGAAAATATGATTGGAAATTCCTTTGAAAAAATTATCAGGAAAACTATTTTCCTACTACCAAAATTTTCTCACTTTCTTTTTCTTATGGAAAATGTTGTGGCATCCATGTTATTTTTCTTTTCTTTATATATGTATATATATCATACTCACACAAGTTTTATTTTATTAAAAATCGTGTCTATCCCAAACAAACAAAATAATTATGGGACGAGGGAATATTAGTTTATAGGGTCACCAAATAAGTGCAAATCTACCCTGATTTTGATTTATTATTAGTATGAAAAGACTTCCTTGTTGAGAGTGGAATGATGATCTCAAGTGAGTTTTGCAAAAACCCTTTGTCATAAACGTTAGTTTTGACAACCTCAATTTCCTCTAGGCAATGAGATCTACAGCACAATGCCTTCTTCCATTTGCTCACATGCTGCTTTGTTTCATGCCCAACTCCATCTGCACTTGCTTTTAAAGCCACGGCACTTGCCTTCGCTTCGTTTGCCTTTCTCTGCCACCTCACGTATTCGTTCCATTTGAAACTCTGCATTTCCGCATGACCATATCACAAAAACGATGAATGATTGTTATTCACATAATGCTATGCAACAGTGAGTGGCTGTTTGAACCCATTATATTTTCTCCCATCTGTGTTTAGATCGGGTGGGGGGGGGGGGGTTAGGGTAGGTGCCCCTGAGAGCTCAAGTCTGTCCCTCCGGGTTTGGGTTTAGGGTTTCTCGATAAGGAAATAGATATCCCAAAAGTAGGTCAGCATCAGTCAACTGAACCACAAGACGCTTGGGTCAATCCATACTCAAAAGATTGAATCTAGTGGATTAACTCATGGTCTGATACTTCAACATGATTGAATGAGTCATTTGCGGAAGATGTTTAATCTACTAGATATATCTTGGGATCATCTTGTGCATTTTTCATATTACCCTTGGAAAAAAAATATTTCAAAGCATGGTCGAGAGGGACAGAAGCTGAAAGATTTGAACAAAACTGAGTACAATAATAATGACCACATGAAGTGCAATAAAGATTTAAGAAAGTGAACCTCATTTGTGGTGGTATTTGTGAGACATAGTTTTGAATGGTATGCAAGGAACCCAGCCAGCAGCATAGATATAATAGCCAGGAAAATTACAATAAGTACTTGTGTGTCGTATGACCCCATCAACCACTGTAACATCCCAAAATATTATTAGTGGAATACGAACATGACTAAACGAACGGCTAAAAAACAGATAAAAAGAGTTAAATCATTAGCAGTAAAAAAAATGCACTGTTTGGGAATTGGGATGGGAGGTAGACAATCTAGGCCATATATCCTTTTTTGGCAACGATGGAGTTGAACCTGGCCTCCCAGGCACAAGAGTCAATACTAAATCAGTTGTGTCATTCCAGGAGGAACACTAACACAATGTTACCTCTAAATTGCAGAGTATACACTGTACTTTTATCACCAAATTTGTCTTCAACTATCTATTGGCTAGGCACCTGGGGACATTTAGGTCATTCATGCACCATTGACCCAATTTAGTCTTTTTGCATATTTTATTCTAATTATGAGGGGTATTTCGTTCATTGACAGAGAGGTTGCTAGTAATGACTCTTTTGGCTCCATTGCAATGAATGAAATTTCGGACCACACAAATATAACAAATATGGAATGGGACAGAGATAGTGGCTCGGATAAAACATTATAATGGGACAACGATAGTGGGACGGATGAAGTAGTTTCTTTAAACATGAAAAGATATAGAGATCATGACACAATATCCAAATGTACCTTTAGTTTACCTGTACAACATATGGAGCCAAGGTCCTGAATGAGTTTTCAATGCCATAATAGGCTGCAATAGTAACAATGCCTTAGGTTTTAACATTTTTTTTGCTATAGTACTCAATTTTTTTTATTATGTATAACTTGAAAAGTAGTACACTATTCCAATTTACCTGTAAGAATACGTATAACCTGTTGTTCTTTCAACTGACCAGCTAGAACAAGGGCAATGGCAACAGTTCCATAGACACAAAGTAAGAAATGCCTGAAGAGAGGTCAACAATCAATCATCACATCATGTCAAATCATTCCCAACTCTGCTAAGCCTTGGTCCAAATTTAGTTAATTACTCATATGGATCCTATTTCTACATTAAATGTTACACATGACGTCATAATAGAATACAAAACTTGAAGTTTCAAATAGTGTTCACCAATCTGTGCCAAACAAAATATAAAAGCTATATACTATAGTTTTTTTGGCATATGAGAACTTAATTTGATATTAAAAAAGCATACTACTCCGTAGAAGCTAAACTATTTTGTCCAGAATAAGATGAGACAAACCATTGGTATTCCATGGAAGTTTATTAATGACAACGGATTTCTTCTGCATTTGTGTTACGTCAAATGACGTAGCAGTTGCAAGAAAAATTAGAGAAGAAAAAAAGCCATACACACATCTAGTTTTAGAATGCCAATAAGATCTGGTCTGCATTTTTAATATAAGTGCAAAATACATATGACATGTTCCAAGAGAAGGAAACATATTCATGTAGCATCAAGCAAATAGAGTACAACAATTCTTCATACTAAATGCAATTTACTCACCAGAAAAGAAAAGCCATGAAGTATCTGGTGTTTTTCTCACCGATGCAATTATTCTGTTTAATATGAAATAAATCATGAATTAAACTACATGATAAAGTGAAACCAACGTAGCTAATAGTATGAGTTACAAACCATCCACGCACAATGATGGTCAAACCGAGCAACACAGCGGCCACATATGCTACAGTGCTTTGATCTAGCAGGCCTAAAATAAAGTTCAATTGGTTTAAGCTAGAAGTACAAAATTACAAATAGTGACCAAATCATAAAATAAATAGTTTTAATTGCAAGGTTCAATTCAAGATGTAACTCATCATGTGGAAACCTATTTGGATTTCGGTGAATCAACTATATGCTCAATGTGTGGAGGCAAATCATAAGTTAACTTTTAGAAAAAAAACACAACTAATTGCATGTTGAAATCGATAGTTGTATTAGTCTTTTAGCAGCTATTAATCAGTAGTTACTTGTGTTCTCAAAATTTTTTTCATCAAATTTTTCTTGAGGATCCTAAGACAAAACAACAAAAACCTGATATTTTGTTGTTAAAGTTAATTCTAGCTTTTACTGAAAATTTCTTCTCTACATACCCTTTTAGCTTTCTTGTTTTTGCATAGATGCTTTTAGTTCAGATACTTGAATCCAGTTTTGAAAGGAGAGCATTAAAGTTCATTAAAGATGGTAGAGTTTAATGCAAGTTCATAAAAACATGTGCTATCTTGGAAGATTATATTGAATCTCAAGATTTGATCCTTGACTCACTTTCGGATCTTGCAAGTTGTACATTCCTTCTCTGAGAAAATGATATTGTCATACGGATAGGCAGCCGGAAGTGAGGAAGACGTGGATTCGTTGAATGAAAGTGCCGTCGAAGACGGGCCATTGGCCGCAGAGAAAGGAGACCACCACCAGAAGCGTCACCAGTCCGTGGCACACCAGAAGCCACTGAACCTCCATCTCTCTCTCCCTCTCTCTCAGTCTCTCTCGGTGAATTGAATTTATGGAGAGATTGTTTGACTTAAACTGCCGTTTAGATCTAATCTAACTGAGGATGATATGATGATGTTTGAAATTTAAACTTTTACCCTAACTCAAAAAATGTAAAATTTGTTATAAAACTACGGAGTACTGGGTAATATTTTAACTTGTGTCATGCACCGGGATGAGACAAAATTATTTGTGATTCTACAATGTGGAATATCAAAATGACTTTTTTTAGAGACATATCATTTAGACATCAAATATAAATGATATAGGTGTATTGAATTTATATAAATCTATAATACTCCGTATTTATTTCGAATATATTTAAAAAATACAAAAAACAGTAGTAATTCTAAAGGTGGGCACGAAAACTGTTCCCGTTGACCCGTTCTGAAACGTGCCGGAACCGTTTTGAAATTGTATCTTTTTTTACTCAATTTTTTTGTCCCTAACCCGTTTTGTCCCGATTTAAAGTGGGACATTACCGGGATAACATACAAGTATACCGTTCCATTCTATTTGTCCCGTTTAATTTATATATATTCTTCTAAAATCTTTATATATATATATATATATATATATATATATATATATATATATATATATATATATATACTATCTAACTAGAAAACCTTTTTTATTCTTTTCTTTATCTTTTGGGTAAGTTATGAAAATACGACTTGCAATTGGGTTTGGTTATACTTCCACAAATCCACAATCCCAAAATGTTTCAAACACTTGTTTTTTCAATAATCACAGAAATTTTATTTGCTTGTACGTTTTTATTGATTATAAAAAAAAAATAAAATATTTTTGATATATCTTTAAAAAAATTTCATATAGTTTTTAAATATGTAAATTTTATTTTTTATTTCTATACCAATAATTAAATAAAATTAATGAAAAAACTTGATACTTTATCTCATTTTTTAAATTGTGGTAAACATTTCAGAGTGAGTATCAAAAAGTAGAGAAATTTACTTAAATAGCACTAAAACACAATGACTCTCCCTAAATAGCACTATATGTGTTTTTCTTCCTAATGTAGCACTTTTAGTCATTATGCATTAGTCATTATTCAAGTAAATATTTGCCATCACTGGACATTATGGACATTATTAAGTACTATTTAGGGAATAAAACAATTTAAGTGCTATTTAGGGAAATGACTTAAGTTTTAGTGCTATTTAGTGTAAATATTTCCAAAAAGTAACTGCCAAAAATTGGGCTTAAAGGAATAGAATGATGCCAAATGTAACAACAAAATGACCACAAGTTTAAAAGTTATTTCCTTTGTCTCAAAAAGATTATTATAGTATGATTTTTTAGGTCAAACATTTTCACTCTTTGATCATTAATTAAATATAGTTTAAAATAATTAAATATTATAAAAATTTGATATTTTAAAATAATTGATTATTATAAAGATTTTAAATTTCAAAATTATATGTTCCCCACATCGACTTAATTTTCAATTCAATTATTTGATTATAGGTGTAAAATTAAAAAATAAATTTCTATATTTAAAAACTACCTCAAAAGTTCTACAAAACTAGAATAACAAGATAATAATTTTTTATCAAATATCTAACAAAAATAGATAAAAAAAAAGTGATTAAAGTTTGACCGTATAAATAGTACGGAGTACTCCGTAATTGGGAAGAACGTTTTAGGACGGAAGGTAGCATAATTTGATCAAAAAATTCAAATCATTGCAATCTTCTTTAGATGAAGAGAATATTACTTGAGAATGGCAGTTGCATTTCACCCATTAATTTTTTACTCGTACTATTTTTAAGTTAATCGGGGGATTTAGGGTTTAAGTCTCCCTTCAATACAACTTATTTTTTCAGCTTATTATTTATTCTTAATAAAATAAGATCAGATCTAATTAGAATTAATCAGATCCAATTCAATCAAATCAGACTAGATCAAATCTAAAATATCTTTAATGAAAATGATTATACTAAATAAGGTGGTTGAGATGTAAATAAATAAACACCGTGAGAATAATTTTGATATTTTTAATTTCAAAAAAGTAATGATAGGATATTTCCGAAATAAAAAAAGGCGCATGAAAAAATATAAGCCTTCAAATGGGGACAACTAAAAAATCGCAGAAATGCTATGTCACATGCAAACTATTGCAATTTTTTAGGTGTAGTTATCCATAAAATTGTAAATGAAACGAATAATTTTGACTCAATTCATAATTTGTGTTTGAATATGTTGATTTGAATTCAAATATTTCATATATTAATACAAATCCATATTTGAACCATAGATCTATATGCAATTGAAAGTTCAACACGGCTATGATGTGAATTATAACACTAATAAGGAATACACACCACAAAAAGAAGAGTAAATTCTATAAATCATCCTTTATAAATAGGAGTTTTCCATATTTAGTTCATAATTATCAGATATTATTGTTGTAGTCCTTTTTAATTAGGGTCCTTTCCTTGTTTCATCCTCCGTCAAAGATTTGTGTTAGTTGCGTTAAGTTAAAGGCTATTATTGTAATTTCATTTATTTTCCTTCCACCTACATAAAAAGAATTTGTTTCTATCTTTTGTCCTCACTCCTCAGCCACATTTCAGATATTCAATTATCCCGTATAGTCACCATTCGCATTCAATTTGTTGGAAGAACTAAGGTTTCAGTTTTCACAACCTCAAACAGTCCACAAACATCTAAACAACTACTCAAAAAATAGCAGACATCAACACAGCTTAGAAGAACATGAACAGTTATCAAGAACTGAAGAAATTCACCCAAAATTAATTGAATCAGAAATCCAACAAAAGCAATGAGATATCTTTACAAAAAACCCAAAAATCAGGAACAAATGGAAAAGATACAAGCAAGATTCAGAAAAAATTAAAGAAGCCAATCGCAGCGTGAACAGTAACGCTGCCAAAACCAACCCGAAATCAGGAAAATTGAACTCGGAATTGGAATCCTTTACTAAAATTGTTCCAAGAACACCAAACAACACACCAAAAACTGAACAAAATCAGGGTTAGGGTTAGAATCAGCTGTGAACAGTACTTCAACATGCTGCCCTGTGTTGCCTGGTGAAATTCAAACCGAACCCCTAAATTAACCAGAGAAAGACAGATCTTTGAAGAATTTTATTTATTTTCTTCTAGTCTTGGTGGGTATGGTTTTGTGTAGTTGGGTAGGACCAGCCGTTGGCTTGGCTGTTTTACTCTGGTGTGAGTGTGGTCCTACCCTTTTGAAGTACCTGATTGTAAGGCTGTGCTCTGTGGCCATTGTGCTTCATTTGGACTTGTTGTATTGTTCTGTTGTTAGGATCGTATCTGGCATTGGTCATGCCGTAGTATAGTGGTTTTGTTGCTAGTTAGGACCTTCTTGTGGCCTTGGTCAAGCCTTTTTCTAGGTTCCCTTACCCCTTACTTTTGAGGATTGTTCCCCCCGGAAGGTTTGTCTTCCGTATGAGGGGCTCGCTTTAGGCCTCGGTTTGGTCCTCCCCTCCTTTTGTACCCTCATGCTTTCTTAATAATAGCTGGTAAGGGTTGCCTAGACCTTACCCCACCGAGTTTGGTGGTTTGCCCGCTGGGATAAAAAAAATATGGAAACCCCCTACTTATAATGGACTATTTATAGAATTTATTCCAAAAAGAATTTGTTTGATCTTTTTAGAAAATATAGGGTGAAAGTTATGAGCAAAGAGAATCATGCAACCTGTTTCAATATTTTACCTCATGAACTATGAATATTAAACAAGATTCCGAAAAGTGGGGGTATTATGAGTAGATTTACCAAACAATAACTAGGAGTAGCTATTCACACTTGGAAAAAAAATTGAAGTAAAAATGTCTAGGGAAAGCAAAAGCCAATGATATAAGGAGTAACAAGTTAATAACAGATCAGTGTGCACTTAAACAAAAGAAGAAAGTCGAGAAACTCTAGTGAATGAGAGTCAAACGAACCTCAAATCTCTCTCAGTCGAGATAAACTTTGACATCAATGCCACTGTCAATGAGGGACTGAACCACAGCTCTTACTTTACCTTCGAACTTGTCACTATCCCTGGGAGTGTAAGCAGTGGTGTACACATCAGCCTCTCTCGCTCTGTCCGCCAAAATCCGACCAACAGCCAAGCATGCGGGTATGTCACACCTTGATTTCAGCATGGCCTTTATGTCCTTTGAGTTTGTGCCCGTGACTGCAACCTGCTTGCAAGTCACTCTGTGTGTGACGCTGAAACGTATCGCGCTGAAATGAAGACGTCAAGCGTGAAGGGCTCTATGAAAGGCCCAGTTCTTTGCTTGAAGGAAACATGCTTGTGTGGGTTCTTTGACTTTTTTCCCTTTTGGTACGTGTACGGTCGGCTATTGTCATCATCTGCAAAATCCCCCACTCCAAAAAAGCTTCTGGGCGAGTAATGAGTCTGTCGTCAAATGATATCTACGTGAGCTTCTTTTTTTACAATAAACCCAGTAGAATCTCACAAAACACTAGGGTCTAGAGGGTGAGTACGTTGAACTTACCCTTGCTTGGAAGAATGAAAGTAGAGAGGCTGTTTCCAAGGTAAGCTTTCTTTTTTATGCATCATCAAAGAACTTAAAATCTTAACTAATCTCACACAATAAACGGGCACACACACTGAACGCAATTAGCTACAAAGTTTTGAAGCTAGAGTCGAAAGTCCATCAGCCATCTCACACAGATTGTCCAATTTATATATTTAACATACCATTAATTAGACCATTGCCAAGAGAACTAAAAGCCATCATTGACAATATTTTAGCTCCAGGCACATGATAAGCTAAATAATTATGGCAAATTAAACTTTGCTTGGTCCTTACTTTCTATGAAGTCTTGGGCAGTAAATGCAACAATGCATCTAGTGTCTAAACGAAAGGGCCTCTCTGTTTTAACCATATTTGCACATAGACTTATGAATAGTACCATTTCCAGTTTTCCAATGGTCAATACTAAGTTAATAGCTCCACATGAATCTTGATATCCTTTAATATTAGAGGTCAAAAAAATTAAACACATAACATGAAACCCTATCCTACAGATATGTGAATGCAAAAGCCAAATGGAAAAATACTCGACCTGGCCACTGTGAAAGAAAGTGCTCATTTGTGCAAACAAAAAAGGCCTGGTGCCTCTGTGAGCACACAACTCATGAGACACAAGCTTCATCATTGTTCTCAAGGATTGAAACAACCTCTCACTGAGTGATGTGCTAAACGAGTGTCTGAAACTAAACAGAAGAAAAAACAAAACCACTTAGCTATGGTCATATACCATAGAAGAATAGATTTAAACACCCTGCCTAATCATAAGGGTGTGTTTGGGACTTATTTTGAATCTAATTTTCAGCTTTTGCTCTGAATAAAAGCAATTTGAACTGTTTTGGGTGACTTGATTTTCAACATTTTTGCGAATACTTTTAGATTATGTTGTCAAAATAATCACTTTGTTTTGACATCAATAATCACTTTGTTTTCATCCTCCAAGCAGCTCAACTTCCTCTCAATTTTTTGCTTCTCAGACGCAATCTCCTCGAGACCCTGTTTATTCTCTGCAACTTCATTGAGAGTAGCAGCCAATTTGTCCTATGTTTCAGCCAATTTCTTCTCTGCCAGTAGTAGTGCTGATTTGCTTCCCTTCTCCATGTCCAAAGGGGACCTCACTTCCGCAAGTCCTGTCGTGATTCTTGCCCTGTCCCCAAATAGTTCTTCTTCTGCCGAACCAACCTGCTGCAAAACCATTTTGGAATCAAGCAAAATCTCCTTCATCATGTCTGTGGAGTCGGACAAAGATGCCACCAGCTGGCTATTCCTCTTCTCTCCTTGATGATCACCACCAGAGGATGATGGCGGCACACCACCACCCAGCTGTAAAAACCAGATTATCAACCTTGTCCACCAACAAATACTCTCGTTGAATCACGGCCTCCAGCTGCCGCCTCAGTGCGTCGGCCGGGGTTTTTTGAGCAGCAAGTTCCGAACTCAGCCGGCAATGAATTTCATCGACAGCTAACTTGCCGGAGTAGATGTCGGATAAGTGGACATTAGCCCTAGTCTAGAGGGTCAAGATTTGACCCTCCAACTCCTTGACCAAAGCGACAAGTACTCCCATCTCATCTTCCCTTATAGAAGAAGATGATGATGGAAAGGCACCATCTTTACCTTCGCCCATGCCCTTCTCCGTCATCCCTGCATTCTTGACTTTCTTGATATTTTCTCCGTGGAGTTTCTTGAATATAATTGTGGAAGAAGAAAAATATGGTGTTTCAAGAAACTCTTGATATGTTCGTCATCCCTGCATTCAAGAAACTCCACGGAGAAAAATATCAAGAAAGTCAAGAATGCAGGGATGACAGAGAAGGGCGTGGGCGAAGGTAAGATAATGACAGATAAGATATAAGTGAAAATTGAAATAGAGAAGAGGCCAGGGGTAAAAAGGGTAGTTAATTGAGATACCTGGGGCGCTGCTTTTTGCCGTTCGTCGCTGGGTCAGGTCAAGCCATTGCCGGAGTCGGGCACGGAGTGTGGTGGCTAGAACGTCGGAAACTAGAGGATGGTTTCGCTGCTGCCGTCATCGTATCTGTTCTGCAAGTCGCCTGATAGAGGGAGGCGGGGCTGCTCTCGTCGTCGGAGGTCAACGATTGGTGCTTCTAAACTGGGTCTCCCGCTGCTCTGGTCGGAATTCGGCGGCGGAGTTGCGCCGGAGATGATCGTGGGCTGGCGATTGAGTTGGAAGGCGGCGTTAGATATGATTAGGGGAGACTAACTTCCCGGATATTATGAATTGGCCTCATGGATTTTAAACATATTTGCAATTTAGGGGGTGTATCCAAATGATCAAATTAGACCAATAAAGTGGAGTAAATCTAATATGTCAAAACCACCATAGGCTACTCCGATTGATGGGGACATTTCTACAAACACATAGAAGGCATAAAATATTAACCTAAAATGAATAAATTATGAATCAATTATGAATCAAAGTGTGTTGTCAAATGAATACGTACAACCAAGTGAGATTTGAAAAGAAATGCAAACAGAATGATATGGTCAAACCTAAAGCATGTGCATACACAAGTAACACAACAAACAAGAAACAAGTTGAATAAGAAGCAATTAGCATTTAGTGATGTACCATATAGTAGATGAGTCGGTTGTGATACCAAGAAAATAAGCACCAGGTTTCAACAAAGATGAAACATTATGCAACAGCTTCCTCGTTTTTTCTTCTGTTTCGAAGCACAACTACAAACATAGATGGTTTGTTTGGAACTTTCAGAGGATATGAACATACAATAAACATGGTCAATGTAGGCTGATTCAAATTCAAAAAAAGTAAACAAATTCAATATATACAAAACGCAAAAAAGCATAATCACACAAAAAATGCATAATCATATACACACAAAAAATTGAAGGCTTGAATATGATGGAGGAGAGTTGGAGAAGAGAAAACCCTACCTTGAAGGCTTGAAGACGATGAAAGAGAAGAACCTGCGCCCAAGGATAATGAGATCGAGAATATGAGTTCTTGGGGAAGAAGGAGAAGAAGATTGGCCGAGTAAATCCACGGCAGAAGGAGAAGAAGATAAGCGGAGAACGGGGGTTTGGTTGGACTCGAGAAAATCCGCCAGGCTTTGTATAGATTTGCAAAAGATTTTTTTATTTATACTTCAATCTAAAAATCTATCTCAATCCATATTTTATAACAATCCTTAAAAATCTATCAACTTTTCAATATCATTAGATTTAGAAAGATTTTTTAAAATCTCAATTGAATACCTCTAAATTTTAAATGATTTTTAAAAATCTCGATTGAATATCCACTGACTTTCAAAATCCAAAAAAAATCCTGCAGAGTTTGGATTGAATACACCCCCTTAGTCATTTCAATTTTACTTGGGTTATTTTTTTAAAAAAAAGCAATTTGTACAATTTGTACAAAGTATAATGTACAATTTTAAGTAAAACTGATGTACTTACCCTTAAAAAATATTAAGTATAAGTAAAAATATTTATTTCTAAAAAACAAAGAAAAATAATACGAAATAACAAATACTCCGTATTATTTTTAGACGAACAAAAAAATTACCTCGTCCATTGTTTATTTATAATTATAATTTTTATCAAACTTGTTTATACCTCAATCTTTTTTTTTAGGTTATTCCAAACCAATTCAAGATGCATTCTCATATTTCACCCCATCAAGGTGTACCCGATTGCAATGTAATATTTCTTTACATTTTTCTACACATTTTGCTTGAATTGTTTTTTAGCGGATGTGTATTACTACCTATTAATGTTCACGAAGATAAAAAAATGAATGGAATAAAATAACTTGGGGTGCAGGATCTCCTATCCCAAATGGATTTTGTATGAGAAAATACATATTTTCTATATAGAAAATGAAAAAAATGTAGTAAAAAATTGTTTTGTGATAAAATAAAAATTAAATATGGACTATGGAGTAGATGAGGATGAGGAGTATTTTTTTAGTAGTAATTGAAAATGGAGAGAAAGCATCTACAAGTATTCGATGCAGGTTCCACTCTTTGAAAAATGACCGTTCAACCGGATCTGAGAATTGTCTTGTGAGAGGTTATGACATCAAATATGGAGTTCTTCTTGGGGTTGTGAATGCCTCACAAATAAACCTACAATGGCACTGGGAAATACTACACAAACATGCATCGATCTAAAGTGCTAAATCCCACAAGTTTAATTCAAAGGGTAAAGTTGGTAATGCAGATCTTAACTGCCTAAATAATACTCCAAGGGATGATAGAGAGAGTAGAAAATATGCAAAATGGGGGGAAGGAGGGGTTAAATAAATCTAACTTCACATATTTAACCATTACAAAGATAGTCAAAATGAAGTTCTGAAGAAAAAAAGGGCAATGTCCTACAAACAGAAGACATGCCCAAAATACATATATCTAGCTAGCTAGCTAGGAATCCAATCTGTGAAACATTTTTACTTCAAATGTAAAAATGCATAACATAAACTTCAGACTAACAAACATATTTCACATGATTAATGATGAGTTAAGTACCAAACTCTTGCCGCCGCCATTGCTGAGTCAGAATTGTTCTGCACTGCTACTGCATTTATCCTCTAGTGGTGCTAATCAGAGGAGTGTGTTTTATTATTTTTTCTTGGTAACATTTACGGGCCTTGGTGACTTTTGGACCTTTGGCCTCTCATCATCATCATCATCATCATCATTGTCATCATCAATCACATCGGTCGAGCATCTAGGTTTACTGCTGTTGCTGGGGCTCTTGACATTTGGTTGACCATTTCTATTTCGCCTTTTGAGTGGACACCAAATATCGTTCTGATTTTGAGGTAGACCAGCAGGGTCGAGTTCAAAAGCACCAGCAGGCACACCTTCTCTCTCACTTCCAGACAACCTAAAAAACGGGATTTTATGGGAGAACCTGTAAATTTCATTCTTTGTTATGACAAAAGATGATGATGATGATGAATCGGCCTGCCCCTGAAATAGAGACACGTATCCATCCAGCTTATTCAAGTACCCAACTTTAAATCCAGCATCATCGACATTATCAGAGAGGACCTCCACAATTGAATATTTGAAGTGCCTGTGTTTATCAGGCTCGTAGCTCCAACTGATATCCCACCGTCTAAAAAGAGCCCAAATCTCCCCTTTTCTTGGGTATATGACGTACGCGCCCTTCTTACCCTTTTCCCACAGCACTTGATGGGAGAAGGAAGCAACAGAGCGAACTGTGGCAGATTTCCCACGCTTGAACTTGCCACATGCAACAGGTAATTCGGACATGACCCAATCATTATCAATTTTGTCATCCGGATGGATCTCAAGCCAATTGAACTGTATTGAAAATTTAGGAGAACATATCTTCTTGATATGCGCATAAAATCTAGGCATTCCATCTGCAGTGTCATAACATGCCCATAGTTGGTCAGCTGAGAAGCAACTTTCTTCCCTGTCCTTGTCAAAATCATGAAATTCTGGATCGGGATAAGTGTAAGTATCAACTGTATCCTCAATTATATGGACATCTGAACCAGATTCCGAATCAATTATTACTTCAACCTTTTTCGGACCATTTGGAATCGAACCAGCTTCATCATCTGCATTGGGATTCCCATTGGGCGGGCCCTCAGGAGTTAAATTTTCTTGGGATTTTCCATCTGGAACAATGTTTGCTTGGTTCATATGTAAATCATCAACCTCATTTTCATAGTATGAGACATCATGCCTTCTGCGAGAAGATCTCCTCACAGATTCACGGTTAATAGCAACTCCATGCCCACCGGCAATATTGCTTCTCTTTTCTTCCATATCAAAATCTTCCGACTCACCACTGCTCGTGGTATCGAAACTCTCACTTGATTCAGATGCGCGTTGTTTCCTGCTCCTTTTCCTGCTTTTAACTCTAGAGCCTCGTGGCATTTCATTCACCTTGCTAGGTCCAGACCCTACTCCCTTACCATGTTTCTCTTTACTCTTCAAATCCTCAAACACCTGAGAGGTATTACCTCTCTGCGGCCCTGCTGGTTGGAAATATGGAAATCCAGCTGGATTTACAGTCGGTATGGCAGTTGCTTGATTTGTGACCTCTTTCTGCAGATGAGGTTGCTGACCAGGCAGGCGTGAGCCAAGTCCGGATGAAATGTTAGTAGAGCCTATATCATATGCAATGAAAGGCTTTGCACAGTTCTGGCAGCGAACAGCTCGGTTCACTACCTCTCTCCTATACTGATACCTCACGGCACAGAAAGGGCAGCTTGTCCAGAATGCTTTATCAACAGCCGATGAAGTTGTTTTTGCCTTTTGTAGATTGGATTGGGTGGTAAACTGAGGATTGAAACCATTTAGACCAAAATTTGACCTTGCTGCAACTGGGTTGACCTGATGAGGTGGTGGTTTTGCCGGAGGACCTCCTCTAAATGAAACTCTTTTAGAGTCATATGCGTATCTTTTTGTCTTGTCTGACAGCACCAGATTTGCCTCTCCAATCAGCTTAAAAGCTGCTTCTGCACCAGGAAATTTGTTTTTGTCAGGGTGAAGGACAAGTGCAAGTTTTCGGTACTGTTTCTTAATGGTCACTTCATCGGCCAATCTGTCAACTTGAAGGATTCCATACCAGTCCTTGTCCAATCCAATCATATTGGTTTTAGCTGAACAATGAACACTGCAAACTGCTAGCACCTGGTTTATGTTCTCTAGTTCGGGATAAAGGCGTTGTGCTTTTATTGCAATCTTATGGGCCCCTTCAAATTCATTATTTTGCATCTTCCTCTCCGCAAGCTCCTTGGCCTTGATCGCTTCATCCTTGTTGCACTCCATCAAATTTACTAATTATGATTTGAACCATTCAAATCCCCGACATTGAAACTAAATAGGCAAAGAGCCGTTTCAAACCCCACTATAAGTTTCCCTACAAAAGTACAAAACAATAAATAGTTAAAGTTTTCAAATCAAGTTTAAAACAATATTATGGAAGATGCAACAAAGAGTATAATACAGAGTAGTTAATATTTTTTTATATTTTTAATTTTGGACCTGTATCTGAGTTTTGACAAATTTTTCACAACTATATTATTCAATGGTTACATTCCTAATATGTACTCCACATATACGGAGGAGTATATGACATGCATAATGTTTTGCATGTCATTTCATAACTTGCCAGTAGGATCATTAATATCTCTACAATAATAGAGGCTTTTGAAAAAGGCCTTTTCTAATGCGGAAAACTCATCCCGTGCTTTCAATCCGGGGCATGTGTGGCATTGATGCATGCACAAAGGCTGGGATAAATGATAAACACTTGACAGATGCAAAACTCAAGGCATTCGCACATACACACACAAATGCTTTTCAATGGCATTTAAGGAACTATTAATTTCCAAATAAAAACTTTGAACGTGTTTACATACAAGAAATTGAAAAGTTCAAACAGCAACAGGGAAAATGACAATTGAATTACGGAATTGTAGAATGTGATACAGATATATTGAGAGAGCAGCAACAGAAGAGACTGCCCTTCATTGGGCAAAAGAAATGACATTTTTTTCTTCTTCCACATTTCGATACGCATAATAATTAGTACTAGACTTTTTTTACTCTAAAAATGCTTCTAAATTAAGCCAAAATAACCATTTGAGCAAAATATCTGCTCCCATAGTCTTTACAAGTACATTTACTGAGCTTCTTATGCAGCACAATTCAGACACGAGTGGTTCATAAAAGATGTCAACTTTTGCACAGATACTTCTGATTTCTTCCAGATAACAGACGCTAGATATGATGAAGAACAGATCAATTTCAAGTAAGACAACTGTAAGCCTCTACAATACCTCCAGCGCATAGAAACCATACCGAGCCGACGAAGACGCAGCGCGAGCCCAGATCAAACCCTAGGAATNGGGGAAGAAAAACAAAAGAGGAAGACGAAGAAGATGAAGGCCGCGGGAAAATGTAGAAATTTGGGGCGTGGGTTGGGAGGGAAGTCCTCAAATCTTCTGAAATTTCATTTCCCCCATGGAAATTTGACACTGCAAATTTCTTTTGGTTTAGGGCAAAAGGGTTTTGTTGGTGGTTTGATGACAATAGATATGGGAAGAATCTAGAATTCTCATTAGGTGAGGTAGGGGTGATTACATGAGGGTAGAATTGTCAATGGGCAAAATCAACTTAATTGGGCCGGGCCGGGTTGGATCGATATAGATCGGACCGGATTGGACCGATATCAGTTTTTTAAATCAACTATTTCTTTTTTCATTTGTCCCCTAAAACTTTTATTTTTTCTATTTTTAGTCATTTTTAAAATAATAAAAAAACTAGCTTTTCTTTCCAGAGAAAGTCTATGTGACTCCAAAAGTTTTCCACTTTTTTAGTAAATTCCAATGGTGTTTTGTTCCATGTCTTCAACATTCATTTTAAATTTTGTCATAATCAAACATAAATAGTTTATGAGACATGTAGTACATGGTAAGAATGTCTTTTTCTCAAATAATATTTTTATGACATGTATTTAAAAAATGAAAATGAAAACTTGAATGTTACTAGCACCACTAAAGAGGTGTTTCCATGTGCTAGTGTTTATTGTCTTATTGTTGAAAAACAGTTTTTAACTTATAAGCTGCTTATAAGTTAAATATTCTTTAGTGAAAGTAAAATAACTTAAATGATCAATAAATCATTTCTAAATATTCATAAATGGTGAGGGACAACTTCGTAAATAATTTGGTCAAAACGCATAAATAAAAACATTGAATTAAAAAGAAGTAGCTAAAATCTTCTTATTTTTCTTGGCTTATAAGCAGCTTATAAGTCAAAAGTGCACTAACACATTCGTCGAAGAAACTGACCACACTCTTCTTAAAGACAACAGTGTATAAGAAGGATACACAAGCAATACACCATAGAAATTTTAAGCCTTCACTAAGAGAAATCATTAGTATAATTATGCTCATCAGTGTAAGAGTGTGTTTTCTTAGACATTCATCACATAAAGTAGCCAGAAATAACAAACATATACCCATACATAAGATTACGAAAGAGTAATGTCTTCGCTACTCAGAGACACCTTTATTATAAACATGATCATCACAACAAGTCAGAAATAACAAACATATACCCATACATAAGATTACGAAAGAGTAATGTCTTCGCTACTCAGAGACACCTTTATTATAAACATGATCATCACAACAAGACTATAATTTCTCAAATAATGAAAGTAGCCACTAAATTCTTATAGGCAACATTGTATAACAAGCATACTCAAAACAAGACTACAAAGATATAAAGAAGATATGAAGCATAGACACAAATTACGAATAATTGCAGAATAAATATAAAATAATCTGAGTAATTTTAGGTAAATAAGCTGAAAAGAACTTCCCCAATTGTACTTCAAGACCCAAAAGTTTGGATCAAGGCATAGAAGCAAGATGATCAACATACCGATGTAGAGGTGCATGCGTGAGTAGATTGCCTAAATAGGCTCAATCTCACTTTTTCACACCCATCAGCATCACCAATATTACCGTATAGAACAACGAAGTGAGGTTCCTCCCTCACACGGAGAAAATCGTTGTCTTTTTGGATTCAAGATTGAAAATGTCCTTCCGCTCTATGATTGAGGCAACATTGGCTTTATCATCGTCGTCATCGTTAAAGATGACCTCGTCCTTCTCCTTCCTGTTAGAGATGAAATCACAATCATCAACTCCACCATCTTCGAACTCTGTCTCTGGAATAAAGATTCGAAGCGTAAATCGTACGAATCCATTGTATAACTATGAAACGAGGAAGTGACATATGGTTTGGGAAGGAACCGAAGAGTTGAGATCGGTTAAGATAAAAAGAGGAGTGAATGAGGATAGTTGAAATTGGCGATGTAGTAAATGAGGGGGAGAGGTATGTAGTTAGGACTAATAAATGAGATTTAATGAGAGTGATATTTTTGGAAGAGTGGGTATAAAAAGTACATAAACGCCTAACTTAGATAATAAGGAATGAAATAAGGGACCCGCCAATGCCTTTGTAATAAACAGTGACGATGTGTTGACACCGAAGGCACTCATAAACAATATGAGAGTCAATATCAATGTGTTTCGAATGTTCATGAAAAACAAGAGTAACCGCAACAAATAATGCCGATTTATTATCACAATACAACTTCGGAACATCATGGGACAATGAATGCATCAAACAAACCACGAACCCAACATACCTCAGTGTAAGCATTAGCCATAGCACGGTATTTAATCTCTGATGAGGAGCAAGAGACCACTATTTGTTGTTTTCCCGCACATTAAAAGATTGAAAGCAACAGATTACCTAGCTTAACTTAAGAGCTTATTTACCCATTATTTTTCTTCACACTTTTTGATGTGGGTACTCTTTGACCACTTTCGAATGGACACCATTCTCATTGATTTGTTTAGCGCCAGCACCTAAAGAATGGGTGGAGTGTGTTAAATGAGGGTATTATGGTAAACTTACACCTACCTCAATTTCTAAAAATAATTTAGAGTAAAAATAATAATAAAATTATTTTTTGTATCAATTTTTATGATAGAGTATAATTTTTTTTTAAATCATTGATCAAACAATTTAAAAGGTCAAAAAAGGATAAATATTTTGATGCAAAGTGGTAGATTGAATGACACCGATTTGGTAATTTTGGAAATAATTTCCCATTCTAATTCTTTTTCCATATTTCTTGATATCATATTTCATTTTGGGTGTTTGGAAAGACAAAAAAAATTTGATTTGGATATTTTCAAATATTACAAAACATCTACATTGATGATTTCAATTACTAATTGAGTCACAATTTTAAATTTCTTCAAACAATTTCATTTCGATTTTCAAAACTCAAGTTTTCATTTCAATTTTCAAAACTCAAGTTTTCATTTCAAATTTCAAATCTCAAATTTCTTCAAACAATTTCATTTTAAATTTCAAATCCAAATCCAAACTGTGAGTCACATATTTTTTCAAAAATTACTACTCCGTATTATGTACCATCGATTTTCTGATTATAACTCTTATGTCATACATTTTCTGAAATATACTACAAGGTCCCAATGGTTTTGTAGTGAGAACTCTTAGATTTCCCCTTATCCAAATATACTCCAGAGGTCATTAAAGTTGGTGTTAACGTACTCTGAGGCCACATTTCGTTTAATTGACAATTAAAATTGAAAGTTCTTGAAAAATATCCTATATTAGACTTTACATTGATAATTATTATTTTATTAAATTAAAATAAAATTCATCATTTTATCAAAGTTGGTGTTAACTGTTAACGTACTCTGAGAACTTCAAAATATATTTCAGATAATGTGAGACTTGATAGTTCTTAAAAAAATCAAGAGAACCTAAAACATATTTTAGAAAATATGGATTCTCAGAGTTATTATCAGAAAATCAAACATCAAAGTAATTTTTGGTTGTTTTTCCTCTCAAGTTTCAAAATCTATAACATATTTTATCTTAAAAAATCACCAAACAAGCCTCAGTTTATCCAATGGGGAGTGATAGGGACGGTTTGGATAATTGGATTTGGATTTGGATTTGGAGGTTATATCAGACTGCATTATTTAATGGCCACAATTCAATTTCAAATTTCGTCAACACCGCTGTGGTTTTCTTCGTCGGGTTAACGATGGACCTCCGCTCCACTTTTCTCACCGGCTCAGCCCACATCGCCGCCGCTCTCCGTCCTCGCATCCGCCCTATCACGTCCACTCCCGCTTTCAAACTAACCACAGCTACCGTCTTCAACTGTGACGCGATAAAATGCTTCAGAATTTCATCGAATTTGGGGGCTGTTGCTCTTGAAACAGCGGAGACGGATGCTGAAGAAGACATCGAGTCTATTTTTTCAAGTATGTCCGCCGATGATGTCGATCAAAGGCGCCGCCGGAGCAAGCAATCGGCTACAGGTGCTTCGGGCATTTCATCCGGGGTTAAGCTGGAGAATATCAGCAAAACCTATAAAGGGCTTACCGTGTTGAGAGACGTGAGCTGGGAGGTGAAGAAGGAAGAGAAAGTCGGGTTGGTTGGCGTGAATGGAGCGGGCAAAACTACACAGATGAGGATTATTGCGGGATTGGAAGAACAGGACTCGGGAAATGTGATCAAAGCGAGGCCCAATATGAAAATAGCATTTCTGAACCAGGAATTTGAGGTCGAAGCGTCACGGACTTTAAAGGAAGAGTTCCTAAGTGCATTCAAGGAGGAAATGGAGGTGGCATCAAGGCTGGAGAAGGTTCAGAAGGCTATCGAGAAGTCGGTTGATGACTTGGAGCTGATGGGAAGGCTATTAGATGAGTTTGATTTGCTGCAGAGGAGGGCGCAGGCAGTGGACTTGGATGAAGTTGATGTGAAGGTTAATAAGATGATGCCCGAGCTAGGGTTCCTCCCAGAGGATGCCGATAGACTTGTTGCCTCGTTCAGCGGCGGGTGGCAAATGAGGATGTCACTTGGGAAGATTCTGCTGCAGGTGTGTATGATGTTTTCTTTTGGTCCAATATCACTCTAATGTTGATTACCTTTGCTGAAGGTCTTACACTCTCTGTGGGTAGTTATCTTGGTGCGGTGTGCATTTTTTGACCCACTCTTACAAAAACTAAAACAGTTGCAATAGGCCGTATATGTGTGCATACCGTTACCTTCTCAGTCCTATTACAAGACACAATGTGCTGATCCCAAATACTGAAATATAAGTAACTGTTGTGTTTATCGATCCACATTTACTTTTTTCTTCCACAACCGATCCTCTTGAAAACTCTAAAATGTATTCCCCATAAAAATGTTTAAGGACATATTAGTTAAATGAATATTAGGGAGTATATTAAATGTTTTCAATCATTTCATTGATTTGTGTGGAAGCCAAAATCGCGTATTATAATAACGATACGAGGGGCCAAAGACCTTGTGGTCGAGTTACACAAGTGTGGCTCTCCCAAATGGGAGGTTAGTTCGAACCCTAGCAGGGTATTTTAGTAGGTTGAGAAAGTATGTATGAACGGATACTACATTGTTATAGAGTCAATAGTACTAAATAATAATGATAGGAGGGAGTATACACTTTAAAGAGCAATGCTTCAGTACTTAAGTCAGAGTTTGTCCGGCTTGAATGTAAAAAGTTAAACTTGATAAACAGACTATGACGGAGGTAGTATTTAGTTATACCGCACAATCTTATGTATAAGAATACCGTACAATCACTTTTCCACAGAGACGTATATGTGTTTTGTAACAACAAATAGGTTGATCTCTAAGCCCTTGTTCTCTTTGTCTGTACTTATTGAATCTGATTTGAATTTTTTAAGTTGAGAGATCTAAATGGATCTTATCAAATCTAAATGAATATGATTTGATGTGATTGTAGTTTGATGTGATTGTAGTGTAATTTAAAGTTGTTGATATCTGATTCTGATAAACATAAGTAATAAATAGAAAAAAATAAGTTGAAGATGGCAGGGTCTAAGTGTAGTATCACTACCCACCAAAAAAGTTTATATGCTCACTAACTAGAAATGAATTGCTGATTAACTTGAAGTGGATGCACATTATTATGTTTTTATTTATTAACATGTTTAATTGTTTACAGGACCCAGATTTACTACTCTTGGATGAACCCACAAATCATCTTGATCTTGATACAATCGAGTGGCTTGAGGGGTATCTGAATACGCAGGATGTGCCAATGGTTATCATATCACATGACCGAGCATTCCTTGACCAGTTATGTACAAAGATTGTGGAGACCGACCAGGGTGTTTCCCGGACATTTGAAGGAAACTATTCCAATTACATTATTAAAAGGGGAGCATGGATTGAAGCCCAGTTCGCAGCCTGGGAAAAACAACAGAAAGAAATTGAACAAGCAAAAGGTTTGATTAATAGGTTAAGTGCAGGGGCAAACTCAGGCCGTGCATCTACTGCTGAAAAGGTATGCAGAATACAAGAAGCATGACGCACAGAAGTATCTTCTTTTAAATACATAAAATGATATGCAGGCAAAACACACACACACACGCACACACGAACACATGCACACACGCACACACGCACGCACACACATAACTAAGAGGCATTTGTGATTAAGTTTACATTTATTAATTTTTAATTGATCATGAACTCTATACTCTAAAATGATTTAAAGACTACTCTTAAAAACGTTGAAAAGTTCAGCTTATGGAAATTATATGGGATATTTTGCAATATCGAGAAAGTTTCTAAGAGTTTCAGTTTTCAAAGTGTGGAAATACCAAGAGCCAAGAGTGTCCATGCATCATATGTGTGCACAAATGATACGGAGTATTTTGGAAGGATACTCCATAAATTGATCTAAGATGATAATATATTCTTTGCGAGTATTGATTTTATTATATTCATTTGGCAAACAGAAGCTGGAAAAGCTTCAGGAAGGGGATCAAGTTGATAAGCCCTTTATTCGGAAACAAATGAAGATAACATTCCCTGAGCGGGGAAGAAGCGGAAGATCTGTTGCAACAATTAAAAATATGGACTTTTCTTATGGCGATAAGGTTTGTGCCGATTTTTTTATATTAACATTGTTGGTTTTAAAATATGGACTTCTCTCATTAATATTGTGTATCCCATTCTTTGATGGGATGAAATATAAATACTCCTTATTCTGTATGCATTAACGCTCAAAAAATGTTATGTACAAAGTCATTGGGGCACACCCCAGCCAAATCCATCAAACAACCTTGGCTAGGCCAAACACACAACCATATCTAAGTACATTCAAAAGTAAGCAAAGATTTCGTATAAAGTTCATACCAAATCTTATAAATCATAATCTTAATCTCAACAAAAATGTCATTACAAGTTGGGGATAAAGATTCAAAGTAGATACATTCCTCATCTTCCAAAGTGTGCAGATCAGCCTTTTTAGCTGCCTTGTTCCTTACACGTGTTTCACCATATTCCTTACACATCCAGTTGATAGCACTAGGCAAGGTAGACATCTTTCGTGTCAATCCAAACCTTCCATGCACAGCCTCCTAAATTATGCCAGAAAAAGAATATTTGTAGAACGGACGTTCCACTGTGTCCTTCCCGTTCTACAAAGGCTGTACTGCCCCTCCATATCCAAGAAAAGCAGATTACCTTTGGCTGGTAATCTACCCCGAAAGCCAAATCAAGCCACTCAAATTGGTGTTTATCTCGTAATATTGTAGAGGGTTTCCAGATTATAATTGCCTTCTTGAGTTACCATTAGTCCTTACAGATATGTACTTTTATCAGGTCCTTCTCAAGAACGTTAATCTAACTATAGAAAGAGGAGAAAAAATTGCCATCCTCGGTCCAAATGGGTGTGGAAAGAGTACTTTACTGAAGTTGATTATGGGTCTAAAGAGCCCAACCAAAGGTGAAATCTTGCTTGGGGATCATAATGTGGTACCAAACTACTTCGAACAAAACCAGGTTACTCCTAATTCTCTTATCATTCACGAGAAAATCCATGTATTCCAATGAATGGGGCAAAATGTAACTTAATCAACCATTTTTTTTATTATAGCATCTTTCTCCAAAAAAGAAAAGAGTTCTGCTTGTAAACTGCAATATTGACGTGTGTACTGCAAATACAACCCTTTATTGGGGGCGATGAAGTAATATTTGAATATATTTCATAAACAGTATTTAATCGGAATTACAACTCTCTAGGCCTCTTTGTTAATCGAAGATACATACCATATTCATTGTCAATGTCATTAAGCAATTTGAAATTAAACCATCTCCCTTAGTTAACTAATTCAAAACATAGGAATAAAATATTTTATACTGCTATCTCATAAAGATGGATACTTTTGATTTATGGTGACCGATTTTTAATTTTGGCCAATGTTTTTTACCAATATATATTAATGAAAAATATAAGTATCCTGCTTACATTAAACCCTTGTGGCGGGACCCTTTCTGGACCCCGTCACAAGGATGCTTTGTGCACTGCGTTGCACTTTTTATTAAAAATGTTCTGCTTTTAGAAAAGTATTCTCAATGCAACACTATTCAAGTGCCTCAATGGCTCCCGCCCATTTCGGGCTAAGAGGGGTTACGCAGTCTGACCCCCTAATTAAACATAGAGCGACTGTTTCCACATGATCCATGAGGAGCGTCGAAAGTTGCATTGACTAACTGCTAGCGTGTACAGTTTATAAGAGTATTCTCAGTAAGGAACATTTTTATATTCCATATTACTTTTACACCATTCTGCAAAAAAAATGAAATTATTGGTCAAAGTTTAACATCTTTGGCAAAAAAAAACAAACAAACATAACATGTCTCTATGGGACAAAGGGGCATTAAATTCAAAAATCTTCTACTTATAGAAAATAAAGAGATGGAGAATTTTAAAACACTAAGATGTTATTAAAAGATGCATTTTTATTATATACTCCGTGAATTTTATATAATACAGCTAGTCCATTTGTTTTAATGTAAACCAATAATTCAGTTGTAATAATTTACTTTTATAGGTCACAACATTAGCAAATGTAACTCGTCTAGTTATTTTTACTTCTGCTAGAGCAATCAAAATAAATTGTTAACCTGTTCAAGATTTATTAAGCTCATATATTTCAATTACACACAAGCATTTTTTTTAAAATAAAGGACAATTGTCCCTCTTCTCTTATCCATGTGTTCACCTGTGTTTTCATTGATAGAGCAATTTTTTATTTTGGTTGCTTTAAACATGCTAATGTCATTGTTATTCACATGAGCAAAGATGATATTTCTGATTAGGCAGAAGCACTTGATTTGGGCAAGACAGTAATTGAGACTGTAGCTGAAGCTGCAGAGAACTGGAGACTAGATGATATTAAAGGACTTCTTGGGCGTTGTAATTTTAAAGCCGACATGCTTGATAAAAAGGTTTCAGTTTTGAGTGGTGGTGAGAAGGTAATGGAGCATTGGATAGCTATTTTTTCAATATAAAAAGAGTTTTTATTTGTTTGTTTCTATAGTTAAGGTGTATGTTGGTTTTGAATCCCCTTTTGGGTTTTCACTTTTATGCACCAACATATATATTAAAAGTTATTTATCAATTTTCAACAATTTTATTAATATATATCTTCAATTTTATTTTATGTTTGTGCACACAATGAAACAAACCTCATTCTGTGGGTCTCTACTCGGCTTTTTGTTGTTGTTGCGCCCAGTGAAACAAAATATATGTTATTGCAGTTGATCTTCCTTTTTTTCTCCTTTAGAATAGTAGGCTTACCAAGTCTTAAGATAAGTGTGTACATATATATAATCAACGTGTTCTTTGGGTGGTTTATTAGGCACGCCTTGCCTTTTGCAAATTCATGGTCATACCCTCCACTTTTCTAATACTTGATGAACCAACGAATCATCTTGATATTCCATCAAAAGAAATGCTTGAGGTATGATTCCCTTTTAAGCTTTCATTTTTTTCTAAACACAAACATTACACTTTTAAGGAGTAGCATATATCCTTCAATCACAATGCTCTAAAGTTTCATGGCTTTCATCTTTTCTTATTCTTAATTTCCTCCCTTACCCCATAAAAATGTCATCATTTGTAATTTTTTCATTTGTAGGAGGCAATAACAGAGTACCAGGGTACGGTCATAACTGTGTCACATGATCGATATTTCATAAAGCAAATTGTTAACAGAGTGTTGGAAGTGAAAGACTGCACTTTACAGGATTATGATGGGGATTATGAAGTAAGTCTCGCTTATGTTTCCTTACACTTTTCTTATTATTAGCACTGCTATAGTATCGATGCTAAATTTGCTAAAACAAGATTTGGCATGTTGTTTTAGACCTCAAGGTTTCATATATCTGCTGATAGTACAATAATTTATAAAATGACAGTATTATTTAGAAAAAAACTTGGAGGCCCGGGAAAAACAAATGGAGAGGGAGGCAGAGCTGGATGAGAAGTCCCCCAAAGTTAAATCCAAAGCAAAAATGTCAAAGGTAATAACACTGCACTGTGCTTTTTTATTATGCATGGCCAAAACTTGTATGAGACGGAGTCATATTCAAGGTAAGCCAAAAAAGTTACGTACTCCCTCCATCCCATAGAAAAACTTCTTTGTTTGACTTTTGCAGAATTCTAGAAAAGTCTTAAAAAGTGGAAATTTTATTGTTAGAATTTGTTTAAAGAAGAGAAAAGTTGTGAGCCACTCATTCCTTTCTTTAAAAAGAAAGTGAAGTTCTTTTGGGAAGAATAAAAAGGGAAAGAGTTAAGTTTTTTTTGGGACGGAGGAAGTACTTTATAAGTTGAGACTAATGTGAAGTTTTCCGACTAAGTTTGGGACAAGGGAAAGAGATGTTCGTTCAGAAGAAGTGGAAATGTGTGGGTTATATTGGGTATGTGAAGTATTAATGATCTTGAACCACCCTAATATGACCTAATGTGGTATGGTTCAAACATTTTGGGTCAGGCCAAAACGAAAAAAAATGTAAACAGTAGTTAGGCGAGGGAGTACTATTTAACTGAATAAAAATTAGGGAAAAAATTACTCCGTAAAAGATATACACAAATTTAATAAAAATGTTTTAGATATTTGTTCAAGAATGATTGTCATCCATCACACGCCTTACATTGCTACCGATCTGCGGTGGCCTCCCCAAAACAGAACCGACAGATGAAACCGTTTGTGTGAACGACAACACAAGACAATGAATGTCATCATCTGATCCCTATTTTTCTACCATTGAACAACACCTCATCATACACAGAATGAAGAAGAAGAAGAAGAGTCTGGTTTTATTGAATGTGTACTAACACAGTATTTGGTTATGAATTGTGAACATTTTTTCAGGCCGAGAAGGAAGCACGGAAGAAGCAGAAGCAGCAGTCTTTCCAAGCAGCCAACCAGAGGTCCAAAAAAACAAAGAACTCCAAGAGATGGAACTAAATTCATTCATTTTATTAACACACAAAAAAAAAATTGAAGCAACTCTGCAGTGCTATTTGTAACTATTATTACTACTAGACTTGTAGTTAGTTGAATCAGCCAGCAGCCAACAACATTGTCTAGTCTGTATGTACATATTACAAAAAACAGCAATTAATTTTGAAGAGAAGAATGAAAATTCTCATTACAAAATCTGGTCACTTGGAAAAGTGGAATTTGATTAGGCTTGTTGTTGTATTATCATTTTCATAACCCATCATTCTTCATCTGTGGGTTTTGAAAATTCTTTATTTTGCAGTTCCATTTACCAGTTATACCCATTTTGCTATGTCTTCTGCTCAATGATATTTCAAAAGGTCTACAAGTCTTTTGCTGAATGACATGTCAACAAGTTGGTCTCAAATTCCTTTGATTGACACTTCAACTAATTACAAAAAAGTGGCGGGCAACAAATTGCGCGGCTGGCCGTAGAGTAGATTTCCCTTCACGTGGATCTTAGAGAAAGTTCATTGGAGCCTCCTTCTTAGCCGAAATCTTTGTCCGCTTTAAAACATCACATAGAACATTCCTGATCAGATCATATTTGTATTTAAAACCAAGTAAAAACTCCTTGCAATACACCGCATGCTCGCCAAAGGTATCAAAACAAACTTTGTGGCAAATTGGGCATGACTTGTCAACCGGAAACAGAGGGGTCAATAACCCGTACTTAAGAATTCGCCCTTACATAATGACGTAAAAAGAATAATACATAGTACAACGTATTTTTAGGGGATTTTGTTACGAGAAATGGCTTCAATTAACATTCTAACCCCATTTGTCATTGAACATACTTGAAAATATTTCTGGTTAGATTGAATCAAAAGATACATAGTACAATTCATGGTTTCCTTAAAGAAACACCTTCTCAAATCAAAGTCTACTTGCAAAACAGAACATTTTCTTACCCAAAAAAAAAGCCTCTTTTCATGAAGACCATACATCTAAAGGAAACCCTTTTAGAAGGATCAAAGCAGAGACCTATTGAATCTCCAGGAACCTTAGCTCACCAAATCTCTCTTGTAAAAAAAAAATAGTTTTTCAAACAAGTAAAAAAAAAAGTCTCATTTTTATGAAATGAATTTAAAATGTCAAATAAGCACTTCAAATGAATTTATCACTCATTCATTCATGTGAACAATGCCCATACCATATAGGAATCATAATTTCATTGTTGAATACTTTGAGTGGACAACTAATTTTTAAGATAATAAGATTATATATTTAAAAAACCAAAACATAACAAAATGATTGGTTTCATTGGCAACCATAAATAATTCAAGAACTTGGACAAGATTGAATCTAAAAGATTCAATTCTATGGTTTTATTGGATAGAACTGCCTTCATATGAGCAGCATTGAAAGAACATACTACAAACAAAAAGGAATAAAACTAAACTCACATATTTCATTTCCTGGATGATGAGTCTTTGTTCAGCAGATATTTCTTGAGAACATCCATGACCGATCCGTAATCGGGCTTCACCTGAACCGGGGGGTTGGCGAACCGGCTCCCAATGTCCTTGATCGCCCCCGAATGGTAATCAACCTTGGACTGGGTAAACTTCAGCCCGTGGGCAGTACTGACCACGACCGTCTTGTCCGTGGGCTTGATCACCCCGCTCCTCCTCAGCTTGATGAGGGCAGTCAATGCCACGCCCGTGTGCGGGCATATGAACATCCCGGTCGAATCAGCTTGAGCCGTGGCATCCATCAGCTCCTCCTCGGTCGCCTCCTCCACAATCCCGTTTGAGTTTTTCAAAGCCAAAACCGCCCGGTCGATGGAAACCGGGTCGCCAATCTGAATCGCGGACGCAAATGTCGTATTTGCCCTCACGGGCTTGAAGTCTCCTTTCCAGCCGGCTTTGTAATGCAGGTAGAGAGGGTTGGCATTTGCTGCTTGAGCACAGACAAGCCTGGGAATCCTATCAACAAGCCCTAATTCTCTGCACATGTGAAACCCTTTGTAGAATGCATAGATGTTGCCCAGATTCCCTCCTGGGATTATCACCCAATCTGGCACTTCCCAGTCGAACTGTTGAAGGATTTCAATGGCGGCCGTCTTTTGGCCTTCTAATCTCAGGCTGTTGAGTGAATTGGCCAGGTAAATGGGGAGTTCAGATGTGACTTCTCGAATCAGCTTCATACATCCGTCGAAATCTGTGTCTATGCTCAGCACAAAAGCTCCGTTGGCTATGGGTTGGACTAATTGGGAAATTGATATCCGATTTGCCGGGAGGAAGACGATGGAGGGGATTCCGGCGGAAGCACAGTAGGCTGATAGGGCGGCGGATGTGTCTCCGGTTGAAGCACAGCCGACGCCGACCACCGGTTTGTTCATCTTCCTCAGCCGGTTCACCTGGCTGACCAGAACAGTCATTCCCAGATCTTTGAAGCTGCCGGTGTGGCTAATCCCGCAGTGCTTCACCCACAGATCGTTCATGCCTAGAAACTGTTTGCCGAAACGCTCGGCCCAGAAGAGATTGGAATTACCTTCGAAAGCGCTGACTATGTCGTCGCTGGCGATCCCAGGCAGGACCCACTCCTTCTTCGACCAGACGCCCGAGCCGTACGGCCACGTGGTCTTCCCGACGCGCGAGTCGAAGAGGGAGCGCCAGTACTGGCCGTCGAACTTCTTCAGCGCGTCCATGTCGTGCTGGACGTCGAGGAGGCCGCCGGAGCGGCTGCGGTAGACGATCTCGTCGAGCGAGTACCACTCGTCGGTCGAGGCGGGGTCGGCGCCGAAGGGGACGTACCGGGCGGAGAAGTTGTGGGAGGAGCTGAGCCGTCGCGCCTCGTCGCGAATGTTCTCGTCCGCGGGGCGGCGGTTGTTCTTCTGGTGCAGCGCGGCTGGGCCATCGGCGGCGGCGGCTTTGATCGGGTGGAAGGCACGTGACGGGGACTTGGATGGTCGGCGCGGATTGGGTTGGGGGCAGGGAGAGACGAAGGTCGATCTGAGAATGGAAGAAGCAGCCGCCATTGTCGAGAAATTGTTGTGAGGGTCAGTCTTTTTTTTGCTGAATATATAGAGAGATCTATTTATTCGATTTAATTTATAGAGTAGGTCCAAACTACTCTACTTTTTAGAACAAACAAAAATGTACTTGCTCACCACTTTGTACCTCAAGTGTTACTCCGTAACTCATAAGCTAAGGTGTTTTGGGTTTCTTGTACACTTACAAAGGTGTCAAGGATAAGATCAAGTTTAATATATGATTAAAGTTTAATTTATTATTTTCTGAGTAAATGTTCGGTCGGATTTCAGAAGATTTTCGAGGATGGGATTCATCCTTATTTTTAATGAGCCAACGTTTACAATATCATTCATATCATTTCACACTAATTTTTCTATTGGCTTGTGATAATCACACGTACTAAAATATTAAATCCTGCCTATAACTAAATATACTTGCCTCATAAATGTGTTATTATTTGAAAAAGTTTTACGAAAATTACAACACCCTTCATCCAACTTGTATCTAAAACTTAAAATTAACATTATAATAAAAAAAATTAAAAATGCCCAACATTTATTTCATTTTATTATTTAAAAAAAATAACATTTTATTTTAAATATAAAAGTTTGTCATCTATTATTTTAATATTTATACAAATGAATTAAGTTTCACTATTATTACATTTAATGACACTTAAACTTTCATAAAACTTTTAATTTTTTAAGTATTATACCAATATGCATTTTACCTTTTAAGCATTTTAATATAAATAATTATTTTATCAGTTTAGAAACATAACAAAATAACTCAAATTCAATGGTAACCTTCTTCTTCGATATGGTCATTATTACTTCTGAATAGCTATAGTTATGTTTTAAAATAGTTTTTCATACGCGTGTGTCTCGTTAAGCTTATTGTTTTTGAGAAATAATAAAACTATTCTGTAAATTAAAAATTAATATGGCAAAATGCATATAGTTAATGCATATTTTTCTATATTAATAAAATTTATAATTTTTTTTAAAATTATGCATCATAGGGTGTATTTTGTTGACGGGGTGTAGATCATACTCCGTATTTTAGAATTCTGATACAAAATTGTAATTTACACCAAATGATATATCATAACATTATTGATAAGTACTTTACTCTACTTTTCTCTGAAAAATGGTCAGTGATTTGAGTAAAACAAAACAAAGTTTAAGATTTTTTTGATTATTTTTTATTTCCAAAACAATATTAAATAAAAAAGTAAAAATTTCATATTTATAACATACATTAAATGTTTTACAAAACATTACATGGTAGTAATTTATTATTTTATAGAAATACTCCCTCTGTCTAGCTACCCCAAGCCCCGCCCCATGTGTGGCCCTTATGTTACTAAAATATTAAATTGTCTCAAAACATTCTTTTCAAAACATTAATCTTTATATGTATATATTACTGAAATATTAAATTGTCTAAAAACATTAATCTTTATTTAAATATAAATTATATTATTATTATTATTATTGAATACTAGTACCAAAATATATTATTAAATTTATTTTAAGAAAAATTAGTAAAAACTTATTTTACTTTATTAATATGCGTTCATTTAAATGATAAATAAATTTTTATCCTCCCTAATAAACTAAAATCCTCCCACTGATTGGGAGAGAATAATTAGCAAGAAAATTTGATTATTGTAAGATGGAACTGAAATCCTCCCACTGTTTAACAGTGAAGGCTTGCACCGCAAAACCCTAAATTCTTGATGCTTTCTTTGAAACCCTAACACCATGAGAAGAGCTTTCAATCTATGCTCTCGCAATCTCTACCGCTTCTCTCATCATCTTAGCATCAAAGACCCGATTCAAATTCGCTCAAGCACCAGCAGTTTGATCAATGCTCCCTTTCACGATGCTCTGGCTTACAAGCTGAGATTTTCATCATCGTCTGGAAATGAAGATCTGTCCAGCACCAACAAGCCCGACATTTCCCCGCAGACTGATGAAACCAGCTTAACCCAACCAAACAACACTCGGGTTCCACCTGAGATTGAGGATGTCAGCAATAAAGGTTTTGCTTTTTTCTTCTGGGGAATTTGTCTTTTTGTACTTCTGGATTCTTATTTTCACTCTTGAATCCTCAAATAGTCTGTATTGATTGTTAATATCGTATTACGAGTCTGTTTCGTAGCATCATGTTGGCATTGTTTTCTTATTCTGCTGATTGCAATAAGCAGAATGAATGGCTTTTTACTTATTTTTGGCTGAAATGGATCTTACTGAGCACTTCTTCTCTCAGAAGTTCAGCAATTTTAGCCAAATAACTTTTTCCGAACTGGTTCTATAACTTTTTTTTGTCCTGTTTATCGGTTACGTGTAACTTATAGAGATTGTAGTTTGAAGGAATTGCGGTTTTATCATCGAAGTATGACTTTTGAAACTATGTAGCTGTAGACCCTTAGGCAACAACACTATATGGAGTCTACTTGTTCACCTCACTCACTTTGTTGCTGTTGTTTCAGAGCTGAAAGAGATGCTATATGACTACTTCAGCAGTAATAATAAAGATGTTCTCCCCAATATCATCGAGGCCATTATGAAGAGGAGATTAAGCGGAAAGCATGATGATACAGATGATGAGATAATGGAGGACATTCGAATGAGCCGACTAGAGCCCGTGGATAATATTGATGATGAAGAGTTTGAGCATGATTTTGAGGAAGCTCATTCGACCGATGAAGAAATTGACAATTTATATGATGCATCAGATATTGTGAAGAAGAGAGTGGCACGTGATGAATATTTCAACATGGATGCAAGAAAGTGGGATGATATGATTAAAGAGGCTATTTCACATGGACATCTCAAGGATACCAAGGAGTGTGAAGAGTTATTGGAGGACATGCTTCACTGGGATAAGCTTCTCCCTGGTAATATATATATTTTTGTTTTCCAAAGAAAATAATGGAAATTATGTTCTGTTTTGCACTGCCTCGACTCATTTTGTGTAGATTTGTTAATTTTGGCATCTTTGACAACTTGAAAATGTTCATCAAATGTTATCTCCAACTGGACCCTTTATGATTTCCATCCGTATGGATTATGATATTCAGCTTTTGAGTAACTATAGTTTTGTTCCCTGAGAATTGTATATGATACATTGGTTTCTTTTCTTTTGTTTTCTTTACTCTTTAGATGAAATTAAAAAGAAGGTGTCTGAAAAGCTCGATGAGATATCTCACATGGTAGACAAAGGTGAACTTGAAGCTGAAGAAGGCTATGCGTTGTTCAAGGAGTTTGAGGATCAAATGGTTCTAGAATGTACTGAACTCATGAAGGAGGAACCCTTGCAATTAGACGAGCCCACTGTTGCTGATAAGAAAAAGGATGTGGACGACCCACCAGGTGAGGGGCCTATCCTTAGGTGGCACACTAGGGTGGTTTTTGCTCCAGGGGGTGATGCATGGCACCCAAAGAACAGGAAGGTGAAATTGGCTGTTACTGTCAAAGAGCTTGGTCTTTCAAAACATCAATTTCGGCGTATGAGGGAATTGGTTGGAAAACGTTACCATCCTGGGAGGGATGAACTTACCATCACGAGTGAAAGGTGAGCTCACATGCATCAGCTTTATTTATTAAACTCAGTGAGGCACCATTTCATTACTACTCCATTTTTAATTGTGTTTGTTTTATGACATGGAAAATGATGCTTTTCATGGAACATAACAGGTAAGGTGGACAAATTGGTTTGCGGTTCCATTTTTTGGGTGCAATTTCGTGTATTCAGTCTAAGAAAACAAAGCCAAAATGTTTTTGGTTCGGTTTTGAAGAAAATTGGCTTGGTTTGGTTTAAAGTTTGCATTACCAAATTCAAAAAAAAGTCTTGTTTGAATTTTTCTCTTTCCAATTTATGTTGATTTATTTATGTATAAAAGCAGTCAAGCTATAAATTCCATATAAATGATCAATAAAAATTCCATAAACCAACAAAGTAATTAAACAATGGTTTGGTATAATAAATATACAAAATAATTTATTTTAATAATATATTTAATTGCTATGATTATTCATTATGAATAAATAAACATTCAGCTTGAGCTGCATAAGACTATGTAGGCGCACTTAGATGCCAGATCAATATTTGAATTGATTTGGCTAAAATCGGGGGTTAGGCACCACTGACCCATAGTGAAGTGACGTTAAAACAAGTGTTACACATTTGTTGGACATTCAAGTTTTGGTCTTTCATATGCAATACCTTTAGTTCTGCACCTTCTTATACTCTGTATGTTTTAATAAGAAGAAACTTTGGATTGTATTATCAGGTTCGAGGATCGTGAAGAGAACAAAAAGGATTGTCTTAGGACTCTATTATCCTTGATTGAGGAGGCTGGAAAAGCTAATAAAATGGTAGAGGATGCGCGTACGGCCTATGTGAAGAAGAGACTTAAAGCAAATCCACAATTCATGGCGAGGTTGCATGCAAAGACAGCTAAGATGAGAGAATCAGTTCTCTAGCCTTCATGATATTTCTTCAGGTAAATAGGAGACATTTGTGTATTTGTTGTCTAAAATTGACTTGGACTCTGAACCGTCCTTGTAACTTTCTGTAGTAACTCCATCGTAGGAGATGTGAACACTTCAAATCAATTCTTACATTCACTTGTTTTTACTCCACTGTGGAGTGACCAGAGGATTAGGTTGGATCCCCCTATGTACTTCTTACTCCATCTATAGTCCGGTTCTAAGCATCTGTCCACTTTTTCCTGTTACTATACGAAGGAGCATTCACAATTAAAAATAGGATGGACTTTGGAAAGCATGAAAACTGAAGGTAAACCATGCAATGTGTTTCACTAAATGTTAGCAGAGTCTCATAGATGAGGGCACATTCGGTAAGAAGGGATTAGTTATTTTCTTGGCACATTATTTTTTCAATCACTCACACCACATGGGATAGAGAGACGCAAGGGCGAATCTAGAGCTTTGTTTGGTTTGGTTTGGTTTGGTGAGTTGTTCAGTTTGCATATTTGTTGTTTAAAGCTTCTTATTTCCAAAATTGCTATCCCATAAATCATGACACGATGCAGGGTCCTTCTGGAATTTCCCGTTGTGTATGCATAATTTTGCTTCTTTGGCGGTCAATTCACTTACAACAACTTGTGTGGACGTTGTTGAAGGCGCCATATAAACCCAAACGGTCTGAGCTATTTGGATGCCAGTAAAAGGTCATATGCGACTTGCCAAACTTGGGTGTGCATGAAGACGGTGGGAGAGATATGGAGCTTCTTCGTTCGTTCTTTTCACACACGAAAATCATAAACAAGTTTTCTGAGTTATTCTCTAAGGCATTTGATGCAATTCCTTTGTTGCCAAACAAAGAGTGCTTGATTCAATGTTTTGTTTGTTTTCTTATGTAAACCATTGTTTAGAATCACTTTTTTTGGTGGAAAGAATCACTCAGTTTTGATGTTCATGTACAATTGGACATTTTTCTTCTTTATCTTCAACAATGAGAAAAAAATGCAATATAATCTCAAGGCCCCTTATAAAAATTTTGCAAGATTGCTTGAATCAAGGATTGTGCAACAACTATTTGTAAAGGATATTCTCAATTGCTCACTAAAGATATTTGAAAATCAAAGAAACACTTATAAGAGTAAATTGATGAATAAAATTAGCATACTTTAATATCCCAATCTACTATTGAAAGTGTAGGTGTATAATATGTCAATGAATTCAAATTGCGTGGAAAAGAATATTGTCAAAATGTTAAAGAATGGTATGAACACTTTGAATAATCAATGATGTGTCAAACAATAATTTAATAAAAATATTTTAAAATAAAATGCATGCTACAAAACTTTGACGATAATAACGTATTGTAATTCACTTTTTTTCTTATTTCAACCTTCAGAAGATAAAATTCTACCTTTTATTTTCATCCTAACTACCCCTCCGTTCTTGAGTATTAGTCCATTTTTAATTTTTCTTTTGATCAAAATTAGTAAACTTTAATCTCAAATTAAATAAAAATAATATTAGATATTGATACAAAAATAGTTTTATTAGTATCAAATATTTTTAAAATATTATTCTATCTAATTAATATAGAATTTATATTTTATTTAATTATAAGTAAAAATCTGAAATAATTAATCGAAAAAATCAAAACCATTGAATACGTTTTCATCCCAACTATGAACTTCAATTAGCTAGGCGTGCTTCTGTACACAATTACACTTCTTCTTCTTCTCTTCCAGTCTCCAGATCGGATCCAGAAGGAAAAGGAAACACATCGGTACAGCTATGGATTCCTCTTCTTCATTGCTATTCAACCAGCTCAAGGTTTGAACAAAGCTTCTTCTTCTTCTTCATATTCTTCTTCTGTTCTTCAACCCACATTTCTGATGGAAAGAGAATAATTCCGGCCCTCATCAAATCATTCACAGGCGGCGGAGCCTTTCTTCTTACTCGCAGGTCCCAATGTGATCGAATCTGAGGATCATATTCTCTACATGGCCAAGCACTTGAAGGCCACGGCCTCCAAGTATGTATGCTATTCACAATATTATTGCATTCGAATCTCTCTGTAAGGTCACCTGATGATGTCATATGTATGTTCACCTATTCTTTGATTGGGCATGTTTGGTTTGATTTGGTTTTTGATCATGTTCTTCATTTCCTGAATAATTATTAACATTTCTTGGTGTAATGTGATAAAAAATTGGCACCTTTTCTCCTTGGATTAAAATGTTTCTTTCAATGTTAATCTTCCATCTAGACTTGGTTTGAAGTTTGTATTCAAGTCAAGCTTTGACAAAGCTAACCGCACTTCCTCCAAATCATTTCGAGGTCCTGGCTTGGCTGAAGGCTTGAAGGTATGGGAAGTATTTCATTTAACTATGCAGTGCCCTAACTTTTCACCTTTACCATTTAAATAAGATAAATAGCATTCCATGTTCCAGATAAATTTACACACACATTTTATGAATTTGTTTGGGATAACTTATGATCTAAGTGCTTTTATGTTGTTTTCTTATTTAAGCATTTTAAACGTTTTCCTTAAAAATGCTGTTTTTTTTGCTCTTTTTGAAGTTTTCGCTCTATGAAGCACTTATTCCTTGAAAACAAGTGATCCTGAATCCACCCCAAAAAGTCATAAGACACGTGGATGTCATGAAGATTTTTTCAAAGGAAAGCACATCCTGCTCTATAAAACTCATATCCTTTTTTCTGCTATTTCCAATTTCTGTTGCAGATCCTTGAAAGGGTAAAAGCAACATATGATATATCTGTGGTCACTGATGTTCATGAAAGTATTCAGGTAACATGTTCTCTTGTGGGCTGTATAAGTCTGTCTGCCTGTGCTTATCCTGCTATGAAACTTAGGTCTGAGATGGATGTTCATGATTTGCTCTCTCTAGAATCAAATAACATGCTGAATAGACAGACACTGTTCTCTTGTGGATTTTAGTAGTAGTAGTAGTAGTAGTAGTAGTAATACTTAGTAATAATAATAATAATAATAATTAGTAGTAGTAGTAGTACTACTACTAATTGTCTTTTGCTATTGCTTGCAGGACTTTCATTTCATTGTACTTGGTGCTTTATCCGTGTTATACTGTCCCCTTTCATATTTCTGTGCAGGTTGAGCCGGGGGTCTCTTGGAAACAGCCTCCCTACTCCCGAGTAGGGGCAAGGTCTGCGTACACACACCCTCCCCAGACCCTACTATAGTGGGATTCAACTGGGTTGTTGTTGTTGTAGTAGTAGTAATAATAATATGGAGTAATAATGAAACTTAGGTCTGAGATGGATGTTCATGATATGCTCTCTCTAGAATAAAATAACATGCTTAATATGGAGTAATTATAATAATAATAACATCCATTTGCATCTTAATATTAATAATTAATATAATAATCACTAATAATAATAACTATTAACAATAATTCTAAGATATTATTGATGGTATCAGGGATGGATGATCAAACTGGGCATCCTATGGTTTTAACTATTGCTTGCTTTTTTTCAGTGTGAAGCAATTGGGAAGGTTGCTGATATTATTCAAATTCCTGCTTTCTTATGTCGGCAGGTAAGTCTGTTTCATTTAGGTTTGAATATTGAGAAAATAATGTCTAAATTATGTTGTGAAATCTCTCTTTTATTTTTTCTGTAAACACTTTGCAAGTTTCCTTTGTAGAAGTTACATTTTTAAAAAATTATCTTTCTGTTTCTAAATGCAGACAGATCTCCTTGTTGCAGCTGCCAAGACTGGCAAAATAATCAATATCAAGAAAGGGCAGTTTTGCGCACCATCTGTAAGTAATGAGCTTATGATTGTCTCATTGTCTGGATCACGATATTTTTCTTGATACGAGTATTATTTATTTCTATCCCTTTTCAACTGATAAAAATATGTATTTCAAGGTCATGCTAAATTCTGCCGAGAAGGTCAGATTAGCTGGAAATGAAAATGTAATGGTGTGTGAGAGAGGCACAATGTTTGGCTATAGTAAGTCAGCTTCAATACCTTGCTATCTAATGATGTTAAAATAAGCTTCCAATTTAATTTATTTTTTTTCATTTGCTTGTTTGCTTAGTTTGGATTTATAAAAGTAGTAGTACTGATAATTTGCTCATAGACCGTTCATAAAATATTATATAGTTTTGGTTAGTAAAACTTAGTATTGATCTGGTAGTTTTTTCTTCTGAAAAAATAAATGTAGTCTCATCTCTTGCCTTGTGCATTGTTGAAAAGGAAGTGAGGGGGATTTTTTTAGTTTATTCTTCCATGCTATCTCAAAGTATGATTACCGGTTGTAGCATTATAAAATAGGCTGGCCCTGGAGGTAGTATATAGAACTGGAGTGCATCTATCACGGACCTTTGCTCCATATAATCATGAATGAACCTTCACACATAAGTTTATTAATTAAAAAATATAAAGTAAATAAATATTTATCTTAACATTATGAAAATGCCTATGTAACTATTAAGGTCCATGAATTCTTAAATGGACCTTAGGCCCACCTAAGAATTTAAGATAGAAGTTTTCTTCTATTTCCAAATGATATTTCGTTTGTCATTTCACTCCAAATTCATAATTGGAAATTTATTAGAATGTGGGATGTAATGGCAATAACAGCCAGCCAACCTTGTGGTTAGCATTTAGACATAAAAGGCTTATTACTTGTGCAGGTAGCTTCCTACTTGAGTATATTATTCCCTTCAACTATATTAAGAGACATTTTTTCCCTGGAAAGAAAGGATTCAGTTATAGAGGAGCCAACCAACATTTACAAAATAAATGATAACAGTATAAATATAACAGTATAATGCAATAAAAGAATATGAGTATTGGCCGTTCAAGGTGTTGTGTAATTTTAGGGTTATACTACATCCTTATGTTGGGACCCTCTCGAGGACCCCGTCCCTTGCTCAACAAAGTTTTTTTTTCAAGGGGCTGTTCTTTAAAATGCAGTGAAAGTCTAAGGTGGATCTTGCATTGTCTCTAAGTGGGGTTTATGCTGATTAGTAGTTTTCTTACTTTGCCATTTCAAATTCAGAAAGATGTCTTTTGTGATGATGATACAGATGACTTGATAGTAGATCCACGAAATTTAGAGTGGATGAGGGAAGCAAATTGTCCAGTTGTAAGAATATACGATAATTCATTTGGGTGTCTGTGCCTGATTTCATTACACCTATCAAACTTATGTCTCTGGAAATGCTTTTGTCCTTAAGGTGGCTGACATAACACATTCTTTGCAACAACCTGCTGGGAAGAAGGTGCACTTATCAGTTTTAGTATTGCTATCTGTGGCATACTTTGGAGAATTTATCTTGCAAGTATTTTTTATAATCAAACTGATAAAAGGAAATCGTTACAAACCACTTAAGCATGTATCAACAATTTTAAACAACAACAAACAACTCTATCTGGGTGCTGCTCTGTTCAAGAGTACTAATTGTGGTTTTCTGCCATATATTTCTCCCCCGCCCCCAAAAAAGATTCCTCTTTGAGAAACTTTCTTATCTTCCAAAAAAGAGTCCTATTTGATCAAAAGAAGTTACTTTTTGTGCAACTTGACAACAAAGAGTTACAAACATGTTAGATGTGATAAAATTAGTTAAAGTAATAAAAATAAATGAATATATGTAGGATTCTATAGCTTTGAAGCATAGCACTTTGCCAAACGCTGAGAGTTTTAACTTGACCAAGCATGACCCTTTTTTTGTTGGAAGGAATTTTTATCAAGTTGATTTTCAGCTTTATACTCTAAGCTTGTTCTTTCACCTATGATTATTTTTTCTGCTTTGTCGAACAGCTGGATGGCGGGGGTGTTGCCAGTGGTGGTCTCCGTGAGTTGATTCCTTGTATTGCCAGAACTGCCGTTGCTGTTGGAGTGGATGGACTTTTCATGGAGGTACATGAGTAGTAATGCCTGAAAAATGTCTGAGTTTGTTGTTTTAAAGAAATGCCGTGATAAATTAAACAAATTCCTTATTTTGTTTTTGAACTTGCAAAGTTTGACATGCTGTAATTCTTGTTATTGCCTATGTTATATTGACTAAGAGGTTTTCCTCCCCATTTCACCCTAGGTGCATAATGATCCTCTAAATGCTCCTGTCGATGGTCCTACACAGTGGGTAAACTTCCATGTTCACTGACTAGTTCCATCTCTTAACTCCCCCCCCTTTGTTTTGGCTTTATTAAGACTTGAGCTTCATCATAAGAGGCAATTAGAATACTTGTAGTCCCATATACTCCCTCCATCCCATAATAAATGTCAAACTTTCCTTTTCGTGCCGTCCCAAAATGGGTGTAGCTCTTCCTTTTTAGCAAGCCAAACACTATCAAATGTCCATTCCACCTTCGTTAACTTTTTCAAGCTTTCTCAACCTTTTACCCTTTTTATCCACACATTTATACACAATCAATCATTTTCCCTTCCCCAACCTTATCTTCTCTACCGGGAGGGGCTATAGGAAGCCAGCGAATACCTTATTAAGACGGTTGTATCATAAAAGGTTGATTTAATAATAGGACTTGTTATCTACGTAGTAATGTGTTATACAACAACAAACCCAGTACCCCGTTGGGGGCTTGGTATAATTCAATATGTATGAAACCTTACACCTGTAAAAGAGAGGTTGGTTCAGTACAACCCTTTATGCATTCTTTTATATTAACTTCCCAAAACCTCATACCGAGGGTAAGGAGTAATGGAAGCTTAATTTGTTATTTTTGATCTGTTCATTATTTGCCCAAAGCTACAACAATTGACAATGGTGTAGGCTGGGGTAAATAATTAACTACATCAAAGTAACAAATTAAGCTTCCATCACTCCCTATTACATTGAGGTTTTGAGAAGTAAATATAACAACATTGGGTCAATATCAGATGACTGTGTAGTCTCATTACTATGCAATTTATCAATGTCTGTTCACATGGGGTTAAAGTACTTTTGTCAATATAGCCTCTTCGCCATCTGGAAGAACTACTAGAAGAGCTCATTGCAATTGCTGTAAGTAATTTTATCATTTTCATTCTTCTTTTTGTTTCATTTCAATAAACGAGATTGTTACGGAGTATATTTTAATCTGAAATTTGGGGAATTTTCAAAGAGGGTCAGCAAAGGGAAGAGTCCATTGAAAATCGATCTTACTCCATTCCGCGACTAGATTTTGCCATGGTAAGTACATTCCTGAAGCACAAATACGTCGTGTATCTTTCAGTGTACTTTGCTATAAATAACCGGTTCTTAGTGCTTGTTTGGGATGACTTTTGAAAACTACTTTTCTGCTTAGGTTGTCACAAGTGCTTTTAACTCTACACAGTCTAAACACTATTGATTTTCATTTCATTTCAGTAAAATGATATTTTATTTGAATAAAAGCAGCCAAACGGCCTGCCCTTTGGCCTTTCCGTTATCGTTTTTGTCCATTTTGCAGATATTTGGGGAAACCGTCCCACTCTGCCTTCTGTGCCTCTTCATACTTTTTGATAGCTGCTCGAGTTTCATCGACATAAGCTGGGTGTTCCAAAGGATAAAGTTGGAATTTCACTGCCTGCGTAGTGTTACTAGAGAGCCAAAAAGGGATGAACCATTTCTCCCCTTGTGTAGTTATGTTCAATATCGTGTAAGCCAGCATTTCACCCGTGTGTTTCGCACAAAAGAACCGTTCCCAAATTATTTTAACTTTACCAATGGAAATATGAGTATGATTTCACATGTATATTCATAGAATTTGTTTATTTAGTACGAGTATTTAATATCTTTAACTTTTTGAAAAATGTAGAGGGCTTTTATACCGTTTTTTTAATTAATTTGAACTATTTAAAGGTTTTTGGTACTCTGTTTCTATTTTGTTTGAGAATTTTTATTTGCGGCAACTCATGACACTACATTGTCCCGTAACGGAAGGGGAGGGTCGACGAGTTCATTTTATGATTTAGTTTTGATATGTAAAGACTATATAAAAAAAGGTTAAATTTTGAAACTTTTTTGGAACAAGGAGATCAATATCTAATCAAATCATTAGTAAAAATGGGCAAGGTTCTCATGACATTGGTTCCCATGACATTGATTCCCAATGTCATGGGAATCTTGGTGAGAAAAAATAGAGGAAGATGAAGTCAAAAAATTTGATATAGTGAATATGAATTTTTAAGAGTTAGTATGATTGAGATTAACAAAAAAGCAAAAAAAAAAAAAATATTTCTCACATCTTTGAAAAAGTTTAACATATTTTTTAGCACCATTAATTTATTAATTTATTAATAGAATGTACCGAGTAGCAGTTGTTTAAGTATATTATTTTAACAGATTGAAGAATAAAAAATCAATGTCTTCACCATTGGGTTCGAAGAGTTCTATTGTATTAGTATGTATGGAGTACTAACATATTAAAGAATAAAGAATCAATGTCACCACTGGTATTTGAACAATTCAGATTTGTGGTAGTATCTGATTAAATATATTTGTTAGATAGCTATGACAATAAATATAATTATGGTAGTAATAGTATTCCTATTCCTAGGAGGATTTCTATTCCTAATCAAGGTTAGGATCCTTGTATATATAAACACCCCCATGTACCCATTATTCCTTGAGTGAAATATTGCTAAATCAACATGGTATCGGAGCCACAAGATCCGTGTTTTACCCTACTGTGATAAGCATCGGAAAAAAAAAAATTCACAATCGGCAGGAAGCCGATCTTCTCCCCCTTGATCGCACTGCCTCTTGCATCCTTTTTTCTTTACTTTTGTTTTACGAGATCTTCATTATCCCTATATTCAGCACCTTGCCAACAAAGTCAAGCTTCTGCCGGATTCCTCTCCTCAAACACAGACCCGCTGCTGGACCATTCGGATATGGCGACTCTCTCCTCTGACCCTATGGATTCTCTACCTACAGGTCTAAAATTGTTTGTCCGGAATCTCCAATCTTTAACTCCGGCCAAACTTGATGATACAATTATCCTTCTTGGTTAGCCACGGTTAAAGCAAATCTTCTAGCTCACCGTCTTCTTGGTTACGTTGATGGATCTGAAGAGCCTCCCCCACCCCTTCTTTTGGACGAGAAAGCCGCATCATCGGGTAAGGATGCGGCACCGTTTATGAAGCACAACCCCGCATATGAAACATGGGTTATTGTTGACGCCCAAATTCGAGCATGTCTTCTTGCTATTGTCTCACCAACAGTTCAAACTCATCTTCATGCCCTGTCAACCTCCGCTGCTATTTGGAACCATCTTGAACAACGATATAATTCTCTATCACGAACTCATATTTTTCAGTTGAAGGAACGATTGCATGGTCTTCAGAAGGGTTCAGATTCCATGCAAACGTACTTAGATATGGTTCTCAATATTGTCTCTTCTTTAAAATTGGCTCATGAAAATATGTCTGAGCAAGACATTATTCTATGTGTTCTCCGTGGTCTGCCGAACGAATATGCATCACTCAAACAGAACATTCGGACAAATATTGGCACGGTCACTTTTAACCAAGTCTCTGCGTGGCTTCTGTCAGAAGAATTAAATCTTTCTTTTGAGAAAAAATTGCAGCTTGGTGATTCTGGCTCCACCTCGTCTACGGAGATTCACAATGCACTCTTTACACACTCTGGACGGGGCAATGGACGTGGTCGTGGTCGTGGGCCATACCGCGGCAGGGGGGGCTGGCTCGTGGCGGCAATAGCGGTGGCAGAGGAGGCCGATCACAGCCCTACCATGATGATATGCGTGGTAGAGGTGGAGGACGTGGAAATTCTGTTACATGTCAGTTGTGTGGCAAACAGGGTCATGCGGTCTGGAACCGTTGGCACCGTTATGACGAATCATACTCGGGTCCTCCACAGGCGTACCACACGCGTCAATCCCCTGAGACTAATTCGAACTGGCATCTGGACACTGGGGCAAACACACATGTGACATCTGATTTTTCTAGGTTGCAGCATCCTTCTCCATATCATGGTACCAATTCTATTACAACTGCTGGAGGTAACACTTATCCTATTGATCATACAGGCTCAGGTAGTTTACCCACACCCCACCATACCTTTCACTTAACCAATCTTCTCCATTCCCCTAATATTAATTCTCACCTTCTTTCTGTACATCAATTTACCAAAGATAATAACTGTTCTCTTCTTTTCACATCCAAGGACTTTACGATTCGGGACAATACAACCAACCAAGTTCTTTTCAAGGGCCCCTGTGAGCGTGGCTTGTACTCACTTCCAGCATCCAGTCCATCTCCAGTGGTCAATACAGTCAAAGTCACCCCATATCAATGGCATTGTCGTCTGGGTCACCCGTCTGTTCAAGTTACTAAGTCTCTGTTATCTCAGTTAGGTTTTAAGTTTCAACAACTTGATCTTTGTAACTCTTGTTCACTTGCTAAGTCACATAAACTCCCCTTCCCTGTATCTGAAACTAAGGCATCTGCACCTTTTGATCTTGTTCATTCAGATGTATGGGGACCTACTTCTGTACCCTCCTTTGTAGGTTATCATTTTTACATTAATTTTATTGATGATTATACCAAATATTGTTGGCTTTATCCTCTTAAGAGTAAGTCTGATGCTTTTCATGCCTTTCTTAGCTTTCAATCTATGGTTCAAAATCAGTTCCGTACACAAATTAAAATTTTTCGAACTGATAATGGCCGTGAATATGTCAATAAATAGTTTGGGTTGTTCTTGCAAAGTTTGGGAGTTCTCCATCAAAAATCATGTCCTTACACACCTGAACAAAACGGGGTAGCAGAACGAAAACACCGTCACTTAGTCGAAACCCTTGTTACACTCCTCTGTACTGCATCTCTTCCTGCTAAATTTTGGGTTGAAGCACTAGCCACTGCCAATTTTTTAATTAATCAAATGCCCAAACAGTCTCTTAACCGAATGTCCCCGTATGAAGCTCTCTTCCACACTTGTCCAGACTACTCACACCTTCGTGTGTTTGGGTGTTTGGCATACCCGTATCTTCGTCACGAAATCACTAACAAATTTCAACCACGGTCCAAACGTTGTATCTTCCTTGGGTATGATTCCTTTTCGAAGGGATATCGGTGTTTTGATCCTTCCACTGGTCGTCTATACGTCTCCCGTCATGTTAAGTTTCAAGAAAATCAATTTCCATACTCTCCCATGCCTCAACAACTTGGCCCATCTTCCCAAAATTCATTCCTTGGCATCCTTCCTATTTTTCCGGTCAGTTCGTCATGTGACTCATCTCATGCTCGCTGGGTCCCGCCAGCCACCACACCTCAGTCGCACCATCCTACGCCACCATCACCTACCCGTAACCTGACCAGCCCGTCACCCACCTCGTCGGATAATCCGACTCCTGATATCGTACCCACACTCACCACACCAGAGCCACAACACACCCACCCAATCTCCCCACACCATCTTACTACACATAGTCCCGAATCATCCCCTATCCCATCTCCACCCCCACCACCTATCCGTCATCCTATGACCACCCGAGCACGGAGTGGCATCTTCAAACCCAAACTCTACTCCACTTTTATTCATCCTTCTGATCCACCTCAAACTGAGCCTGTTACCTATAAGGACGCCTCCTAGAATAGTTATTAGTGTCAAGCTATGGATGAAGAATATGCTGCCTTGATGAATCAGCACACATGGGATCTTGTCCCCAAACCTTCAGATCGTGTTCCTATTGGTTGTAAGTGGATTTACAAAATTAAACATAATTCTGATGGTTCTGTTTCCAGGTACAAGGCCCGACTCGTGGCAAAAGGGTATACACAAGAATATGGCTTGGACTATACTGAGACTTTTAGCCCAGTCATCAAGCAACAAACTATACGGGTGGTCCTCTCGTTGGCAGTAAATCACAATTGGCCCTTGCATCAGCTAGATGTCTCCAACGCATTCCTTCATGGTGTTGTACCCGATGAGATCTATATGAAGCAACCTCCAGGCTATATTGACCCGATGTACCCTCATCATGTATGCAAATTACAGAAGTCCCTCTATGGGTTGAAACAGGCGCCAAGGGCATGGTACGAGCGTCTGTCAGGGTTCCTCCTTGACTTTGGGTTTCAGAAAAATGAACATGACACCAGCTTTTTTGTTCGGCACTCACCTTCTGGGATTCTCATTGTCCTTCTATACGTTGATGACATCATTGTCACTGGTAGTGCTTCATCTCTTATCTCTTCCTTCATTCGAGCAATGCAACAGGAATTTCAAATGAAGGATCTTGGTCCCCTTCATTATTTTTTGGGACTGGAGGTCAAACGCACCAAGGACTGCCTGATCTTATCTCAGGAAAAATATGCACGTGAACTACTCCACAAAGCAGGGGTTGCCGATTGCAAAATTGCCCCAACCCCGCTGCCAGTGCGATCAACCGAGGGGGGAGAGACCAGCCGTCCATTCAACAATCCTACTTTCTTCCGGAGCTTGGTTGGGTCACTGCAATACTTGACGAACACTCGGCCAGATATTCAATTTGCTGTGAATTATGTGTGTCAACGGATGCATGCTCCTACCGAGCAGGATTTCCAGGCTCTAACACGCATTCTGCGTTATGTCAAAGGCACAATCGATCGTGGCCTACTGTTTCAGCGTGGGGACCAACACCTGCAGGCATATTCGGACTCTGATTGGGCAAATGATATGACAGACGGACGCTCTATTACTGGTTACCTAATATATTTTGGACCCAATCTGATCTCTTGGAGTACAGAGAAACAAAGTCGAGTGTCGAGGTCTTCTACAGAGGCCGAATACCGAGCACTTTCAGCAGCTGCAGCAGAGGTGATGTGGCTCTCCTACTTGTTTGATGTTTTACAGCTCAAGCTTCCTCCTCCACATCTATTTTGTGATAATCAGTCAGCTATCTGTCTAACCAAGAATCCAGTTTTCCACAAGCGAATGAAACATATGGGTACAGATTGCCATTTTGTACGAGAACAAGTTATTGCAGAGAAAATGACTGTCTCCTATGTTCCTTCCACTGAGCAGCTTGCTGACCTTCTAACCAAAGCATTGTCATCACCACGGTATTCAGCACTGGTCTCCAAGCTTCCTCTCGTTTCACGGCGTTCAGCTTGAGGGGGGATGTTAGATAGCTATGACAATAAATATAATTATGGTAGTAATAGTATTCCTATTCCTAGGAGGATTTCTATTCCTAATCAAGGTTAGGATCCTTGTATATATAAACACCCCCATGTACCCATTATTCCTTGAGTGAAATATTGCTAAATCAACAATATTTTATCAACTTATTGAAGAAGAAAGAGATGACATGTTCTTACAATGTGAACCTCTGACTTCTCATTTGAGAGATAGAGACCACAGTTCCTTAGATAATTTACAAGTTTGTTAAGACCATGTGTAGCAGGGACGCCCCTTCGCTATTTACGCTCATTCCCGCCGCAAATCACGCTGTTTAAAAACCCCCAGTCGCCCGATTCCTTTTACGAGCTAATGCTCTTTAGAAGAAAAAAATCCACCTCCCTCCCCATCTAAAACCATTACCTTCACAAAAATATACGGTGAATGAATCATTGATTAATAATGAAGGAATTTGAAATGACATGAAGCACTATATTTTTTTTGACTCAAAATATATTTACTTACACGATGTTCAGATGACGAAAAACGTCCAAAGAACTTAGCCATAGTTTTTATTTTGTGAAATTTGCACTAAATAGGACTAAAACATAATGATTTTTCTAATATAGGACTTAAACTTTTTTATTCCCTAAATAGGACTTAATAATGACTTAGTGAAAGAAATAATGTCCAGTAATGATGGGCATTTAGTTAAATAATGATTACTTGATAATGACCAAAAGTCCTACATTAGAAAATAAAAACATATGGTGCTATATTAGAAAAGTCATTATGTTTTAGTCTCTTATATTTTTTGATTTACTCCGTAAGAAGCCATGTAAAAAAACTTCTTATTTGAAAAAAATACCACGTAAAACTTATTTTTGAGCGTACGGTCGAAGTATTTTCCGGTACGGCTGGCGGCAACCAATTCCTTCTCCCAAAGGCATTTGCAACCAGCCCCAGTATTTAGGCGGCGGCGGCTAATGATACGGAAGCGCCGGGGGCATTAAACAGTAGATCTCGGAATCTCGTGAATAATCGCACAGATATATTGCTAGATCGTCGGTGTGCTGAGAATTCTAATGGGCACTCATGAGGAAGATCGATTTCTTCTCGAAGGCGGCCTTCTCTATCAGGTTCCGCTCTTTTTTCTTCTCTTCTTTCTTCGATTTACATGCTAGTGCACATATGTATTTCATTCGATCAGTTGTAGTTTTTGAATTCATTTACTCTGAAATTGCATCAGAAGGATTTGTGATTGAGGATGATGAAAGTGTTTGTTTTTCATCCCAATTGCTTGTTCCAGAAAAGTTATGGCGAAATTGTTCTCCGAAACCCCTCGTGTAGAGACAATTCGTTCATCTCAATTGCTCTTGTTTCATTTTTTTGTTATCTACTCGGGATTTTGTAGTATGACAGTGCAATTGGGATTTCCATCATTGTGCTATAGAATTCGAAATTGATGTTCAGATGTGGGACTATTGAATCTTTGATGTTTCGACAATTGCTTGCTTATATATTGTGTTGTCAGAATGAGAGCAGCAGAATCCACACAGGAGATGGTTCGGTTGACAGGAAAGGGAACCCTGCAGTGAAGAGCAGTACTGGAAACTGGAGAGCTTGTCCCTTCATTCTTGGTATATTTCTGTCTATCTTTGTCCTATCTACTACTTATTGTTTTGCTTCTTTTTTTGGGTGGTGTTTACTTTTGAAAGCTTAAATCTAGGTACGGAGTGTTGTGAACGATTGGCTTACTATGGAATTGCTACAAATCTTGTTAGCTACCTTACGAAAAAGATGCATGAAGGGAATGTTAGTGCTGCAACAAGTGTCACAACTTGGCAAGGCACCTGTTACCTCACACCTCTTATTGGTGCTGTCCTTGCGGATGCTTATTGGGGAAGATATTGGACGATTGCTGTCTTCTCCACTATTTATTTCATTGTATGGCTTTGTCATTTTATCCTTCATTTCTTCCCGACTGCCGTTCTTTTCCTGACATACTTTTGTCATTCCTTTTGTTCTTCTTTGGTCGGATATTTTAGATGGGAGGTGTGAATGTGATATACATTTTATAAGTTTATGTTTTATTAAGTGAAGATGAAGATGAAAAAATATAATCTGTATATAGAAAGGCATGGTTTCCTTAAAGTGCTAAACTTATAGATATTTTCTATTCTAAGATTAACGAATAGAGATAACCCTCTCTCCTCCAAACCCCTCAGCTAAACAAACCCCTATGGACTACTCTCTCATCTGTGGTAGAATAATGACTTATTACTTGTTACCTTGAAGAAACATTAGTAGTAATATATTTATTATCATCATTATTATCCGGACGGAAGAAGTATTTAATTTGAAGTTATAGGCAACACTAACCCTCATTTTGTTATCAACATTTCATAAATTTCCCTTTGGTGAATTTTGGTCATTTTGTCGCTGCTATGTACAGGGAATGTGCACATTGGCTCTATCTGCATCTGTTCCCGCTTTAAAGCCAGTTGAATGTTTGGGTTCTTTTTGTCCCAATGCCACTCTTTCCCAATACGCTGTGTTCTTTGTTGGCCTATATCTTATTGCACTAGGGACTGGTGGGATTAAACCATGCGTGTCTTCATTTGGTGCCGATCAGTTTGATGATACTGATTCAAGAGAGAGGGTCAAAAAGGGTTCCTTCTTCAATTGGTTCTATTTCTCCATCAACATAGGTGCTTTAGTTTCCAGTAGTTTGATAGTGTGGATACAAGACAATGCAGGATGGGGACTCGGATTCGGTATTCCTGCACTGTTCATGGCACTTGCTATTGCCAGTTTCTTTGCTGGAACTCCTCTATACAGATTTCAGAAACCCGGTGGGAGTCCTATCACAAGAGTGTGCCAGGTCTTGGTTGCTTCATTCCGCAAGTGGAATGCAACAGTCCCTATTGATAGCAGCCTGTTGTATGAAAGTCAAGACAAAGTTTCTGCAATCGAAGGGAGTAGGAAGCTGTTGCACACTGATGAGTTAAGGTATTCAGAAGTTTGGTTGGTTTTAACTGAAAGCCAAGAATACAGAAAAGACTTGCTGAATGAATTTTCATAATGTTTTGGTTAAATTGCATATTGATAGACATCACTGCAGTTATAATCCTTATGCTAATGAACTTTGTCTTATCACTTCTTCTGTAGATGCCTTGACAAGGCAGCAGTGATATCGGACACTGATCTGAAAACAGGGGATTATTCCAATGCATGGCGCCTCTGCACAGTAACGCAGGTAGAAGAATTAAAAATATTGATCCGCATGTTCCCCATATGGGCAACTGGGATAGTGTTCTCCGCAGTTTATGCCCAAATGTCAACACTGTTTGTAGAGCAAGGGATGATGATGGACACTTCCATTGGTTCCTTCAACATCCCTGCTGCCTCTCTATCCTCTTTTGATGTCATCAGCGTCATCGTCTGGGTCCCACTCTACGATGCCATCCTCGTCCCCATCGCAAGGAAGTTCACTCGGAAGGAAAGAGGGTTCTCTGAAATCCAACGGATGGGTATCGGGCTCTTCATCTCTGTCCTATGCATGTCAGCTGCTGCATTGGTCGAGATCAAACGGTTACAGGTTGCCCAACACTTCAGTCCGGACGACCAAGTGATCCCCACACCGGTCAGCATCTTCTGGCAGGTTCCTCAGTACTTCTTACTGGGTGCTGCCGAGGTCTTCACGTTCATCGGGCAGCTGGAGTTCTTCTACGACCAATCGCCCGATGCCATGCGAAGCTTGTGCAGCGCGCTGTCGCTCCTCACCAACGCGTTGGGCAATTACTTGAGCTCATTTATTTTGACCGTGGTAACTTCTATCACTACCCGAGGTGGTAAACCAGGATGGATTCCTGATAACTTGAACGATGGCCATCTGGATTACTTCTTCTGGCTATTGGCTCTCCTAAGCTTCCTCAACATGCTTGTCTACATCTTCTGTGCCAACGCTTACAAATCAAAGAAAGCTACTTAAGTGGGCCCAGCCGTTGACATATACTATGATGCACACTTGGCACGATTCTGGTCGTTTCATGCCACGTCACTCATTACTGTACAGCCTGTCGCTCCGGGGAATGGATGAATGAGTGAAGTAAAGGTTAGAAACTTTGGTGTACCATTAATTAGAAACTTACTTGAGTATCTTTATTATGTACCAAGTACTTTCATCATTCAAATTCAATTTGTTTATGGTATGTTTGGGAACATGGATTTGGATTTCAAATCTGGATTTGGCTCAAATTCCATGTTTGGGAAACTTAAAAATTTTAAATTTGGATTTGAGTCAAATTCTCCTCATTCATAACAAAGCTTAATTTGAAATTCATGCACCACCCCTTGTCATTTGAAATTCAAGATTTCAAATTTTGGAATTCAAATGCATGAATTGAAATGAAATGCTAGTTGCCAAACACTACCTTAATGAAATGTGTGTTTTAAACCTTTTATTATGTATGGTAATGCTAAATCTCCATTGTTTATGCACAAGTCTAGGATTATTTCATTTCGTGCGTTTCTTTCCTAATAAGGTGACACCACCCTTATTCTTTATACGCCGTACTATAAGGATATAATTCTTTCATCCCTAAATAGAACTTGTTTTTTGCTTTTCTTTTTTGTTGTCCCAAAAACAATATTGGACCCTTAATAAGTACTCTCTTTGTCCTGGAGTATTCGTCCAGTTTTGATTTTTGGAACTGTTTATCTAAGCACTTTGACTCATCAAATTCTCTCAATGTATAAGTCTAAATATAGTGATCTTGTTTGATTTGTCTTAACAACATATAGATTATTAATATATAATTTCTATAATTTTTTAATATACAAATTACAAGATAAAATGGATTAAAGAAGTGTATTGGATGGTATGTAAAAATGAAAGAGGACAAATACTCTGGGACGAAGGTAGTATTATTTTTGTCCAAAAAATATTATCATTTCGATGTTTCATTGTAGTTTTTTATGAATCATTTTATATGAAAAATAGCGTGACATTAAAAAAAACTATGCTTACAAAAATTACATCTAAAGATTTACTAGCTCTGTTCCAAATTAAAGTCTGTTTACTATTGACAGAGTTAAAGTTTATTTTCATTCTTTTCATATTTTCGTTTCTCAATTGATAAAGTCATATAGTCATGTCACCTTATTTATTATTACCCCGCAATTGAAATTTGAAAGTTACGTGTAAATAGTGAAGGGGAAATATACTTTAAAACTAGGGAACAATATTTTTTTCTAGTTTTTAAAATTATATTTCCTTTTTTGATAATATTTTATTTTACAAAAAGTTATTTTCTTTATTCAAGTCATATTAATTAAGTATACGTAAGCTGAGGTGTAAAAAATACTCCGTATTCACCATCTTCCATTTGAATCGAACCTCTTCCGCGTCAGAATTTCCCAGCAACTCGTCATCTTTCTCCGGCACCTTTGTCCTCGACGGTCATCGCCCGCAATTTCGATTGAAAGTGTGAATCTCCATCATTCCGCAATGGATCGTACGAGCCATGTATATGCACCGCAGAAGAGCGTTCATAACGCGCCAACTAGTGGCGCTCCTCCTTCTCCGGGGAAACTTCCTGCTCGCGGCCATATGCGTTCAGGATCCGCCGGCGTCTCAAATGCAAGGAGAAGATTCCGCTCAGAGGCTTGATCTGGCTATGTCACATCAGGCAACTGTTGACGAGTGTATGACCTTTCAACAAGTGTGAAATTTCAATTCCTTCTTAGTTTAACTCTCATTTTTTTACCCATAAAAAAACTATTTAACGATTGGCTTCAGGTGCGGCTGGCGGCTACCAATTCATTCTCCAGAAAGTATTGGCAACCCGCAACCCCGCTCCAGAATTTTGACTGCGACTAACGATCCGGAAGTGCAGGGGGCATGAAACAGCTATGGAATAGATCTCAGAATCTTGTGAATGATCTTACTGCACAGATAGATTGCTAGATCGGAGTGTTGTGAATTATAATGGACAATGGAGATTTTCTCGAATGCGGCCTTCTTGATCAGGTTCAGGCCTTTTTTCCCCACTTCTTTATTCTATTTACCTGCTACTACTTGTATGTATTTCATGCAATTAGCTGTAGTTTTTGAATTCATTTACTCTGGAATTGCATCAGAAGGATTTGTGATCGAGGATGAAAGTGTTTGTTTTTCATCCCAATTGCTTGTTCTGGAAAAGGTATGGTGAAATTGTTCGTCCAATCCGATCGTATACAATCGTTCATCTCAATTGCTCTTGTTTCATTTTGTTTGTTTGTTATCTACTCGGGATTTTGTCGCATGAAATCAGTCTTATTGGGATTTCCATCATTGAGCTATAGAATTCGAAATGGATGTTTCGATGTGGGACTATTGAATCTTTGATGTTACGATGTGGGAAAGTCACATAACCATTGAATCTTTGATGTTTTGACGTGGGAAAGTCACATAACCATTGCTTATATATTGTTGTTTCAGAATGAGAGCAGCAGAATCCACACAGGAGATGGTTCGGTTGACAGGAAAGGTAACCCTGCAGTGAAGAGCAATACTGGAAACTGGAGAGTTTGTCCCTTCATTCTTGGTATATTTCTGCGTATCCTTGTCCAATCTGCTTCTTGTTTTACTTCATTTTTTTGCTGTTGTTTACCTTCAAAGCTTAAATCCAGGTACGGAGTGTTGTGAACAGTTGGCTTTCTATGGAATTGCTACGAATCTTGTCAGCTACCTTACCAAAGAGATGCACCAAGGGAATGCCAGTGCTGCCACAAGTGTTGCCACTTGGCAAGGCACCTGTTTCCTCACACCCCTTATTGGTGCTGTCTTTGCTGATGCTTATTGGGGAAGATATTGGACTATTGCTGTCTTCTCCACTATTTATTTCATTGTATGGCTTTGTCATTTTATCCGTCATTTCTTCCCGCCAGCTGTTCTTTTCCAGGCGAATTGAGTCATTCCTTTGGTCCTTCGGTCAGGGATTTAGAGGGGAGGTGTGATTGTGATATTGGAGAATAATCTATCAGTTTATATTTTATTGAGGAAGATGAAAAATATTGAAAAGACATGGTTTACTTAAATTATTAAACTTACAGATATTTACTAGTCTAAGACTAACAGATATAGATTAATTAGTAAAACAAAATTCAATCCTACCCTCCCTTCCCCTCCGAAACCCCTCAGCCGAACAAGTCATTATGCAGTACTCTAGAATTGATAAACATATAACTGCTGTTTATAAAAACCTGCATTTTTGTGTTTGTTTTTTGGCATTGATGCAATGCCAGTCCTCATTTTGCCATATACATATCATACTTTCCCTTTTGGTGAATTTTGGCCCTTCTTTGCTGCTATGTACAGGGCCTGTGCACATTAGCTCTATCTGCATCTGTTCCTGCTTTAAAGCCTGCTAAATGTGTGGGTTCTTTTTGCCCTAATCCCACTCTTTCGCAATACACTGTGTTCTTCACTGGCCTATGTCTTATTGCACTGGGGGCTGGCGGGATTAAACCCTGTGTGTCTTCATTCGGTGCCGATCAGTTTGATGAAACGGATTCAAGAGAGAGGGTCAAGAAGGGGTCCTTCTTCAATTGGTTCTATTTCTCCATCAACATTGGTGCTTTAGTTTCCAGTAGTTTGATAGTGTGGATACAAGACAATGCAGGGTGGGGACTCGGATTCGGTTTTCCTGCACTGTTCATGGCACTTGCTATTGCCAGTTTCTTTGCTGGAACTCCTCTTTACAGATTTCAGAAACCCGGTGGGAGTCCTATCACAAGAGTGTGCCAGGTCTTGGTTGCTTCATTCCGCAAGTGGAATGCAACAGTCCCTATTGATAGCAGCCTGTTGTATGAAAGTCAAGATAAAGTTTCTGCAATCGAAGGGGGTCGGAAGCTGTTGCACACTGATGAATTAAGGTATTCGTAATATGATTTGTTTTAACAGAGAAGTAATAAAATATATCTTTCGCAAGTTGGAAACCTCCTGTATAAGTTTAGAGGAGTTTTTTATGCAAAGGGTACACTTACGCCTAATTGTTCTTCGAGGAAGTAAGTTATACGGAGTAGTTTTTTACAACAAAAAAAGAACAGAAAATAAATGGAATTGCATCAGGAAAATGAAAATGACTTGCTCGATCTTGTCGAAAGAGGAAGTCATTTTACACAAAGTTTAAAGAACCTGGGAAATGACTTCTCTTGAGAAGCCAAATACATGAAAATCAAGATAAATAAATTAAGAAAACAAATGGAGCCTTGGTAGTTCTAGTACTGAAACAATGCTAAAAGATTGTAGAAAAGACTGCAGATAAAGCCTTCTGATAGTGAACTTTATCTTATCACTTTTTCTGTAGATGCCTTGACAAGGCGGCAGTGATATCCGACTCTGATCTGAAAACCTGGGGTTATTCCAATGCGTGGCGCCTCTGTACAGTAACGCAGGTAGAAGAATTGAAAATCTTGATCCGGATGTTCCCCATATGGGCAACTGTGATAGTGTTCTCTGCAGTTTTTGCCCAGATGTCAACACTGTTTGTAGAGCAAGGGATAGTGATGGACACTTCCATGGGTTCCTCCTTCAACATCCCAGCTGCCTCCCTCTCCTCTTTTGAAGTCATCAGCGTCATTGTCTGGGTCCCACTCTACGATGCCATCCTCGTGCCCATTGCGAGGAAGTTCACCCGGATGGAAAGAGGGTTCTCTGAAGTCCAACGGATGGGTATCGGGCTATTCATCTCGGTCCTATGCATGTCAGCTGCTGCGTTGGTCGAGATCAAACGGTTACGGGTCGCCCGACACTTTGCCCCGGTCAACGAAGCGGTCCCCGCCCCGGTCAGCATCTTCTGGCAGGTTCCTCAGTATTTCTTGTTGGGCGCTGCAGAGGTCTTCACGTTCATCGGGCAGCTGGAGTTCTTCTACGACCAATCGCCCGATGCCATGCGGAGCTTGTGCAGCGCACTGTCGCTCATGACGGTTGCGTTGGGTAGTTACCTGAGCTCTTTGATTCTGACCGTGGTCACTTCGGTCACCACCCGAGGTGGCAAACCGGGATGGATTCCGGATAACTTGAACGATGGCCATCTGGATTACTTCTTCTGGCTCTTGGCTCTCCTAAGCTTCCTCAACATGCTTGTCTACATCTTCTGTGCCAACGCTTACAAATCAAAGAAAGCTACGTGATTGCCTATATTGTAAAGCCGCATGTACACCTAGAGTTCAACATCGGCCTTCCCTTCGTCGGCCTCCCCTTTATTGGCGCGCCTCTTCCGATCTAATTGCCTTCAATGAATTGCCGGCTATACCAAAAAAGTGGGATAGCTGGCTGCACCGTATAACTTGCGTCGCATATATATTCTCGCTAAACAGTTTCATTATTGATTAAACTTTGTGAAAAAGTAAATAAGAATTTCTTTTTTAGGGGCAAGTAAATTCTTTATGTATTCACTATGTTGCCAAATTAAGAATGTATTTCCTCCTTCCAATTTTAAGTTTTAATTATAGTTTATGATGATTGCTTAAAATTGATTTTAGTTTATTTTATCTGAAAAAATATAGAATTAATAATAAAATTTATATATTTTGATATTAAATAAAAAATTACAAAACAAGAGTTATTTAACTATTTTATTTTATTGAATTATCAATTATAACATGTAAGATTAAAATACTCATTTATTTGAGATTTATTGGTGAGCAAATGGTTGAACATGTTCCAAATATCTGCCAACTTGTTTGTTTATTTAAACTTTAGGGTTTTAAAATATAATCTATTCTGAAATAAGAATTAATAGGTAGTACTACCTCTATATGACTTTGAATTATCTATTCTAATTTACAAGATTTAATCGACTTTATTTTCAATTTAAATTTATTTGATTATAAATGTAAAATTTAAAATTATACACACACACACACTTAAAAATTACATAAAAAACATTTCAAAACAAAATGTGACCTAGACTCGGTTTAATACACGGAATTCAAATTATGAAATTAGAATTGAAGATAACAGTTTTAATTTTTCTGGTTGGTAGCATAAAAATATGTGAATTTTGAATTGGTAGTACAAAAAATGAATAGAATTACAGAATTCAATTTCATAAAATTTCAACTCTCAATTCAATTCCAATTTCATCAATTCTGTATAACAAATGAGCCTAACAATTTCTATTACTCCGTAAGAAATGAGCCATAAAAATAAGAATATAAAGTAAATAAAAAAGGTAATATAGATATAAAGTGTATAAAGTTATTAAAATTAAATAACACCCTAGTCCCTACCAATAACTACCTTAAGGAACCCGTTCAAATTTCAGGATCCGAAGCTCACTGCTACTCTCATGGCGCTGGCGCCAATTCACCCCCTTCCTTCTGAATCCAACCTCCTCCTCGCCAGAATTTCCCGGCAACTCAGAATCTCTCTCCGTCACCGTGGTCGTCGACGGTCATCGCCGGCAATTGCGATTGAAAGTGTGAATCTCGATCATCGCAGGTAAGTTTCTGCAATGGATCGGACGAGGCATGTATATGCACCGCAAAAGAGCGTTCATAACGCGCCAGGTAGTGGCGCTCCTCCTTCTCCGGGGGAACTTCCTGCTCGCGGCCATGTGCGTTCAGGCTCAGCCGGCGTTTCCAATGCGAGGAGACCTCAGACCACAATAGCTGCCGCTCAGAGGCTTGCTCAGGTGATGTCACATCAGGCAACTGATGACGACGATGAGGATGAGGACGACCTTTTGTATGACTTCTCTCCTGCCAATTCATCCGCTGGACTTGGGCTTGCTGGCGAAAGGACTGCCAGAAGCCGTTCCCCCATGGTAACAATTTCTAATTTCAAATGCCTGGGAACTTCTTGTTTATTTTACTGAACTCATATATGCCTTTGCTCAAACATTCGAAGGGACACTCTCAATTTACTCAATACACACTTGAATCCTGGATCCCCCCCCCCCCACCTTACCCCTGGCCACTTGACCATTAACTTGTTTGCTCATCACATTGTCGAGATAATCTCATGACTAATGAAAATGAATTCTTGATGCACTTTATTTTCTTTTCATATATGCCTCACTAACTAACCAATTACATACGTATATATAGTGCACCATTTGGATAAAATGAAGACATTTCTTGTTTTAGAGAAATTTTGTTGGGAGCGCTTTTTGCACACTACTCTAGAACTTTTCATTATGTTCATAAGTAGATTTCTAATGCAACTTGGATTGAGAAATTGCAGAGCTATGCATTCTTATTATATCATTGGAATTGGGTTGAGCAATAGCAGAGCTATGCATTCTTATCAGTTATTATGACCCATGATCATTTCAGTGTCTGATGGCTTTTCATAAAAGCATATAGTCAGTACTTCACATAATTTTTGTTCTCTCTTAGGCAGCTCGTACATCAATGGAAAACCATGCATCTGCTCGCTCAGTGATAAGGATGAGGCCCTCTCCATCTGTTGGCTCTTTGGAACAACAATCTTCANGAAATTGCAGAGCTATGCATTCTTATTATATCATTGGAATTGGGTTGAGCAATAGCAGAGCTATGCATTCTTATCAGTTATTATGACCCATGATCATTTCAGTGTCTGATGGCTTTTCATAAAAGCATATAGTCAGTACTTCACATAATTTTTGTTCTCTCTTAGGCAGCTCGTACATCAATGGAAAACCATGCATCTGCTCGCTCAGTGATAAGGATGAGGCCCTCTCCATCTGTTGGCTCTTTGGAACAACAATCTTCAGGGGATCACTCAACACTAGCCACTCGATCTTCTTTGCCAAGTCCACTAGAGAAACCTTCTTCTGATCGTTCAGCATCAATTACAAGATCATATCATATGCGTTCACCGGAGCAACCTCCATCAGCTCATTCAACATCAGCTGCTCGATCAACATTAGGTTCAATACAACAACCTCCTCCAGTCCGACCAATCTCAGTACGATCTTCTCAGTTGAGCTCTTCTGACCAACCACTTTCTGCTCGTTCTTTTCTAGCCAGTTCCTCATCCATGTCCACTAATGCTGTGGAACATGTACAACCCCCATCTGCTCGCTCAGCAGCTGGTCGCTCATCTCATCCAATGGTGATGGATCAACCTCCATCTGCTCGCTCTACCTCAGCTGCACGTCTTAATTTAGGTCCCAAGACCATTTCTATATTGCCCTCTAGTGTGCCTATATCACTTCGGACAGCTGTTCAAGCAACTTCCTCCGAGCTCCAGTCTGAAGATCCCATGGATAATAAAAGGTAAGACTTTTCTGTCAGTATATGATTTTTTGGCTACCTGATTGAAAACACTTATTAAAAATGAAAAATAAATGTTTATTTTCTTACTCCCTCAATTTCGGTCATTTTTTTTGGTTCACGAAGTTTGACTAAAGTTATTTTCAATTGAATTTTTCTAAATATAGGTGTAAAGTTATTATTTTTATATATTTCAAAACTACATCAAAAGATATATAAAACAAAGGATGGCTTGACTATGTTATTTTAACAAATGATTAAAGAAAATTGGTAGAGAAAACATATATTGTTTCACCATGAGAATAGTGAACAAAACAAGTGTTATATATGAAATAGAGGGAATATATTTTGATTTTTAATGATATTATTCTCAAGACAAGATCGCATTGTTTGCAACCCTATTGTGCTTGCCCTTATACTCCAAACAGTTTTGCCTGTTTTGTTTCTTAGTTTCTTGCTTGTGATGCACTGATGCAAATTTAGCTAAACTTCCCACACAAATTTAAAACTTCAACCTGTATGTTGGTCCTTCATTTAGTTTTTTACTTCACAGGTCAACCACAGATCTTGGAACTTCTAAATATAAAGAAACTGTCATCCAACATTCTTCTTCAGATCTACAAGATGAGGTTTGAGCATTGTATTACATGAGCCTCCCACTTGTAATTCTCAAGATATATATTTTTTATTATAGTTAATGTTATAATGTTGTTTAAAGGTGTTAATGTTATAATGTATTCCTTCTTTATTTTATGCATAATTTTTGTATCGCCATGGTGCTGCGAGCTTTAAGCTGTACATTTAAGTCTATAACTTTCATATATATATGCATTTTGAAAATGATCCTTTTTTGAGTTGCTCAAAAATGACATGAAGAGTTCCAAGAATGGCCCAGTCCAGCTCAGCCAGGCCATCTTGAACCCCTTACTCTGCTCATCTCTTCTGAAGCTCGGCCCTTGTCTCCTTTTAGTGCCTTTTTGGACTAGAAACAACCAGTGAACCACCAATAACATCTTCTACCAAGAGAGAATAAGAGGGATTTTTGTTAGTGCCCATGAAAAAATTGATAAGTGGTTGGGTTCCTTTTCTTCATGGGTTGTGTATTGTGTGTGTGTGTGTGTGTTGTATGAAGTATTCAGTAGTTCTTGTTACTGGTTTTACATGATGCAAGATAAAATAATTTATTGACAGAAAAACATTCCGTTAGACCTCTTAGTTATTTAGTTTTGCATTACCTTTACTGATTTCTCAGTGAAAACGTAACTAGTGAGCAGTAATATATGATCACAATTGCAGGTTGACATGCTTCAAGAGGAAAATGAAAGTTTGCTTGAAAAGGTAATTTTGTACTCCCTCTGTCCCTGAATAAAATTAATACTTTCCTTTCCCCTTCATCCCAAAATGAAATTCGTACTTCTCCACTTTCCCTTTCAAGAATGAAGTATGTGACTCTTAACATCTCTCTCTTCCAAACAAATTCCAACCGAACTCTTTTTATTTTTAACACTTTTCTTAAACTCCGTAAAGTCAAACCATTAATTTAATTCGGGGATGGAGGAAGTATTTCAAATTTCTTTTCACTATATATGGTACCAGGTTTCAGTCATACTTCTGCACAGAAACTTTGTGCCTTACGTATGTGTGTCATTTAATGACATAGTCTTATGGCATGCTTTCAGATTCGACTTGCAGAGGAACGTTCTGAGGAAGCAGAAGCTCGGGCTAGGCTGCTTGAGAAGCAGGTAGTGATGCTACTACATCTTCATTGTGTAACAATCACTTTTATAATGGTCAGTTGGCACATAAGTGTAGACTTGCATTTCCATCATGATTTTGTGAGTGATGAGAAAAATCGTTGTTTTAATCCAAGTATCCAACATCTTGCTTATATTCTAGTTCATCCTGATCACCCAAACCTCAACAGAGTTGGGATTATACTGGGTTTGTTGTATTGTAAGTGGCAAGGTTTGTCTGAAGAGTTAGAAAGCTTGGTCTCATAGTGATTGCAATTTGTGAATGTGTCTACCCTATTATTCTTATTCCAGTCAATTATGCTAGATAATTCATGACGTGGTTCCTTTGTTAGATTGCAAATCTGGGGGAAGGTGTATCACTGGAGGCTCGTCTTTTAGCCAGGCAGGGATCACAATTTCATAAATTAATATATAAAACTTCAATGAATTTATTGTCTGGCAAGTTATGTTCTTACATTTTTATGTTCCACTGCACAGGAAAGAAGCCGCTCTGCAACAGAGGGAGGTGTGTACGATGGATTGTTGTATGATGTTCCTCCATACACTCATTCAAATCACATCTGTGTTATCACTGAATTTGTCTTTCCCATGTTCCTTGATATGCATGTGGTTGAATGAATGAATTACAACTTTTATTAGAAATTGCTTTGATGAAAACTTGCATCGTTTTGGGTACCCTTTGGCCTTTGCGAGTGAAACACCATTTGGCCTCCTTTGTATTTTCTAGATTTGGCTCTTCTATATGTGAATAATTGCAGTATGTTATGCCGATTATGTATTTGAAAATTGCCTTACATCTAGTTTTCACTCTAGTAGAAATGCATTACTTTGATGAATATGAACATCAGTAATCTGGCAGGCTGCATTAAAAGCTGCATCACAAAATCATGGTGAAAAAGGTGTCGACTCTGCAGCTCTTCGGGCAGAGGCTGGGGTATTTAGACATCTGCATCTTGTCATCAATTCCATATAGCTTGTTGTTTTCTTCTGGTAAACTATGTTAAGTTTTCTTAGCATGAAAATAGTCACTTTACAATGTAGATTGCAAGAGATGAAGCAAATTCGGCTACGGAGCAGCTTCATGAGTTTGAATGTGAGGTTAAGTCAATCCGTACAATGTCCCACTCCCATAGAATGATACTCTCACAGGAGGAGATGGTATGCATCAATTTAGTTATTGCTATCCCTGGTGTAATCATCATTTACAAACTCATGAGATTCACAGCTTCACATTTTCTTTTCATCTTTTACAAATTCATGAGATTCGTAATTTCATGTCTTTCTTTCATCTTTTACAATCTTATGAGATTCACAGTTTCTCACCTTAGGAAGAAGTTATTCTTAAGAGATGCTGGCTTGCTCGATACTGGGGCTTGTGTGTTCATCATGGTAAATAGATTGCTGAAGATTGATTTACTTTGATTTTCAAGCATTCACATGTTGCTATTTTTCTTGTTGATACGCAAAATACATGATTGGGAGTTATAGAGATCAACCAGTCTACTTTATTTAACAAGCCTAAAATGATGTATATTCAGCTCATACAAGTTCCAGTTTTTGTGTTTAAATTCTTCCATTCTTCTATCAAATAATATTCAGGATATTGCAGGTATTCATGCTGATATTGCTGAATCAAAGCATGAATACTGGTCCTCATTTTCCCATTCACCAAATGAAGTTGTGTTAGAAGCAGGACAGAGGGCAAAGACTGAAAACTCATTAGGTAAAAATGTTTCATTGTTCACTTTCTGAATAAGAGCTTCACAATTTGATATACTTATATATATTTAGAAATTGTACATAGTTTACAGTGATATGGAGGAAGGGGAAGAAGTTCAAAGAGGTGTTGAAATTTTATCAGATGGAAATGTTGAGAGCATGATATTAGTAGAAAAAGGCCTGCTAGAACAGACGTCTCTTAAGGTGTTTCCATTTGTCTTAGACTTTTTTTTTTAGCAAACCCTTGTTACAGTCTCTTTCCTGGTATGCTAAAATTTTTCCAAAAGAATCTTTTGGTTATAATTCTCAATGTATCATTTCCATTCAATCTTTGGTTTCGGAGTACTCCATAACTCCTAATATTACATTCTAAAAGATGTAATTTTTGTGATATATGGAATAAAAATTAGGGCAGTATTGGTTTTAGATAAGAATTCCTTTGAATTCAAGTATTCAAGTCAAATGCCATAACAATTACTTTTCTTGTCCCATTGTATCCGTCCCTGGTTACTGTTAATTACTTTCCTTAACAATTACTTAACAATTACTCTTTATGAAGTTTATATATATATATATGTGTGTGTGTGTGTGTAAATTTTATTTATTAACACTAAGTTTCATATTTTAAAAACTTAATTGAAACTTATTTCAGTTGTTTCATTGCATGAGCCACACTTCTAAAACAAGACCTAGTGATTATCATGTGATAAAAAACCCTTTCTGATGTAATCATGTTCATTTGTCATTCAAAAGGTGGCAGAAGCAATAGCTCTTGCTATGGCCCAACAACGGCGATCAGGCGGCCCAAGATCTAGTGCAACAGGTATGAACTATGAAGTATGTCTGCAATCTGCACATATGTAATGCCTTTTTAATGATGCTTCATCTCATTTCTTGTTAACTAAGTATATTGTCAAAACTAAGGAAACATCTCAAGTCAGTGCCTTTCTTTTATGTTCTGGATACCCATGAATGAATGCATACAATTTTACTTTTATTTTACTTTTTACAAATGTGCAGCCCTGTTCCCAGAACGTCTAATACAGCTAAGAATTTATAGCACTGAAAGGAATTTAAAAGATACAAATATCTTAAATGAAAAAACCTAATGAACCAACTAACTCTCAATTTGATCTTGGACACTAAAGCAAGAAAATTGCCCTGAAGAATCACTCAATGATATTTCAACTCAAACTCTTGTTGAATACTCCATATCAAACAAACAAGTTTTGGCCTCCTGAATTTTCTCTTCATATTGCCATTTTCACTTCACACTTACTCCCGGCCGAGAGTAGCGCACCCGACGAGTCTTGGATCACAAAGCACATACTGCCCCCTCTTTTGCCAATTCTCCCCTCATCAAAATGGGTCATCACCATCCTGTGCAAGGAGGATGCCAATCATCAGCTTGCCCACTGCCCACCTTCAAGTCTATGCGTGCTTTAACTTGCTCGAAACCTTTAACAAACTTTATAGTTCTCTAGATTCCACAAATGTTGCACCATGCCACAAGCAATGAATTGGTTTCTCACATTCCAAGAAGTGGATATGCTGCACCTTTCCACAAATGATGAGCTGGTTTCTCACATTCCAAGCCTCCCATGGGGTAGCTACAAACTCCACCATATCTTCCTGCTTCAAATTCCTTGATGCATAAATCAAATATGCTATAAAATCGGCATCACGAGATGCCCAATCTGCAGATGAAAAGGAGCTCCCTTGCCGCACTTCACCACTTCCTTAGCTAGATGGCATTGAATAAAATTTTACAGTTATAGTAGTGAAAAATGTGGAGTTTATATGCAAGTTGTAATGTAAAACCATTACGGAGTATATTATACTGCATTAGATTCTAAATGAATATGTTTACACTGACCTTACTTTTTCACTAGCTTACAGATATTGCTTGCTTTTAAGAATAATTACTGTATATATTAGCAATATCAGCAACATATTACACTCATTTTTGGGATAATATGACAGTTATATTTCACAAGCCTTTTCAAGAAATAGCCAGTATACTCTTACAAACTTACCCAACTTAATGATCCAGATCTAAATTAAATACAAATTTTGTTGTTTTATGATCATCTCTTATTCTTCAAGCTGTTGCTGCAGATGATTTAAAGGTTCCAATTGAAGGCCAGAATTTTGCAGATGCATTTGGTACGTCATTTTCTATACACGCATATCTATCACAAGGAATCTTGCGTATCATATCAATGTGTTTAGATCTAAAGCCAACCATCTTTTGACCTAGAAATCTGGCTTATACAAAAAAAATCTCACCCTATTAAAGTTTTGTCTACAAAACAAGATTCACTCAACTTCTGAATGACACGTTCTTAGCTTATACGAATTTGAAGTCCTTGTGTAAATGATTTTACCTGATCTTTGTGCATTGTTGATGGCCTGGTTTCAAAACTGACAAATCCTTTCTTGTATTCAAGAATTGAGTCAAGAAGAGGCTGAAGATGTACGTTTTAAGCAGGTATGATGATACCAACTGGTCGAATCCTTAACTTTCCATCTTCTCCTGATCAGCTTGCCCTATTGGCACAGTTTTAATTTTCTTCTTTCCTTTCCCTCTTTTGTGACCATCCGGTCTATATACATTTATAAGAGCCACCGTTCTTTATTCCCAGCAATATTTACACTAGATCATTTGTATATAGATTCCAGAGATACACTTTTACTTATTAGCATATATATATGCATGCTCTTGCAGGCCTGGCTAATATACTTTTGGAGAAGAGCAAAGAATCATGGGTTGGAACCAGATATTGCAGACGAGCGGCTGGAGTTCTGGATCAACATTGGCACCACTCATCCTATCAACTCTCACGACGCAGTTAATGGTAAACCGTAAACCTTAGCTCATTGATCATAAAATTAAACTACACATTTCACCCATCACCACATGCTTTACGGGCCAATAATAATAACGTATTATATATGCTGTCTCATCCCATGGCACACTTCTTAATCAACATGTGGCACTTTTTCATGTATTTACGACACTTTTTTAATAAGTGTAATACGAAAAACTACCATTAGTTCATGAAAAAGCGTCGCATGTTCATGAAGTGTAAAGCGTCACATGCATGAGCCCGACGCATGTGATGGAATGATTTGTCAGAATTTTAAAATTTCAGAGCATCATTTTCTTTTACCATTCCTGATTAATACCCTAGAGCTGGCCCTTCTCAATAACCAATAAATCTTTGAATCATTAAGCGTGCTATTGAAGCTAATAGAAGGATTTGATTGATACATTATTGTTTTACTACACGTAATTAATTAATTAATTAATTAATTATGTGGTATGTTGCTCCCATTTTGCATGCATGCAGTTGAGCGTGGACTAATGGAGCTCAAAAAGCTGGGGATAGAAGCTCAATTATTTGAAGCCACTCGCACCACTTGTAGATCAAGGAATCACCCACAGCCTGCAACTTAATAAATACTCCCTCCGTCCGCGAATGTTCTTCCCGTGTTGACTTGGCACGCTTATTAAGTACGGAGTAGTAAAAAAGTATCAAATTTCCAAAAATGCACATACTATAAACTTTTGAATCTCCTTTTCTTATTAAAAAACAATAAAAGAATAGATTAGTGATAAAGTAGAAGAGCATTATTGGAATTTGTCCTTAAAAAGTATACTAAAAAAGGAAATTGGAAGAATATTTTGGACGGGCCAAAAAAGAAAATGGGAAGAACATTTTCGGACGGAGAGAGTAACAATACAATACAATGAGTTTAAAAATTAAGACAACCAGATAGACTCTTGTTATATGTATTGATCATTAATAAAATGATGTACCCGTATAAGGAGTAATTAGCCGCAATTAAACGGCTTAATTGTAAAGAGACAGACAGATAGACTCTTGTTATATGTATGTGGTGGAGTTCAATACAATTATATTTTTGAACTTTTTGTAGACAACAGTTTGAAAGAGAGTTTTTATATTCATGTGATGTTCTTAGCTTGGTCCCGCAGCAATAAAAGTTGCCATAAATATTAATACAATGAAACTAAATTAAAGTTTCCAATAAGATAAATTTAATTGAATTACTTTTATATTAAGTTTAAAGTTCATTCAGTTTAACTCAAAAAAGTCAAGCTGGACAGATACTTTGGGATGAATGTTTTTAGTCTTTACTTTCTAATCTCTCTTTCGATTTGATTTTTTTTAATCAAAATACAATAATAAAATAAACTACTCTGTGTCCAAAATTGTTTAAAACACTTCGAACAACTTGCAAAATATCATCTCTTTTAAAAAAAAATTATTTACAAATTGATAAAAAAATAAAAAATAAAAATTAAACCATTCAAAAGTATATCAAAAGCTCTAAAAATAAGATGCGATAAAAATATTTTATTTTATAAAATAGTCAGTTAAAACAAATAAACAAACAAAATTTTTTTTAGAAATCGAAATAGTAACCATGTCATTTTTTTGGGACGGATGAAGTATAATGTTTATATTAATGGAAACAACATTTTTAAAACAATCCATATTAAATTATAGGATTAAACTTTGTGTATAACAAATTTACACCACTCATTTTTGTACTTTATCAAGGTAACAACTCTATATATTTTAATACGGAGTATGTTTAAAATATATGAACAATATCACATTGTAATAGAGTTATTATTAGTGTTCAGAAAAGTAAGTTTTGAATGTTTTTTTTACAAAATAAATTGAATCACAACGTTTTTATATTAATATACAATTTAATTTTTATTTAATATTTTGTTTAGTAAAATTTTTAATTAATATGTAGAGGAAGAAACCCCATTGTAGATTTGTATTTTCAAACCGATTTTCCATTGCTAAGGCACACAAAAAAGGGGGGGTCTAAGGCCGCCGGAAGAGATGGGGAGGGAGGTATCGGAGAGCTGCGTGGAGAGTCTGCTGACGGAGATTGTTTCTTCCTACTGCAATGGCTTCTATGCCGACAAGCCTGAGCTCGCCGCCCGCCGGATCGAAGCCATCGGCTTTCAGGTCGGCCACCAGCTTTCCGAAAGGTCAGCCTCCACACTCTGCTATCTCCTCTGAAACCTAATCTGAAAAGTTCGATTCTTGAGTTTATTAATATGGAATTGGTGATTTGTAGAGAGAATCCATTGTTGATCATTTCTTATTTATCATAATTATCTGGTGGTGCTACAGCAGAGGATCTTCATATTGAAATGTATTGAGATGGTTTAAATTGTCTAACTGTATTAACTGAATTCAAGTAATCATTAGCCAATCTAGCACTGATTTTTTCTTCATGACATCACGCTGTGTGTATCTCTTAAGTTGCTGTTAATTTTTTTATTTTCTACTACATTTCAAGTCCATCAAATCATGAATCTTTTATGTAAGATACCTTGCATTATCTGATCTGGAATTTCCATTGGTCTTGCTGGGTATGCTTGCAATTTGTTCCCTAATATGATTGTAAGGGACTTGTGTAGTCAAATCATTTCATCGTGCTTTACGATATTCACATGAAGTCTAGCTGAAAACGTTGTTTTTGTTTTTGGTTGGAGGCCCGTTGGAGACGAATACCTCTTATGATCAGAGCAAATAAAAAAATGCCACCATTTTCTTAAATGAATGTAGCTAGGGTTCACTAAGGTTCCATCTTTTTCTGCCAATACTATTGGACTGCCTTTAGCACATTGAAAATTTTTCCATTGAGGGGCATTTGGACTAGGAGAGTCCTACCCTTTTGAGGGGCATTTGGGCTGTCATGTTCTCAATTTCTGACATTCCTGGGAATCTTATAGGGAGGGGGAGGGGTAGAGATTTTTAGAGATTCCACAGATAAAAAAGAACATGGATGTCATTCTTGAAAATCTCACATTGCCTTCAAGAATCGCTTATCCCTCATTCTCAGCAACTAAGCGGGGTTATATATATTGTTCGGATAATGTGCTGTGACCCGAGCCAAACATTGTCTTAATGGCTTGCTACAATATACAATTATTAGCCCATCTTCTTAACCCTCATGCTTCTCTGAATATGTGTGATACTATTGTCCAACCATGTAGATACACGATGGAACGACCACGGTTCAGTGACCATTTGGAAGCCATCAAGTTCATTTGCAAGGACTTCTGGTCTGAGCTTTTCAAAAAACAGATTGACAACCTAAAGACAAACCACAGGGTGAGTTTGAGAATTCAAATTAACGCATTGTGCCCATTTTGTAATGGTTATTTAACTGAAGCTGCTGAAATTTCTGAAAAGAAAAGCCCTTGGTAAGTGGTAACATCCATTTCAGCCAAATAAACAAGTTAAAAGCTGCTTATTATCTTAATCTTTGTCTTCCCAGGGTACATTTGTGTTGCAAGATAATCGGTTTCGTTGGCTATCTCGGATGCCTACGGACCCATCACTTGAAACCTCTGGATCTATTCAAGATCCTTTGGCTATGGCTGAGAACAAAACTGCACAGGCAATAGGAATGCATCTTTATTTTCCTTGTGGAATCATCAGGGGAGCACTTTCAAACCTGGGAATTCCATGTGCAGTATCTGCAGATATATCTAACCTTCCTGCATGTAAGCCATGGCTTTTATTAATTTGTTTTTACTATCCTACTCAAATCTTTAAAAGTTGTTTTTTATGGTTTATCTAAATCTATCTTATTTAATTTGTTTGTAAATTTTTTGGCAATTACATGAAATGTTAGTCCCATTTTATGCAATATGTCTCTTTTTTACAAACCTAAGAACTTTTTAAATCGGTCTCTGTATACATTCAAATTATAGTACCCCCTCTCAAAATGGATGTCATGTCTTATTCTTTGGTCAAATTACATCTTATTTGTTTCCATATTTTCTTAACAACTTTTATAATTAAATATTCAAGTTACCAATTGTTTTAGAAAAGTTTTGGTGTAGCTTTGACCCCCCCCCACACACACATACACACACACACACTAATGCTTGAAATTAACTGAAGTCAAACATCTTTAAACCAACGAGCAAGTCATTTTTTGGATGGGAGTACCTTGTTGGATATGGTGGAAATGTAAACATATATCAAGTCTATATGAATAATGATTTTATAGTTTTTATGTTCTTTCAATTGCATGTTTCTAAGAGTTAAAGAATCTTACTTATCATACACACATAAATTCTTGTTTTAGGCACTATAGAAGAAACGCATCCTTTATCAATGTAGGATAATAGTTTAGATTCCCTTTATGAACATGATTTTCCCAACTTGCTAAATGTTGATGCTTTGAATAGAAACCAAATGGCTCAAAGTTCATGTCATGACTTCTTTCACATTACATTCTTTTTTATAACTTTGACAGGCTCATTTGTGGTTCGTATAAAGGCTTGACTGACGCTTACGAGAATAAAATGGTTGGGCTTCATGTAGCTCGCTATCCGTTTCTTCTTGCATGTTGTATTAGAGCTGCACTTTTGTATCCCAAATTCTGCTCAACTATATAGTGTTCCAACTGAACTATTGTGCAATCATATGCATATACACATTTCTCTTCTAGGGTCTATATTTGGATTTACTAAGACATATTTGGATTTACTAATCCCTTCCTTTTTCTCGTACCAAATCTTGCGAGTGATCTATTTGAAAAAGTCACTAAACAAGTGTGATGGTACCTTAGGGGTTTGAAATCAAAATTTTGAATTGTTGTCCCTTACTATGATGAACAAACCTTTCAAGCATGAAGCTTTACAATTCTTCACATGCAATGAGAAAACATGTGGTGAAATTTGAGGTCCAAATGAAGTGTCTATAGTCGATATAATGCCAAACCCAACCATAAAACCATAAGTTTTGCTATCGAGTCCCTTGGATACGATCACGTTTTTTAGGCCAACTTTTCAAATGGGCCAAAGCTTGAAGAACTTTGGCTTGACTTATGTGAATACATGTAAAAATTTTGGGCCATATGAACTATTTATACAATGCAAAACATAATTCTACGTTTTGGATTAGGGGTACCATGATGCTTATTAGGCCAAATTTCCAAATGGATTAAAAACTAAGGATATGTATGTAAAAGCACCCTGTAAATATTGTGAAATTTGATGGTTTTAATGGAAAACAATATGGCTCAAAGAACTATTGTCATGAGTTCAACTTGGAATCTTTGTTCAATCCTGATTTTTAAAAGTTAATTATCATCAGCTTTTGACCTATAGCAACAATAATAGTCTTATCTCACTAGATTAAATCGGCTACATATATCCAATGGCGTTATTGGGTCTTATCATGTATTGTATTTGCTATGAGATCATTGTTGTAATTTCTTTTTATTTCATTGTTGTAATTATTTAATACTCCGTAGTATGTAAATTCCTTTTTCCAATTCAGCTCCTGTTTTAAAATAAATTGTATTGAAAATAACTTCAGTCAAACATCGTAAATCTAAATAGGCGAGATGAAGGGAGTATAAAAAAAATCAAAATTGAACAAACATAACTAACAATTTTACTCTCCTAGCTGTTCAAATCGTCTGTTTCAGTTTACGATGTTTGATTGAAGTGATTTTTAATGCAATTTACTAGAAAATTGGGGATGATATAAAAAAATAAACTTTACATACGAAATATTAAAAAGTATATGAAGAGCTCTATGAAACAAAAGATGACATGACTATATTATTTAACTAGTGTATAGTGTAAAAATACAAAAAAAATCTTGTAAAAATAAAAGCATGCACCCAATAAATTTTTTTTTGCCTCAGTCAAATAAAAAATTAATTCCAAAAGAGTAAAATTATTCAAATGCTCGTAGATTATAAAAGTAAAGTATTTGTAATACTCTAATAATATTAAATATACTTCGAATTAAGTAATTTATTCAATTATGTAATTATAAAAAAATATGTAATAGTAAAAACTCGTAATTAAGAGTAAGTTTGTTTGATATAAATTATATTTTTCATTGTAATTCAAAAGTAGTTTAAAAAAATTCAGGGCGCGCCCCCGAACCCCGCCTCACTACATAGCCCCAATTCATTCACAATCCTGAATCTGCCACAGAACTTGATCTTGTAAATTGTAAACAGACAAATTAATTTGGGACGAGAGTATCAAGTATAGATTCGAGTCTAATAATAAGCATACGTTTCATTCAATTGCGATTATATCAAATGTTTACCTAAATGTAAGTGTAATTAGTAACACGAGAAGTGACACTACGTACAAGTGAGATAATGGAGAGGGAGTAGAATGAAGACAAAAAACGTTACACAGCAGCAAGAGAGTGAGTCCTAACTTTCAAAAAGATTGTCACGAAAACAATGTTTCCATGTTATTATACTTGCCTAATAATCATAATATTAATATTAATATTAATAAAAAATTAATAATAATAGTAATAACAACAACAATAATAATAATAACAAACTCTCCAAAAAATTTTCACTGCGTGCCACGCAAATAAGAACAAAGTGTGCGTCATAACATATAGTGACGATATATAAAATATATGAAATATAGTGACGATATATAAAATATAATTCCAAATTTCTGAATGGAATTTCATAACAAATGAAATACGAAACGGTTTTGAATATTTGGTGGATTTTAGAGTGACGATATATAAAATATTGTACTACTATTTTTTAAACCTACGATGGGATTACAATAAATTAATTTGTTTAAAAAACATAAATGTCACATGATTTGTTACATAAAAATGTTTGATAAAAAATTTATACTACCTTCGTCTCTTAGTATCAGTTCATTTTGACCTTTAGAAGTTAAACTGCACAAAATTTGTTTATCAATTAATTGAATGTTAGTATAATTATTTTTTTATATTTATCGATCTTGCAAAAACTAAACTATAATACTCAATTCACAAATTTTGATTTACAATGACTGAAACTATTTTCAATTTAATTTATTTAAAAACTGGTGTGAAATTAAACAAAACTATATACTATCTCCGTTTCTCAAAAGAGTTCTTCTTTTGACTTTGGGGGAAAATAAGAAAGTGTTAAATTATAGTTGACTTTCCAATTTTGCCCTTGATGTGATGGGTAAAAGTAAGATGTGATAGTTTAGTTGTTAGTGAAAAAGTATGATGTGATAGGTAGGGTATGAAAAAGTATGGGTAAAAGTGGTTTTTTAATAGAAAGGGGAAGTGTTTTAAGAAAAACAAAAAAAATGAAAGATGAAGGGTTTTAAGAAACGGAGGGAGTAATTCATACCAAATTAATGTTCTAAGAAGCAATTTGAGACATAACTATATTTTTTTTAAATTAGTTGTAAAAATAGGTTAAAATTAAATTTAATCATATGAATAGAGATCAGAACATGTGACTTTAATTGAAACAAAGAGAGTAAATTTATTTCTTCATATTAATATATAATAGAAATTAATATAATTGATGATTAAAATTCATCTAGTTTTAACTGAATAAAATTCAACTAGACCAATACTTAAAAATAGGAGATTCTTGGCTGGGTATGATCCCCCATTGTTTAAAAAAAGTTAAAGGAGGTGCTATTATAATTATACAAGGTAGAAAATTCTAGTATAAATAAATAAATAAGTAAATAAATAAATAAATAAATAAATAAAATCCTTTCCGAACGTTACAAAAGTAACAAACGTCTCTCTCTCTTTCCCTCCCTTTGCCAACCCCTTCACGAGAGTTACGTGCCCTTTTCCATTTAATTATCAAACTACTTACGTTATTTTTAAAATATATTTACCCTAAAGTAACTTTTTTATATAAAATCACTCTTAAATAATTTTTTTAAATTTAGTGTGTCACCATATTTATTCTCGTTTAATTTGTTTTCAATCTTATCATTTTTTTCATCTAGAATGATGATATATTACGAAATGTCGGGGTATTAATGTATAAATATTTAAATACGGGGCTTAACAATGATAATTTAGTAATTTTAAATTTTTTGTGTAAAATCACATTTTTTTAGAGTTTAGAAACGATTTTTTTTCTATTTCTTTAATCTCTAGTTTATCTCTTCTATATACCAAAGTAAAAAAATAACTTCTATCGACCATTGTAACACCACATGAAAGTTTATTTTTGGGACTGAAGAAGAACAATATACAACCGGCCTCCATCTGGGAGTAGTATTTGATTTTCTCATGTCAAATAAATTTTAATCATAAATTATATTAATTCTGACGTATAGGAACTTTTGATAAATGAAATTTAATCATAAATTTCCAAAATGTTTGATAAATCAAATTAAATCATCTACATACTAACATAGAACAAAATTTGTATTGGATTTGATAATTAAGATTGATCTAATTTGAGTTTTTAAAAAAGACAAATGAGAGGAATATATCTAGACAAAGGTAGTACAGAGTATATGCGCACTCCGCCTCCGAGTGTTTTGGTCACTTTTTATTCGAGACAAAAAAAGTAACAACATATTTTTTGATTAATTAATTAATACTCCGTATATTGACATCCGAATACAATGACAAATTAGTCACATTTACCTCGAAAACTATTTTTTGGTCTTCACTTTTCATGTGTTAAAAATATAGTGGGCGCCGATGGGCGTTGCGCAGTTGGCAAAGGCAAGACGTGTCAATAAAGTAAGATTCGAGTTCGATTTCAAACAACTACTCTGGAAGGTAATTATGCTAAGTATAAGACCTCTGCAAATATCAAGTGCAGACTCCACTTTTTGCTATCAATCTGCGATCAAAATGCTATTTACTTTCTCTCAGTAATCGTCCGACTCTCGAGGGTGGGACTCATTCTTTTTTAAAAAAATAAAGTGGACAAATAATAATAATAATAATAATAATAATACATGGACGCAAGGGCTATATAAAAGAGGGAGCGATGAGTCTTGGCACTCTTTCTCTCTTCCTTAAGAGCTACTAATAATTACAATTATATTCTCAAGCCATTATTTATGGAGTTTTAATCAAATAATTATTCAAACTCGCTCGATATATTTAATTAAAACATTAATTAATCGAGTAAATATATTTATGGAAGAGGGGCATGAGTCGACGGAGGGGGGCGGCGGGGGGATGAGGCCGCGGAAGAGCACGGGGAAGAGGACGGAGGTGGCGGCGGCGGCGGTTGGGATACAATCCCCGTGCGGCGCGTGCAAGTTCCTGAGGAGGAAGTGCGTGAGCGGGTGCATATTCGCACCGCACTTCGGGTCGGACCAGGGGGCGGCCCGGTTCGCGGCGGTCCACAAGGTGTTCGGGGCCAGCAATGTGTCGAAGCTCCTCCTCCACATTCCGGCCAACCGCCGCCACGACGCCGTCGTCACCATTTCTTACGAGGCTCAGGCCAGGCTCTCCGACCCCGTCTACGGTTGCGTCTCTACCATTCTAGCCTTGCAGCAACAGGTTTTATTAATTAATTAATTAATTAACCACTCCCTAATTACTACGGAGTAATTTTTTATTTTCATCCCTTCCTCGCCATAATATAAAATAACCTTTTCTCTTTTCACAACAAATTAAAACATTTATAAAAATATGTAATTTAATACTCCATTTGTCCCGTACCTTTTTCTTTATCAGATTTTTCCCGTAATTTTTTACTCCCTCCGTCCCATAAAGTGTTACCCATTTTGACTAAAGTTGAAATTAAGGGAGTGATAATTTTGTGTTGACTTTCCAAAAATACCCTTGATGTGATGGGTAAAAGTTAGATGTGATGTGTAGGTTATTAGAAAAAAGGTATGATGTGATAGGTAGAGTTTGAAAAAGTAAGGGGTAAAAGTGGTTTTTTAATAGAAATGGGTAAGGGATTGTGGGACGCAATTTTTTTGAAACGTGTAAATCTTTTTGGGACGGAGGGAGTATTTATCAAGATTTAAGAACATTGACCACAAAAGTCTAAATAGAAAGAAAGATATGGGAAGAAAGTAGAAGCACAGAATTGGTTGACGATAACTTGGCAATCCAAATAAATGTTGAATACAAATTGTTTATGTCCCAAAGATCACGAGAAGTATTGTTTATTTATATGTTTCATTGATTTTTATTAGTTGATAAATTAAAATATTATTGTCACCTCTTGTTTTAAAAAGTTTTTGTCATAATTTTTTTAATATGTAATTTTTTTTGGTTTTTATACCATTCTTTAATTTAAATAAATAAATTTGAAAAAACTTGAGATTTCGCTCACTTCATTTTAGGTAATGTGATAGACATTTTGAGCTTTAGTTGTCAACTCTGTTGCATTGTTTGTTGTATTGTGGTGATTAGTTATGTACTAGTACTTATTTTTAGAAAAAATGACTTTTCGTAGTTTTTACGGAGTATAATCTTGTTATGTAATAATTTCTAAGATTTAAAACTACTCATACATTATATGTCATGTAATAATTTCTAAGATTTAAAACTACTCATGTAAACATTGTACATAATCATCATGCCATGTATTGGAAATAATAAAACTTGGCCGAAGATATAAAAAAATTGATTGAAATCATTCTCACTTCAATTTTATTACTTCGCCGAAGATATAAAAAAATTGATTGAAATTATTTTCAGTTCAATTTATTTACGGAGAAAATAATATCTGTAGCAAATTTTTTTTAAAAAAAAGTTTATTTACTTCCAAATAAACGCATTTGGAAACCCACTGCACGTTGGATGGCATTCTACTACTAATCACACTCATATAACTCGTGACTCCTATATAGCCCGGAGTGATGTAATTTACCGGTTACTCCGTAAATTTACAGGGTACTTCGTAATTCCCTACCCTACTCCACTCCCCACAAAAAAAAAAAAAAAAATCATTTAACTAAATCAAAAGTTCAGTGTTGTCGTTAAAAATATAATAAGAATAGTTTTACTATGTATAACTAAATCAAAGTTTATTTTATTATGCAAATCTTACACTTGATTATTAGTTTTTTTTTAAAAGTGTGATAGTTTGATTTGAACGGATTATCTCTAGAAAAACAATTTTGGTTCTATTCTCCAACCATAGCTTGTTATTTCATTTTCTTAACTTTGGCTTGCTATAATTTGAGAAGTTTGTCATATTTAATAAACCAAATTCATTTTTTGACACATTTGCTAATATATATAGCACACCCTTTGGAGAAAAACAAAACAGTTTGGCTTGCTGTATTATACTTCCTCTGTCCCAAATTAATTTGTTTGTTTACCATTCACAGGATTAAACATCATTCACTCATTTGTTAAAATGTTATAGGCATGTCAACGCTGTTTCGTAGAGCATTTTTATCTAATTTTTAATATATAAATTTTATTTTTAATTTTAATTTAATTCTCACATACTCCGTAAATTGTATTTTTAAAAAGAAATTTAGTCAAATATCATAAATTGAAACAAACCATTTAAATTGATACAGAGAAAATAGTTTTTAGCAAGACAAAATAGTATGATTAGAGATGTTCTAACACATTTCAATCACATAAGTACTATTTTATTAAATGAGTGATAAAAATAAACAAACACAATAGTGACCAAAATTTGACCATATAAAGAATAAATAGGAATTTTTTTTGGATCAGATGACTGTTTTAAAGTAGTGAATGACGCACCATGAAATCCAAAAAAAAAAAGAAAAAAGAGAGTAGGTTGTTTAAATAGGTAGCTAGCAATTATAAAGAGAGATACTAAAAATAGATAGTCCCTATATTTTCAAACAAATAATTAAAAACAAAGTGGAATGTGTGTGATATGGTTGTCCTTCATTGTAATTTGTTAATTATAGCTATTGTTTTGTTTCTTTAAGTCACTCTATCCAAACCTAAGTTTGGTCACATTTAGGGCATTTTTTTGTTGTTGTTGAATTATACGTCCCAAATAAAGGAATTGAAGTTAGGTGCGGCCGGCAGCACAACCTATCAAAAATGTACTAGTACTATCTTTTATTTAAAATATCTTTTATTTAAAATATAATAATCCAATTCTTTACATTTTTTTAATACAATGCTATTTTTTTAATTATTCTTGTGGGACGGTTCTCATGACATTGCCCGGCAATGTCATGAATGACCCGGTGCGCTCTGGTGCTCCGTTCGTAAAATTGATATTCTTACCCTCTTATCCCCAGGTAAATCCACCCACCCCGCCCCAACCTAATCACACCCCCTCCCCCACCCCTTCAATTGCACATCACAAGTTAATTTTGACTTTGAATCAAAATTTGACTCCAAAGTCAAAATTAACTTGTGGGTTTCAATTGAAATGGGTAGGGTGTGTGTTCGGGTCAGGGCAGGGTGAGGAGGTTTACCGAGTGGATTAGGGGACACTAGACCGCCCACGTGTCATTCCATGACATGGGATTCCAATGTCATAGAAACCCCACTGATTCTTATCAGTACTATCCAAAAACTCTTTTGGGCAAGTTAATCCTTAATAAATTGTATCATTATTATTTACAAATTAGAACACTCCAACAAGTGAAAAAGTAAAAGGTAAAAATATATCTACGAGCTTAGGTAGTGTTTCACATTTAGTCTCTACTTATCATATATCAGGAGCATAGTCTACGTTTCTTTGATTCTTATCCGTCGTCAGTCACTCATGTTGTTATCTACACATTCAAAGGTTAAAAATGTAACTTCCGACCCTCTTCTCTCAATTGAACCCTCCACAATCATCAACTACCCCCTCAGAATCCTAAGCCTGGTCTTCGTCTTCATCGTAGACCCAAAAATCAACGTCGCCGTCTTAATCACACCACATAATCTAAACGCAACACCTTAACCATGCAAGCATAAGCGTATATGACGACAGGGGAGGAATGTAATTGAGAGGCGTGAAAATTTACCTTTTTAACCTTGTACTGAATAGGTAGGTTATAACATGAGTGACAAAAGACTGACTCTGAAAAGAACCAAAGAAATGAGAAATAGGCTTGTAATATTTGACAAGTAGACACTAGATATGAAAAATCCAATTTACTCAAAATAGAATGAAGAGCAAGAATTACTGTTTTGTTAACCCAAGTATGTTGGTTGGGTGAATGAATGCAGGTGGCATCTCTTCAAGCAGAGCTAGCAATGGTGCAAGCACAGCTGATGAACAGCAGATTCGCAATGGCAAACGCCGCCCTCCACACTTCTTCCCATCAGACACAGCAGCATCATGCTGGAGTGTTACAGCCCGCCTATTCCAACGCCTCCTCTGCTTCAAACAACCTGATGAACATGACCAACTTCAGCTCGAATTTCGACCTGGCGGCAGAAACCACCGCCCCTATTTCGCACTGTTTTGACCCCATTGCTCAGCTCTCGCATCCCTCTCATCACCAGGAGGAGGAGGAAGACGAAGAGCACAGCAAGGATGTCATTGCATTTACCGATCACATGTTCCGTTAAATCTAAACTTTTTTTTTTCTTCATAAATAATAGGCTGTCAAGAGATGTAGTTCATGCTTGGGGGGAGAAACAAGCAAACAAAAAAATTTATGCAAGCAATGCAGAATTGTCAGCCAAAGTTCTCTCTTCTTTTTTTTTTCTTTTTTCCCCCCTTTTTTTGTTTTGTTTTCCGGCGTGTCTTTGATGCATTGAAGAACTATCGCATCTGAATGTGCTCTGTGCAATTCATTTTGGGTTTTGTACAAAAAAAATTGAGCAGAAGAAATATTATACATTAGAGAAATCAAAGTAGCAACTATGTTGTGTCTTATAAGGGAGAGTGGCCTTTCTGCCTTCACTAATGAAAGAAAACAACGTAAAATCCCATAAAAAAAGGTTTGGGGAGGGTGTGTGTAGGCAGACCCTACCGGCCTACCCCTACTCAGAATTAGAAAGAGACTAGAAAATGGAATTTGAAAGGGGGGCAATTTTGTGGATTCATGTGGATTGTTTGGTACCTTAAGAAAATAGGTATCTGCAATGCAAGGAATATCGCCTAAACATCGATCTTCTTTAGAGAGTTGACATAGGTATAGCTAGAGAAGGATACAAACAGCTTACGAAACCTGCAAGATAGAGAGCACAATATCATTTACCTTATTATCACAAGTTCTTTCTCAAGCACGAGCTTTTTGAAAGAAAAAAAACAATCTGTTGATTTATTTGGTAAAGATTGAAACTCATTTTTACACTTAAAAACACTTTTTCCGTTTTGTGCCAAACTCTTCTTGAAGTGAAAGTACTTTTCTTCCTTTAAACACATTTATTCTTAAAAAATCATCCCAAACGTGCTTTAAGGTTTACGATAATACATACCAAACCCATTGGCTCAGGTGTTGGGCCATTGCAGCAAAGCTTCTGCGAGGATGACCATTTATCAAGAAATGAACTTTCCCATTGGGATGGAGCTTGACATATAAGAGAGAAAGCCAAGCATCAATTGGTCCGATGTATTTGCGGAATATATTAGAACTGACCTGAAATTCATGATACAAAATCAGCAGAAGTATAGCAACAAGGAGTTCGAACTACCAATGAGAGTGGCAAATATGCCCACTCGCGACGCACATGTCAAGGTCACCATGGAACCCCCTTGAACACATGTGGAAGGTTGTGTGTAGGGTTGTAAACGAATCAAATACCAACGTATTTGAATTCGTATTTCTTTACTTTTTTGGATGCATATTTGAATCCAATTTGTATTTGATTGATATTCGAATAACTGTCGAATCTTAAACAAATATTTGAATAATTGAAATGATGAACCAAGATAGACTTTGAACCCTTTAGTTTAGGTTAATTCTTATACTATATCTAAAAACAATAATAAACTTGCGTCAAATGAAAGAATATGTTCACACAACATAAATATTGAAGATTACTCCGTGTATATTATAGATTTTTATGTTACGTTAGTTTAACCAAATTTTAGCAATTTAGCTCGATATACCAAATGAGTCATACATGAAAAAGTCAAAGGAAAATTAGATAGTGCATTTCTATTTCACGAAGGACTAAAAATTGAAAATGCATCATCACATAAACCAACAATATTAGACAATGAATATGTACAAAAAATAAATTACTATACCCAAGAAATAGGAAGAGCTGTCAACTCGTCATCAGTTTCTAAGACATATTAAGCACCTCTATAACAACATAGTTCCAAAAATGAGAAAATTGGTTACAGGTAATGTGTTCACATTAGAAAGAAGTTGAATTAGAATAGATTTATGTATTAATTTGTGTAGTTGAATTCGAATATATTTGATAACATACTGAATCAAACATATACATTTTTTATATGAATCATTGTTTTCGAATACATATTGAGTCAAAACTATTCGCTTAATTTACAACCCTAGTTGCAAGGCCATGAACTGCAAACCCAAACTAGGGTTTTGTTGCGAGGAAGAAGACAATCCCCTTATGTCATGTGACTAAGGGTCTGAGCAAACACCATTGGGAGACCACTGAATGCTATCGTGGAGACCTCTTCGGCTAAGGGATTGTGGTCAAAAGTGACAAGGAGAGAAGAGGCACTCGTTGGAGCTCATGGTGGCACAAAGAGGGTTTGCATTTTCCGGCAATGTGAGTTCTTGGGCATATTTGGTAAGGATGCGATCAGAATGATCAATAATGTCAGGAGGGCATGTGAGTCTGGTGACATGGCTCAAAATACAGGACAAAAGCATGGTCATATGAATCAACAACAAATAGAAGTTTGAGGACTTACAAGCTCCCATGCCTCAACATTTTTGTATGAAGCGTCCTGTAAAAGTTTTCTGCCATGTTGAATGTGAAATGAATTAATGTTGTAATGGTATCCATATAAACAACAACGTCAACAAAAACAAACCCGAAAAAATCACATAGAGGAGAAGGTGTTGAGTATCCAACATTGATTGTAAAGTAGGTGTGAGCTTAGCAGTTAGCATATACTACCTCCGTCCCTAAAAGAAGTTCTTTTTGCTAGTTACGCTTTTTTTACTCAAATTCTTTCAAAATCCATTTATTTGAAAACTTGGTCCAAACTTTAAAAATAAATTTTATATATTTAAAAACTACATCAAAGGTTCTACGAAACAAGAGGCGATAAGGCTAGATTATTTTATCAAATGAGTAGTGAAAATTGGCAAGGAAAGAGGTCAATTTGACCCGTGAATAGTAAACGTGAACTTCTTTTTGGGACGGAGGGATAAGTGTAAGGTAAAGGTCGCCTGTGGAGAAACACTATGGAGTGAGTTAGACCCAATTCAACACTACCTAACCCCAGTTTAGAGCTACACACAGTCTACCATCTAGCACTTTTTACAACAATGATGGTAAGCATTGCAATAAGAATGCCTTGTCCTTTGGCTTAACAACATAGATCAACTCACCGTACACCTCGATGCACATCACAGTGATTACAATGACCAGAAACACCATAACTGTCAAAACTAATGACCTGCACACAAAAAAATGGTCTCAACCCCAATTGAAATGAAAAGCTACGGAGTATATTAAAAGGAGTAAACACGCAAATATATTGAGACATGATTTTTGATGTTATACTAAGAAATAAAAAAACAAGGACAAAAACTTTAATGTTAAGCTAAAAATCAAAGTCTAGCGTATGTGCTAACAATTGATCTTCTTTCAGATAAAAACATGGAATACGCTTTATAATTGCTTTTAAATGACTTTTTTAGTGCGTCTTCAATTTTCCATTAATGAATATTAACAATCTGATCAAAAACTGATAACTTGAGAATGGAAATTCTGCTGCAATGGAGTTGGCCATCAACTTCAAGTTCCAAATAAATTTGATGCCTCTTAAAGCTAATTCTCGTTTGAAGTTGCTCACCACGTCAATTGAATTGTTGTCCGCTTCTTCTTTCATAATTTTTGCCAACAAATCAGAGTTCCAAACTTTGCCAAAACCATCCTAAGGCATCACAATACACAATTCTGAGGAGATTAAGAAATGATGCTTAGAAGATGCTGGCTGGAAGAAAAAAAACCTGCAAATCTGGATGATCCAAGACCTTTACTTGATGCGGAGATACCTACAAGATAATATAGAACAGATCAATAAACTATCGAAATGTATATTATTTATAAATCCTGGCACAACCAGATTACCTGAATAAATTATAGTAACAAGCAGCACCGATAATGAACAAGCATGAAAAAGATAACACTAAAAACAAAAATTACTACATTTTGTGCTATATAAGTATTACTCACTTTTATCCATAGCTTACTCAGCATCACTTGTGCCCTTGGGGCTTGGGTATAGTGTAGGAAGATGTAATGAAATGAAATTTAATGTAAATCAATCAAATGCATATATAAGGTATATTTGCACTAAAAGTGAGAATTTGATTGCATTTTACATACATGTTATTAAGTATGGTGACTTTGAACTGGTGGCATTAATGACGCCAAAGCAACTTTAGATGAATGCCCCTATAGCCAAGAGGTAGAATCACAGAACTAAATAAAGTCTGAATGCATAACTGTGATTGCGTGTCTGATTTGATATTACCTTAAGGGTTGCGGCAGCCAGGTATAGTTCTTGTTTTCTTGCATCCCCCATGCCATCTGCATTGCCTACACCAACATTATCCTTCATTACACAATGATGCAAAAAAACCACAAAAACGCATTATAATCCCGGCTATGTTGGGGTCTGGGGATCAAGATGTACGTGGTCTTATCCCTATAGAAGCAGAGCAGATGTTTCCATTAGACGCTAGATGCATTGCTGCATTTTACTGCCCAAACTTCATAGAGAGTAAGAAGCAAGGGAAGTTTAATGCGCCTTTTTTATTTAGTCCATTATGAGCCCGAAACTAAGACATATACAATGATGACTTTTAGCCGCATTAGCAATGGATGGTAAAAAAGATCAGGTTTTATTTTCAATTTCCTCTAGAGTCAAAATTCTGATAATTACAGGTAAATGGAACGGTCCTTTGATGTCAGACAATTAGCTTCGTAATCTTTCATTGAGAGAAACTAAATTCCCCCAAAATATCTACTCCTATTTGTCAAACATATCATAACCATGACAACTAATGCACCATAAATAGGAGCCCGAGCCGCCAAAAAAAGTTATGAGGATTCAAGGTATACCATATTGTGTTGAAATTACTCCCATACGAAGTATGTATTCCATATTTTAAATTCTCAATTCTTTACTGGCATGATAGATAACAAAGATTATCGAATGATGATAGTATCTCACCTGTTGATATGCATAATATGTGCAAATTGTGCCCCTTTGAAATAAGGTGATTGATGGTTGGAGTAAAGAACCTGAAAAAATACAAATTACAAACTAAAAAACAAATTGCACATATTATATGTTTAAGCCAGAAAGATGATGCCCATTTACTTGATAAAGTTTAACTCGTCTGTATAAGCCCAAAAAAATTCACATAATTCAACATTTAATGGATGTTAGAAAGTCAGGAAAAGCCAGCTTTTAGATCAAAAAGAAAATTTGACATTTGACCTCACAAAGAAATAAGTAAATCGTGATCTCAAGATAAAAGAAGAACCTTCTTTACTTGACCTTACATAGATTCATCGTCAGGATGTGCAATAACCAACAAGACGTTTCTTTTTATGGAAACTCTACCTGAATACACAAATACAGTTGGAAACAAAACCGCTATTAAATGAATCTCATACTGTCTTACACATTCTCACATCGACACATACCATGTTAATAATAAAATGAACATAATTCACCTCAAATGTGCTATCAAAAGTTGAGGTTTACCTCATCCTTATTAAGGGGTTCATTCACAAAAAATTACTCTCGGGTACCCTCAACTTTTTGGTAATGACTCCCAGGTCCCACATTATTTAAAATATACTCTGGGGTACCCTCAATTTTTTTGGTAAGAACTCTCATGTCCCACATTATGCAAAATATACTTCGAGGTCCTCAAAATTTGTGATATTATACTTCGAGGGTACATTTCATCCATTTAAGGATTGAAAGTTCTTTAATTTTGGGACACTGAAGAATTTTATTTAAAATTAATAACATAATGATTATGAAGCTAAAATTTAGCATTCCGTATTTATCAAAGTACCAAAACTTTTAATTCTAACGGTCAAATAGACAGAATATATCCAAAGAGTACATTACCACTAATTTTAAGGATCCCCGTAGTATATTTCAACTAATGCGCGACTTGAGAGTTCTTACTAGAAAATTGAGGGTACCAGGAAGTACATTTTAGATAATGCAAGACCAGTGAGTCATTACCAGAAAATCAAAGATACCCCAGAGTAATTTTTGGGTTCATTCCGTAATCTGCCCAACTATCATAGCTATAGGTCAAGTAAGATCGTATGGTTTCAATACCATGATAACAACAATATTTGGGAAAATATTTCGGTATAATTTCTAAATGAATGTTTACAAAACACAATGGTCTGTATATACTGAGACAACCCACAACTCAGGTTGTTCTCTTTGAATAAGAACTCTTACCATAATAAAATAAAGAAAATAACACTCCTAGTATATATTATGGTAAATATTCACAAAATAATGAACATAATATTTCGAAGATATACTTTCATTTAACACTAAGACTAAATTTCTCTAGAAATATCGCGTTTTCAACCTTTTTTTAGTACAATATACATCCAATAAGATGCACATGTTCTTCTTACTTTAAAGATTATAGACTCAGGCCTTGTTTGGATCAACGTTTTCAATTAGCATTAAACAAAAAAATTAATGGGTAGATTAATTGTGAAAATGCTAAAACTAAACCTACGATTAGATAGTGATTTCAAAATCTTAAACCTAAATGCTGAAACTATTGCCAAACGGGCACTTAGACAATCCAGATTTAAGCCTTCAGACAAATAAGACCCGGAGAAATTCTAAAGAAAATTGATATCGTCAACAATATGAATGATCTTTTAGGGGAAGCTATAGAAATTCCGCCATCTTACCATCATCCAAAAAATTAGCCTTTGATCCATGCCCAGATTCAAGGAGTAAATTGCAAAGAGAAGCCGCCCAAATGACGGCCAACGAAACAACAATCAGCCGCCACTCCATTCCTTCCTCCCTGAGCCCCTGTGATAATTACACTGCGGCTTCGATTCCTTCCTCCCTTATATCGAATTGAAAAACTAATTTCAAATGGTTACAGTAAAATATCTATTCAAACATTTAACATTCAAAATGGCACGAGACCGCAATATACACCGTATTTGGTGTACAGTATTTTTAGTACATTTGCCATGAATACTCATTTACATGTAAAAATACTCAATTTCGAGTTATTGAATACCCATTTTCTAAATATTTAGTAATGCTCGAAAATGAGTATTTAGTTATTCGAAAATAAGTATTCGTGTGGATCTACGAGAAATACCGTACATTTGGATATATGGTATAAGTACTCTACGAGATGGGTTTCCAAAAAATAAAAAGTGAAAATACGGAATCGAACTGTTATCACTAAAAAAATTAAATTAATAAATTAATTATTAATTTTCATTTGTTACTTTTAGTAAGTTTAGGCCGTATTTATTTTGGTATGACTTAAACATACTTAAACTTATGTTTTTATGATGCTCCTTCCGTCTCAAATTTGATTACAAATTTTTTTCTCTCCTTTCCATAACTTTTGTTTATTTGTGTGTATTCATTGATTATTTGATAAAATAAAATATTTTTCTCACTTCTTGTTTTGAAGAACTTCTAGCATAGATTTTTAATATGTAATTTTTTTTATCGATATATCAATTTGTAAATAAAATGATTTTAAAAGATGAGAGATTTAATTTTTGCATTGTTAACCCTAATTTGTGAGTAAATTTGGGACGAAGGGAGTACATTATTACCCCTGAGTACAACTTAGATTATATTTTTATTTATTGAAAATCAAACTGCAATTATATTTTATCAAAAATTATAACTAAACAAAAACACTTGTAAAGTAAGAATGCATAAAATAATTGTGCACTAATAAAAAATAGTTATATTTTATGAATAAAAATATTTTCAAGGCATCTAAGTACTATAAAATTGTTTGGCAATAGTATGACATGGTACCATTCCGTTCCCAAACGACATGATACCAAATGAGTTTAACTGTAAAACTAAAATCGAACCAAAACGTTTAAATAGTAATAGCATGCTACGAATTCTTTAAAAATATTGAATTATTAGGGACCGTGTCCACCTCCACTTCTCGTCGGGGTGTCACTTCTTCCATAAAATCACAATTCGAATCTCGGTGAGAGTGGTAATTCTAAGAATTATAATAGGTTGGGAAAAAATATAAAAAAAAAGATACTACGTTATAATAGAATTATTAATTATTAATAAAAAAGAGTAATTTTTCTACATTATCAGAATGAAAATTCTTTGTAAAAGTAGTATCTTCGGCTTTATTTGAGATTTTTTTCAGTTGGTGTCAATATTTTGCATAATTTTTTAATAGAACGTGTTAAGTTTGAAAAAAATTAAAGTTAAATGTTCTCTCTGTCCAATAAATATTCCTTATTTCCTTGTTAGAACATCTCAAAAATTTTCCTTGTCTTCTTTTTTATGAAAAAGTTCGAGTGGGTCAAAAATTTTCTCTCTTCTGCATCACTTTCAACCACGTATTTTTACTTTTCTTAAATTTTATGACACGTTAAAGTGTGAACCTTATCTTGGAACAGAAAAAATATTACGAAATATCATTAAGAATATACTCGGTATTTTTTTTCAAAACCGTAAAGGTAAACGTTAAAGTTGTTTTCAATGAGCACTTAAACAAATCTTTATGAGATTATGTCCTTTTTTGCTCATACTCCTTTTATTAAATGTGTTTATTTTGGTAGTTGTTTGAATCACAGATTTGTTTATGCTTTATTTAATGATCTTGGTACTTTGGGATACTTACGGTGCTATGTGGGTAAAACTAATCCTAAATCCTCTTGCATCCCACTTCAACCTTCTTGCCCACTCCCAGGGATTAAGATGAAGTGCAGGAGGTGTTAGGGGGGTTAGAACTACCAATTTCAGTAACAAATTGCCGTAGAAACTTTGGATCATAATATGACTTTGATTTCTAAAGTCAAAAGAATCGTTATGAAATTTATAGAAATCTTGTTAGATATTTCAGTCGAAATCTCAATAGTTTTCCTTTTTCTTACCGAAATGCAGAAAATATAAATGATTACATAATAACGACATCATTGTACTTGATGAGACAAAGATGAGTGATTAGGGGTTATTGGAAAAGAATATATATCATTGTTTAGGCCGCACGGTGTGGTTTTGCCGGTGCCGCCGAACTCCAAAGCCAGGCAAGAGAGAGGGAGAAAGGAAGAAGAAGGCTAGGGTGTGTGTGGGGGCTTCACGGAGGAGAAAGAACAAGGAAAAAAGAAAAAAAAAAAAAAGCTGAGAGAAGCAATGTATACACATACTATTTTGATATTTTCTATACAAATGAAACAAAGAAAATACTCCGTAGTTTGGAACACGAAAGGGGAAAATAGACTACATAAAATGAGAGACTGATGACATACTTCTAATTTTTTTAATTCATGTTTATTGATTTTGTTATTTATTATAAAGATATAAATTAAGTTTTAATCACAGATGAGTAGTAAATCGTGTAACATACACATGAAAATTAACAATAGTGTCTTCCAACAAAATTGCTAGAAATCAAACTTTGATATTACCTCTGGACACTTCTTGTGCGCAACACCCAACAACAATTTATTTTGTTTTTTATTTAGTCACCCAACATTTGAACATATAACACAGATTTTGCCCATTAAATCCTTTAAATTATGATTGTCATTCTTATGAAATAGGTAAAAAAAAATCATCACAACTGCCTCAAGATAATATTTTTTGTATTAAAAAAACAAAGCATTTTAGTCTGAGCAAATGCAAAGACATTTAAAAAAATCAGCAACCTTTAGCATAAAAAACGATACTGGTAATAATTTCTTTGGTCCGACAGAGAGAAAAACAACAAATATCAAAGACACAACTCCAGATCCTAGTACAGTAATGTAAAAACAGTATAATGCCTCTCCACTGGGCTTAAGAGTCCTTATTGTTGGCAACAAGCTTCTCTATGAGGTCCGCAGCATCCTGAACGGACACAATTGACTGGGCACTGTCCTCTTCCACAGTTATGCCAAATGCCTCCTCAAGCCCCATCACAATTTCAACCTGAAAATTTATTACACTCATATTAAACAACTTTAATAGGCAAAGGACGATGTAGTCAATCGATTTGACTCAAAAAAGTCAAACTATACCGTATCAAGCGAATCAGCTCCGAGATCAGTGAACTTGGATTCACCAGAGACAGAGACACTGTCAGCCAGTGCAAGCTGCTTCTTAACAATGGAGCAAACTTTGTCCACAGTCTCAGGCTTGGCCTGTTAAATTCCAGAAACACCAAATATAATATATGCGAAAACAGAAAGATGATCAGGTTTAATGAACACTAATGGAGCACTATATAGTAATAAACCCAACGACCAAAACAGAAAGAAATTTAAGGTCCAAAAGTGCAAGCTATTTTAGTAACTCAAGAGATAAATTTACTCTCTTTTTAAACTAAACACTTCACAATGAGTATTGGAGATATAAAAGCATTTATAACTAGCCTTGAAAAAAACATGCATAGGTCATTTTGCTCCATTGTAGTGCACAAAACTTTCTAAACACATACAAAGTATAATCTAGGATGGAACAAGTAGATTATATACAATGGGTACATGATAATCACTCAGAGAATGAAAGAAGCGCCTTAGACTACATCTCCCCACAGTCCCTCGTGTGAGGTGCTTCGAGAACACTAGCGTCTTATGCATCACAATTTATCAAGTAGTAGCCCCCCGGTCCAGACAAACAAAAACCAAAATGTCTACTAGTAGTTGTTAATTCCAAGTGGTATAAAAACAATGCAGTTAACCAATATTCATAAGCAACCCATAGCCTACATTGCCCTAGGTGCTTCCATAGGCATCACAGCAGAAGTCATCTACCCAAAAAAGCAATTTTCATAGCAGTAAAAGAATCGAATACAAGTGGTTAAGTGCATCATTATGTATTGTTGCATAGCACAAAACTTCCAACAGAAACACAGTGAATGCATCTGTAGAATACATCTTCCAAATATTGGAGGAAAAAAAAGGATAGAGAGAAAAGGTTCTTACAGCACAAGAAATCTGAAGGCCTCTGGTTCTGAAGTTGAGAGGCGCAGCTCTCTGTTGAATGGGAAATGCAACTCTTTTGACGCTGGATAGCATCTTTCCCTGCGTCCACATAACCAAGCACACATTGGAAATGGATGAAACAAGAAAAAAAAAGGTAAGCTAGCTAAATCAAAATTCAAATGCCAAATGAAATTTGAGAAATCTGAAATCCCAAATCTAAATCTCCAATTTGATAACTTCATCTTTCAAATAAGTAGCATTGCCCAATTCGCACCTAAAATCATATGAAATCGAAAAAATTGGCCATACCGGAGGCAACATTCATCCAATCAGAGAATACAATCGATGAAACGCAATCAAATTGCACACGAATACGAGAATCATAAATCGTGAAATGATGATGATGATAATAACAGCATCTTAGCATAACGATAAGCACGGGATACGCACCGAGTTCAGAGACGGAACTTGAAGACGGGAGCCGATAGAAATCAACGAAGCACCAGAGATGGCCGCCATGACTCTTCAGAAAACAACTTCGATCTTCACAGCTCGCTGTGTGTATATATGTATATGGGTATCGAGATCTTCGAGCTTGATATATAGAGAAGGAAAATAGGACGGAGGGTACGAAGAGTGTGTGAAACGGTGAATATGGAGAGCGACGTACTCTGGTATACCAATATTTTTGTGTTCCTTCCCACATGCAAACAATAATTGTTTATACGGCAAGAGGAGTGAAACTTATACAAATGATTTGCTCATTTACATGGACGGACCTGGTATGGACTAGATTTAATGGGTTAAACTTTTTACGCATACCCACCCGCTTTAGCGGGCCAAACTGCCCATTGGACCGCCTGACTGGATAAAACCTTGAGAAAAATTTTTTTTGCATAAAAGATTCAAAAAAAAATATTGAATTCTTTTTTCAATATGTAAAATGAAATCACTAGTCGCTACATTTGCATAAAAAGCATAATAAAAGTATTGTTACATGATTAATAAACTCATCATATTGATTCATTAAAAGACTTTTGAGTTTTGTTTAAGAGAAGTGAGTGAATTGAACTATTATACATGAATTATAAAAAACTTTAAAATTTATATTGGCTAGATAATAAATAATAAAATAAATGTATTTGATGAATATGGGCGAACATGTTGGCCCGAATGAGCTAAAGTAATTTTCAAATCCACCAAAATATAATTCGAGCTTGGGCCGGCCCGCGCCATATGAGTATTAAAGGTTGTCCATATCCGCCATTTTAAAGGACGGGCCAGAAGGGTCGATACTTGTTTGCACATGTTTATTGTATAGTAATAAATTTTAAGGATGTAGTAATACAAAAAGATGAGATAGAAAGTTTGTAATGCGTATTGTGAACTCAGAAGTCAGAGTCTCTGATCCCTCCTTGATCGGATAAAGGGTCCTATAAATACAATATGGTCCTTGGCCGAAATTCAACTACCCTAGGTCAATAAGGCTTATTGGCCTCAGTAAGTACATTTGTCTCATTTCTACTCCGTATAACATATACATCACTTGCTAATATTACTTCTTAATGACATTTGTCTTGTTGAGGGGGCAATCACGTCCTTCATAAACCCAGGGGGCGAGCTCATAATACACATGGGCTATAAGTTTGCTCATAGTATAACCATTCGGGATCTGCTTTTACTTTAAAAAAAACAACACCTTGGTTCATTCTTTTTGAGAGTTTGGATTATATAACAGATAAGTAAAATGGCTCTTAAATTATCTGTAACTATTTAATAGTGAATTAGTAGCTAGTCAATTCAACCTTCAACATTCATCATTATCATCTAAGTTTGATTCCCTACACTAACATTGATTCAATGTGCGCCATTAAGTTGATTGAGTGTAATAAAATATAACACTATAGTAGAATTAATAACACTTGAAAGAAATATTTTTGAGCAAATAGGTAAAAGAAGAGTACAAGTTACTCTTTTCATTTGCAAAACAACTATTCTTTTAATTTTTGAGAGATTAATTTACTTTTCAATTATACTCATAGCATAAAAAAGGCAAATAACTTACAAGTAAATGATTCATTATATTAATGTAAAATGGATGAAGCTTTGTTTAAAGAATGGAAGTATTTTGTGAAAAAATTAAAAAGATGAAAGAAAAAAAAATTTGAAAAATGAAGAGCCATCTTCATTTTTTAAGTTACAACTTACAACTGACTTTTTTTTAAAAAAAGAAAGTAAATTGCGGTATATGCGGTAGGAAGAACCGAAGAACCAGATTCAAATGACATAATTTCCACCGCCTTTAAGAAAAGAGAAAGAGAGAGAGAGCCACCGCGTGTTCTTCTCACTTCCGTCTTCTAATCGACAATCGCCCTCCATTTCTGCTCTGGTAAGTTCTCGATGCTCTCTACACAAATACGTTATCATCATCATCATCTCCTTCCTTTACCTTTTTATGCCGTTTTAAGAAAAAGCAATTCACGCCTTTTTTTTCTTCTTTCTGTCAAAGCTGAAGTCATCGAAGTAAGAATTAAGTCAACAAGGCATAGTATTCCGTAATTGATCAAATAAAATCGTTTTTTTTTTGTGTTTTTTGCTTGTTTGATTCATAATTTTTTATGTTATAAGAGAGTGTGTATGATTTGGTCAGTTGTGCTGTGGAAGTATTCTGCAATTTGCGGTATTTGAGTGGAATTAGAGAAAGAAGAAGAAATGCATTTTGAGTTGGTGGATATACACCCTCGTGAAGTCAAGTTCATATGTAAGTTTCCATTTCACTCCGGCCATTTATCCTTATTTTTCACCTTATTATCATTCTTATTACGGATTATTATTGTTGTTGTTTTTGTTGTTTTTGCTATCATCATTATTCTTATTATTGGGGTAAGGATCTTTTGATACTGGTCCTCGGTGATATGATACTCCATATTTTTAACAATCAAATTTAATGGAAACGTGATTTATATATTTTATAGGTTAGTGTTCTTTTATAAAAGAGTGAAGTAAACCTTACTTTCAAAGTGCAATTGAACTATCTATTTTTATGTGCTTATCTAAATGTATGAAATTTGCAAATTCCTTAGTAAGTAGACTTTGCAGTCTGCACTTGCTTGCATGCCTTCAATATTGCAGTGTTTACAAAATAAATGTAGCAACATGAACAGAACTGTTTAATTGGATTTCTACAGTTGAACCAAGGAAGCAAAGCTCATGCACTACTCAATTAATCAACAAGACAGATAAAACTGTTGCTTTTAAGGTAAAGACCTTTTTATTGTTTCTTATCAACAAACATTAGTTTAGAATTTTATCCGTTCCTTTTTTTTCTTCTTGTAATATCATTGGTGACTAATTTGGCAGGTCAAGACCACTAATCCAAAGAAGTACTGTGTCCGACCAAATGCAGGCATTATTAGTTCCAAATCATCATGTGAATTTAAGAGTAATTTGTACCTTCCACTCATTACCTTATATTGTATTGTGACAGTGTCTGGTCACAAGAATTGCATGTTTGCTTCGAATTTCACCTTGTCACTTGTCGGCCGATGAGTGGATGTTTGAAGTATAGAGTATTTTTAGAAATTAAAATGTTTCTAAACCAAATCTTGTTATGGTAGTTCTGATAAATGATGATACAATTTTGGTAGTTCTGATAAATGATGACATAGGCAATACTCTTCTATGTTCTCCGTCAATTGTTTTCCATGTATGGGAACATGATTTATGAGGTCAGTTAAACTGCAAATCCAGAGAGCTCCGTTAAACATTTACGGAGTGAATAATCTAAAACTTAGCACTCCCTGCGTTTACCATTCTGGCTGGAATGAGCTAGCTTTTTTTATGCTTCTTGCTGCATTTATGAATATCAGAAATTCTGTTTATCCAGTTATTATGCAAGCACAACAGGAACCTCCTCCAGATATGGTATGCAAAGACAAGTTCTTAGTTCAGAGCAAAGTTGTCCCAGATGGTACTTCTGATAAAGATATCACTTCAGAGACAGTATGTAACTCAAAGCATTTTTATCTCTTATAGTGTTTTTCGGTTCTTGGTTCAAGAGATAGTTTTGTTTGGAGTTTTATTATAAACAGTTTATTGGATTTTTACTTCTCGTCTCTCAATAATTCCATTTTTAGTTTTCCAAAGATGATGGCAAGTATGTCCAAGAGAACAAACTAAGGGTGGTTCTTGTTAGTCCAAACAAGTCACCAGTAACATCACAAGTTGATGGAGCACGCAGCATTCCACTGAATATTGAATCTTCTCCACCAAAATGGTTGGGAGATTTTATAGATGGTGAACCCCAGGCCACGCGACAAAAGGTAAGTAATTCTTTTATATATAGAGGGCCTGTATGGAATTTTGAAAATGGTAGGGTCGTAGGGAAGGTAAATATGGAGGAAACCATAGGTGGAGTTTTGAAGGAAAGAGAATGTGGGAGAAAACAAACCATTGGTTCAAACTCAATAATATTTTTTTTATGTTTGTTGAAAGACATTTTATTTAATTACTTTTATCATTTAAAAATATTTAAATAAAATTAAAAACATGAATCATACTTCCTCCGTTCAAAATTAAACTTCCCATTCACTTTTGGCACATGAATTAAAGAAATAAAATTGTATGGTCGGGATTTAATTTGAAAAGAAAGGAACCAAAGCAACGACACAGTTCATTCCTTAAAAGGAAATGAGAAGTTTATTTTGGAACAAAGTGAGAATTTCATTTTCCTTTTCATTTTCATTGGCGACACTCAACTAGGGTTGTAAACGAACCGAATCGAATAGAATATTCATGAAAAATATTCATATTCGTTAAGATGGAGTGATATTCGAATTCGAATTTGGTTCGAATATTTTTTAAGATTCGTATTCGGTTCGTTTAAATATTCGATTCGTTTAGATATATTCGGTTTGTATAATTAGATTTATATTTCGAATATATTTGTCAAACTCACGAATCAAATACCCTTGATTCATATTCGTATTCGATAAGGATTCGAATATTTATTCAAATTCGTATTCGTATTCGGATTTGAAAAAATCGAATACGAATCACCTTAAACGAATACGAATCACGAATCGAACAAAAAATATTCGATTCATTTACAGCCCTACACTCAACACAATAAAATAGCTTTCCTTGTCATTTTCCTTTTCCCTGACAGTTTCTGAGATATAAACATACCCAGAATGTTTCATAATCACTTACCAGAAGAGATCTCTAACAAAATGCCTTGTTAAATTTGTGTCTTGAGAGTTCACTTGGTGGACCAATGCTGTATTGTGTGCATAACAGTATTTTGTATTTGTTTCTTTATTCAGCCAGCCAACAAAGGGGTTAAACAGGAATATCAAGTGGATCATGTGGAAGAAAAATTTCCAGAGATTGACCACACAAAGGATGTGGAAAAAGCAAAACGTGGCAATGATATCAATGCAAGGAAGTCAGTGGAAACCAATCTCTACTCACCAGTGATATTGCAAACTGATGGAGGACATGGTCACCCAGTGGATTTTGAATCTTCTCCACCAAAATGGTTAGGAGATCATCTCAATGTTGTAACCCAACTTCCGCCACAAACAGTAAGTAATTTCTTCTATATATAGTATGTATTGAGAAGGTTGCAACATAAAGAATGTATAAATATACTTGCTATTTTGCCTAGATTGATTTAATAAACTCGGTGATGGCAATAAATTTTCACAAGTTCTGAACAGTCGTTTGTATCTTTTGAACTTATATTTCCAAGATTGTTTGGAGGCAGTAATTGACACTTGACAGTATAGAAGTCATTCTATCGACCACAATTAGTTGGGCCTGAGGTGCCGGTGATGATGACTACATGCATCAAAATCAGATATCTGTGGCAGAATCCTTGTTAATTTTCGTCTTCTGGGCTAACTCTTCGTTTTTGTGGGGAATACTTCTGCTTGAAAGTGGATATTTGTCTCTGGCAGAATCAATGTTGTATTGCATACTTGTATTTCATTTCTTGTTCGATTCTTTTTTGCAGCCAGCTGAGGAGGCAGTTGAACACTCTCAAGAGGAGTCCGTGGAAGTAGAGCATTGTGATATTGAAACCATAAAGGGGGTGGAAGAAAGGGCGGAACTTGAGAATGAGATCAATGCAATGAAGTCAATGTTGAATGCCCTGGAGCTGAAACTAAGTGAGGTAGAACATTTCCAAGACTTATAAAAAACTTATTTCAAAAGAACTGTCAGTTTTTTTACATGTATTCTATTGGGAGCAATATTGGATTTGCAAATTCATCGCTATTCATTAGTGTTGTGTCTGAAACAACTACCAACAGCAATTTAGTTAAATTATGTACTCTCTCCCTTTCAAAAAAAAAAGGAATTGTTTCATTTAATTTGGCATTTTGGAAAAATCTCATCAAATTCAATAGAAGTTTTAAATTTTTGGTGGTCAAAGGTGAAGGACTTATTTTCCTTTCTTCGCGTGACAAAAATAAGTAAGTTTTGAAATGCGATTCTTTCTTGGAACGGGGAGAGTATTCCTTCAATAGTTTATCACTTTCCTGCCCTTTTCAGCTTGCTCATTCAGCGATGAATTAATGACATAAATATTCCCTCTCCCCTAAAAAAACCCCAACCAAACCAGGCTGAATGGTTTCTCTGAATTCTCTAGTGTTCTTGTAGATTAGGTGTTACACATCCTGAATCCTGATGTTACAAAACTTGTAGGCGGAAGCAACCATTTCAAAGCTGACGGAGGAAACCAGAGTGTCTGCTCAAGAGAAAGGCAGCTTACGTGCTGAACTGGTAATTCTCAAACTAAACAAAAATCTATTCCTACATAAGAGTAATAAGACGGGTTTCAAAATTATTACTCCCCTTACCGTCTAACTTTAGTTCTGCACTTTCTAAAGTCCTTCAAATGGGTTCGTCCCCTTCCATTTTAGCCATGCTTTTACTTTATTTGTGTTACTATGTTTACTTTATATGTGCATCCATGTTTGAACCGGGAGACTAGGTTTACGTACACGCACACTCCTAGGACCCTACTTTTTGACACTTGTAGGATTTTATTTTACTGGGTTTGTTGTTGTACACTATCTCTGGGGAACGGTAGGCAATTCATTCAGAATTATTGAATATCGAAAATCGATAATTACTTTTGGACAATTGAAAACAAGAAAGTGGAGAACCGAATCCGGACTAGAAGAAATATTACATTGTTTACTTTTTATGCTAGATTGTGCATTAGTTTGCATTTATTACTCCAATTGACACATCAAATTTATTATTAGCTTTCTCTCTACATATAGTTCGTCATATGTAATGACGCGGTGGAATCCATCCTTCAACCAAACATTTAACCATTTGCCTTTGCCTTTTTCTCTGTGGTTCGCAGGCAAAATTGAGAGAAAGGAAAGCAGTGAGGAAAGTGGAGGTCGGGTTTCCGTTGCTGTTTGTGGTTATGGTGGCTCTCGTAAGTCTCTTGCTTGGGTACATTATTAACCAACGCCACTTGAAGTACGTATGAACCGTACTAGGAAGATATAACCAAGGGATGTAAATCCCACTCCATAATAGTCATATATATATATATATATATATATATATATATACATACATACATACATACATACATACATACATGGACCAACCATAGACAAGTGTAAATGATGTTATAGTAAGATTCTCATATGGGCAAGTTAGTATGTTTTCTAGCATATAATGATAAGATTTTCATTATGCCAATAACGAATAATGTTATTTGCATATTGCGCTAATAATAATAATAATGATAATAATAATTATAATTATAATTATAATAATGTTGTATGGTATTTCAGCTTATTGTTCGGTTTTTTGTTACGCAATTACTACATCGGGCAAGGTTATTGTGACACCCATGTTGGGTATCATACTATAACACTCGTCCAATTGAGAATTGAGATCTCTAATTTCTACAATACTCTCTTTGAAAAAATTGATGGTTTCTACCGGGGTAGAACCATCAATTTTATTTTTTGTCCCAATTTTTTATGGTTCCTTTGTAATAAGTGGCCCGACTCTTTTGACAACTTTTTTTTTAAAACTAAAATTAGAGGTAACTTAGTAATAATGTTAAAAGAATCGGGCAGTAAATAATTGAGAAGGCTCAAGTGAGGATTTTTTAAATTTATCTTTATTACTTACTCTACTTATTTATAAATAATTAGATATTAACAATATTTCATCGGTCTCAATAAAATCAGACAAAGAAAAAATGTTTTACTGTGTTAACCCAGCTTACAAGAAAAATATTACTCCCTCCGTCCATGTATGATCTTCTCATTACGCGTTACGAGGCTTGACCGACTTTATTTTCAATTCAATTTAATTGATTATATGAGTAAAATTTTAAAATAAAATTTATATAGTAATAAACTACATGAAAAGTTTTACAAAACTAGAGGTGACAAGACTATATTATTTTATGAAATGACTAGTAAAATTGAGCAAACAAAGTGAGTAAAGTTTGACCCTGTGAATAGTGTCTGGGAAGATCTATGATGGACAGAGGGAGTACTACGTACTTCGTATATTCATTCAGTTTGACTTTTTCAAGTAAAACTAAGCAAATAAAAATTGCAATATATATTAGCACAAAAATGATTTCATTAGGTTTTTCTTGTACATTTTCAAAATATGATTTCTTTATATTGATTTATGTCATACAAATTGAGAGTAATTAATAATAAAGTATTGTATTGGGAATTAGCTCCAACGTGTGGGTCGGCCCAAGGGAAATGCATAGTGGACCAAAAGTTAGGCTCGGCCGGGAGGAGAAGCACCAATAGAAGAGGAGACCCGGCCTACCCTCAAGAGACCAAATGGTAGTCGGGTCAGAGGGCATAAGAATCACTCTGGCTCAACTTAGTCACTTCGAGGTCCCCTATCATTAACGACATCCGTACAAGATATAAGAGAGAGTATTACTTAAATTGGACCAAGAATCTGTCGCCGCCCACACATTGTATACATCACTTTCATTCCCTCACCCTTACTTTAGCCCAAAAGAAGGTGTTGGTCTTTTGGGCCAATCCGGAGCCTTAACTCCAATGATTCCAAAAAGTCAAACTGAAATAATACACTGGAACAGAATGAGTAAAACATTGAAAAATCACCATATTATTTGATCAAATTATTAGTAAAAGTACGTAAAGAAAAAGATATACAAAAAATTGTTGAAATACAAAAGTTCAAAAAAAAGGTTGAAATACAAAAAGTGTATGGTTAGAATCTATTTAGAGAAGAGAAATGCTATAACCACATATTCATTACCAAAATAGAGAATAAAGTGAATGTAAAAAATTTTATGAGACATCTAACAAAGAAAGTGTAAAGAATTTTATGGCAAGGGGTACTTGTCTATGAATCCCTATGATCATATTCCCTCCGTCGCGAAAAGAGACTCACAGTTTGACTTTTTTAGGTCAATTGTGCAACACTTTGACCACAAATTAAATAGAATTTTAAATGATTATATGTTATAAATTCATATATATCAAAACTATACTTTAAAATGAACTTAATTTTGCTAAATTTACATTATAACCAAATATACTTTTTTACATAATTTGTGGTCAAAGTATAATACAGTTTGATAAAAACAAAGTCATACAGTGATGATCGTTTTGGGACGGAGGTAATATTACTCTTCATTCTATAGATTTTTGAATCATATGGATGTACTTTGGTCGTTTGAATATCAAATGCCTTTCGAGAATCAAGCAAAAGTAGACTGCTGATATTCTTTGATAGACTCAGACTATACCTCGATTAACAACATTGTCCAAAGATGTTCGTTTTTTTTTCTTTTCAAAACAGCATAAAACCAGTTTCACTAACATGCTCCAAGTGTTCAGGTTATTGTACCAGATGATGTTGCAGATTCTAAGACTTCTAACCTCATATACAACAATGTAGTAAAATGTAATTTCATTTTTTAAAAATATAAGTTTCACAATTTACAAGAGTCCAAATTGGTAGGTACATATTCTACTATATCTTTGAAATGAGTCGAATATAGGGTGTGGGGTGGTACCTTGAAAGATTAAGAAGAACTTGAAATCGGATGATTGATCGGGGCCAATTTGGTAATTTTTCCTCGTATCTCCTCCTCCCGGGCTCAACACCTCTTGGTGGCCTCGGTCTCACCTGCTAAGCACTTCAGAGTGGCTGTGGGATGACTTATTTCCAATCCTCCGTGCCCAAAAGAAAGTTATGGACTGACTTCACGAAGTTTAACTTATGGAGTATTAAAAGTTAAAAGTGTGCGGAAAAAATTTGTTAGAAGAGGGAAATGTTGTAAACCACTTAATTGTTTTCTTTTATGGAAAGAAAAGAAAGGAGAAAGTTTATTTTGGGAGAGACAAAAAGGAAAGTGATGAGAAATTCTTTTGGGGAAGAAGGGAGTATCTTTTGTACAAAGAGAACTAAATTTGCAATTTTACTTCAAAAGAGAAGCACATAGTAAGAAAATGAAAAAAAAACATTTTGTGCTTATATAAGAATGCACTAGATTGAAGCTATTTGAAAAGAACTTTTAGTGCTTAAATGAGAAACTTCTTTATATTAAAGTACTTGTAAAATAAGCCAATCCCAAACAGGCTCTTAGGCTCTAGCAGTAGGACGTGTGATGCTATTCGAGCAATGATGAGGACGTCGAGGAGAAGACGCATTATTGCCAATCACATTAAGCACTCCATCATAGAATCTCATAAGGCATTCATCTTCTTTTGGAGGAGGATCGGCTTCATCATCATCATTGTTATCAAACGGTTCCCTATCTGGGAGTAAAAAATCATCCCCATTATTGGAGGGTTTATAGTCTTTTCCCCTCCATACCACGATCTGCTCCTTAGCAAACGTTACGAGGATGCAAGGAACCAGATCCTGCCTCCATATAGAGCATTAGTTATTTGGCTAGAAGCTAATGAAATGAAAAGTGTTTTGACATGAATCATAACCAAATAAGTCTAAAGCTTCTTGTGCTCATATAGTAGAATAATTCGAAGTCGATAGGGCTAACAAACATAGCCTAAGGGTGACCCAAAGAAATACAGATACATCTGTGTTGTCCATGCTATTCTATATTTGCACCAGCTATGCTAGAATCGACAAAGAAAGTAACATATAACTCTGCAATAATAAAAAATATTTCTCATCCATATGGTTGAAAAAAACATTCGTAAGAAAAATGTTTACTCCCTACCCTCCCTAGAAATGGATTCCCTACTTTTGAAGGGAAGTAACACCGATTTCCAAGGAAAGTGAAATGTTGTTTAATTAGGCAGAAGGAGCCAAAGTCCAGTTTTTCTAAGAGGAAGTAGCACTTTACTAGGGTAACCAAACAAGGGGTACACGTGAATTCAAACCTTACCTTCAACTTGCAGCCAATTTTCTTGTAATCACTCTTTGGGAGTCCTCCACAATCTATCCTAACCAACTCATCAGTCAAAAAAGCATCTCGAACCATGGGCACAAGGCTAGCGTAATAGCCATTTTTAGCTGCATTAGATCCCACGCATTAGATGTAGACTGCACAAACACTAAACAGCCTCTCTGTTAAAGGAAGAACGGAATAATAAATTTTACCAAGTTTTGTCAAAACCGGAACAGCTAATCCTCTTTTCCTCATTTCCTTGGTTTCTTCAATGCTCAAACCTTCGATAGTAGTTTTTATAAGTCTTGGATACACAGGTTCATGGGGTTTCCATAACATTAATGGAATCTCTGGTATCTTCTTTCTATCATAATTCCTCCCTCTGTAGAGTACAAGAAACCCACCATGTATGTGGATGACCTTACCAAACGTCTTCTCCTAGAAGACATTACAAATAAAATCTTTGGGGATGAATAATGATACAACAACAAAGTACAAGGTCAATCCCTATAGAGTATGGAGTAATTTTAAACAAAATAAGTGGATCACTTTAAAGAAAAATGAATAAAAGGCCCCATTTTAAAGATTGCCAACTGAACCATTTTAGATAAACTAATGGGACCATAATTCATTGAGAAAAAAGATTATAAATTGAGGAGGGATGGGAAAAAAATATGATACCTCCAAATGAGAGCACAAGTTCTTCATATTAACAGTGGGAACCCCCATACACTTTATCCTGACGACCTCCGTGTGTTTCCAGTGATCATGAATAACAATTAACATGTTGTGTGTTAAACCATCTCTACCTACACATGAATGCAACAACTAAGGTAAACTTCTTGGGCAACTCTTTCAGATATATATTCCACATAAATGGTTAAGCTTCCTAAATGTAAATTTCACTCAAATGGTGGTTTTTGGAACCTAGCCCTTGTTTGGAATGAGTTGGTGCTCAAAATCAAACCGATGACAAATTGAATTGCTGATAATTAGAAAACCGCAGAACTTCAAAATATGAAGAAAAAAAAAACTTGAGCAGAACTTTTTTTAAGTCTTGAAGCTGAATTGCAGAAATACAGCACTTTGCAGTCCATATAATTTAAAAAAAATGAAAAAAAAGAGAGAAAGAAATAG